CAGCCCTGCCTAATACCTATGATCTGGTCATTTTTGCCTGTTTGGTGGTTCCTGCCGGATCTTTGCTTCGCTACTGACTTCCTGGACTCTGCCTGCTTTACCAACTACGTTACTCCACTGCCAGCCCTGACTTCTGCTTCTCATCTGACCCTGCCTTTGGATTTTCCCTTAATCTGTACTGCGCTTCTGGATTTTGCCTCCTTCCTGTGCCATCTCCTGCATCTGGGCTCCAACTCCTGGTAAACTGTTACACAAGTCCCCAGGTGACTGTTACATAATGACCAGATCTCTACCATGGAGCCCGCGGAGATGTTGAATGTCCTGAATACCCTCACATAGCAAGTGACCCTCCTGTCTCAAACCGTAAGTGAATTGCAGTGTAGCTATGCTGATTTAAAGGGGGACACACACCATGCTCCTGAACCTGATATTGCATTGCCTGAAAGATTCACTGGTCACAGGGCTTCCTTCCGCTCCTCTATCACAGACTGTGAAATCCTGTTTGTACTTAAACCCTGTACCTATGCCACAGATTTTGTTAAAGTAAGAACTGTCATCACCCTGTTATCTGGGCAGCCCAAGACCTGGGCTCATCAACAGCTGTATGCCAAAAGCCCTGTACTGGACACCTGGGAGTCCTTTGCTACAGCCTTGACCTCCTTGTATGAGGACCCCTTCCGTGCCTCCACAGCAAGGACAACTGTCCTGTGGAAAATTACATCAGAGTTCCGTGGCTTGTCATCAGACACTGGACTCAATGAAACCGCCCTAGTGGACCAATTCCACCTTGGATTAAGTGAAACCCTTAAGGATGAACTGTCACGAATGGGAGTTCCAACCTCCCTGGAAAACCCAGCTGGATCTCCGTTTCAGAGAAAGAAGGCAGGAGCAATTTGAAACTAACCATCTGCCTGATCAACGCTCCCAACCTGCTGGTGAGACCTATACCCCTAACCCCACCATGGACCTAGAGGAACCCATGCAGATTGGAGCGCTAAATACCATGCTCACAGTAACTGAAAAGGCCAGAAAGAGAGCCAAAGGCCTTTGCTTCTCTTGTGGCAAGGGAGGCCACTACATCAGCTATTGCTGTTAATAATAAAGTGTTCAACACAAACATTTGCAACAAGTCTTTGCAGGGAAACGCTTTATAATTGGCTTGAAGTTATTGGTCTTCAGGGTGTAATTTTCATACACGTGAGTGAAAGTCAATTTAAACGCTGCTGTCCCATTGTGCTGCAAAATTTTATTTATTTTTTAATCCGTTTCATCTTGAAAATGAACATTCTCCTGCACAGTTGGTCACCATCATCCACATGAACACTCTGAGTGCAATTTCAACATTGGCAATAAATGTAAAAAAATAAATAAAAAAAAAATCTCCTGGGAAAAATACTGAAAAGTTGGCAAGCCTATAGGGCCCCCAGGAAACTGCCCAGCATGCCAATACGTTAAGTCGGCCCTGAAATACAGGATCTCTTTGAAAAAGAAGCAGGGACAGTCACATGTATTTGCCAGCTACTGTCTCTGACCAGGTCAGGTATACACACCACCTCATGGTATAATGGCAGCAGTATGGGGAGGGATTGGTGAGACCTCAGCCATAGAATGTTTTGTGGCAAAGGTCTCATGGGTCTCCTGCAGAGTGTGTCATTTGTATCCTTTACTCCAGCGGTTCCCAAGCCGTGGTACGCGTACCCCAAGGGGTACAATTCAGTGCCTCTGGGGGCATTGGCGGATCCAGGGGGGGGGGCAACGGGGCAATTGCCCCCCCCCCCCGAGATTCCCCCCTGCCGGCTAACGCAGGGCTGGCATTGCCCAAGTGCCAGCCCTGCAATGTGCCTGCGGACCAGGGAGGAAGATCAGAGATCTCCCTCCCCGGTCCGCAGTCACTGTGCTGACAGCCGGCGGCGGAGGGAGGGAGTGAGAGGGAGGACCCGGAGCTCAGTCTGCAGCTCCTCCGGGTCCTCCCCTCTCGAGATTTGGAGCGTTGCCGCAGTTACCACGGCAACGCTCCAAATCTCGCGAGAGTGAACTCTAGCCCGGGAGCGCGGGCTAGAGTTCACTCAGACCACCTGACCACCAGGGAAATGTCCCCCCTCCTCCTAAATAAAGGTAAGAAGGGAGGGGGGACATAGGATATTTATTTCCTTTCCTGCCCCCCCAATTACACACACTGCCCCCCCCATTACACACACTGTGTGTGTCTGTGTCAGTGTCACTGTATCTGTCTGTGTATCTCAGGGCTCGACAAATCCCAAGCTCCAGGTAGCCATGGCGACTAGGAATATTGTTCTGGGCAGGTGGCCGACCATGAGGAAACTGAGGCGGCTGGACAGCCGACCGACCGTGGGGGAGTGGAGGAAAAGCAGAAGTGGCTTGCCAGCCATGGGAGAGCAAAAATAGGCTGGCAGACACTGTGTGGAATAGACCCAGGGGGGCGAGGGAGGGAGCAGCCCTCTCTCTGCTCTGCTCCCTCGCACGCTCTACAGGGATGCTGGGAGCCTGAATATGACGGAATTCCGGTCCCAGCATACTAAACTAAACAGTGCGTGACAGAGCCGGGAGATGACAGCAGCGAAAGCCTATACTCTCCAAGAGGTAGGGAGGTTGGCTGGGTTTCAATAAAAATAATTTTAAAAATACTGTGTATGTGTCTGCGAGTTTGTATGTGTGTGTCTGTCTGCGAGCTTGTGTGCATCTGTCTGTGAATCTGTTTGTGTTTGTCTCTTAGTAAGTGTCTGTTTAGGCGACCGGTCCCCCTCTGATTACAAAGGAAACATGATTTTACTTACCTGTTTTCCCACGCTGTGATGGTTTCGCTGTGGCTGAATCCTTCTCCATGGCTGAGATAATCAATCTTGATGATCTCAGCCAAGCAATGCTTTCCCATAGGAAAGCATTGGGAGGCTATTCTGCATCTCCTCAACGAGATGCATTGAAACACTGCATCACTATGGAGAACACTGAGAGCCTCTATGCCGAGTGTGGTTTAAGTGACGGCCTCTAGAGGTGTTACTAAGGAGCAATGTAAACATGGTCTTCTCTCTGAAAAGGCAGTGTTTACATTGAAAAGCCTAAAGGGACAAGCTATAGACACCAGAACCACTACACCCTGTTTCAAATTATTATGCAAATTATATTTTTCTCATTTACCTAAATAACAATCAGCATAATTCTCATGTTATCAACTATTAAGAGTACCTATGCGGAGCTGGAGCCCTGCTACTGCTTTCTTTTATCCTCTCTACCAATCTACCTACAACCTTCACCTCTAACCTTTCCATATACACAGGCATTTGGATAAGATACATTCATTCCATAGGGCTAAACCCTCACTTTGTCCGGGACCATTTTATGCGATCACAGAGGTAACGCACAACAGCTACCCCACTCGCATCCACCACAATTCCCACCAATGATTCATGGGCATACGCAAACCCCTAAAGGGCAGGATACCAGGTTATCTGGGGCAGATAGACCCATATACTATTCTATAACCATTGTCAACACAATCGGGTCCAAGCCTGCATGCAGTGGGCAGCCGTGCCGTGGCCACATAGGACTCCTCGGAAATCGGATGCACTTGGCCTGGTCGAGAACCCCCTACTGCATAGCACCTCTTTAGCCACAGGCCGAGGTGTCCTCGATGATAGGATGCACACGAGGGGTATGGCACTCTCTGAAGTGGCTTAACGCTACACATAATGTTGCCAGGAAGAGGCGGGAAATACTGTATTACACCACATGATGTTTATTGATATGCACTTGCTCACAATACCCGGACTCTAGTGGCTTGACATCGCTTTAATTACTGGGCATTACACCCACTATGTACTTGACAATGTTCTATATGATATTGGGACCTGCGAGTCTCTACTAATAATATTGTCGGTATTGTTTTACTCTTGTTCCTCATCTTCAAACACCAATAAAAAAAATTAAAAAAAAAAACTATTAAGAGTACAATTCAAATTTTATTGAACAAACCTCCTAATGATAACAGTATTTTTTTTAATTTTTTTTAAACTTACAATGCACTGTTCCAAATTATTACGTACAATAAGTTTCAAAGCACTTCCTAGGTTGTAAAGAACTGAAAATTGTCATTTGTTGTGTTTGCAGCATATTTACTGAAAACAAAAGCTATTTCAATCAAACTTATAACATTTTAACAGGTCACGTTACATTTTAACATAAGACCCCTTATTTGATAGCAGCTTCACAAGTCTTGCATCCATTGGACTTGTGAGTTTCTAGACAGTTTCTGCTTGAATTTGTTTGCAAGATGTCAGAATAGCCTCCCAGAGCTGCTGTTTGGATGTAAACTGCCTCCCACCCTCATAGATCTTTTGCTTGAGGATGCTCAAAAGTTCTCAATAGGATTGAGGTCAGGGGAGGATGGAGGCCACACCATGACTTTCTCTCCTTTTTATCTCCATAGCAGCCATTGATGCAGAGGTATTCTTTGCAGCATGAGATGGTGCATTGTCATGCATGAAGATGATTTTATTATGGAAAGCATAGTTCTTCCTTCTGCACCAGGGAAGAAAGTGGTCAGTCAGAAACTCCACATACTTTGCAGAGGTCATCTTTACACCTTCGGGGACCCTAAAGGGGCCGACCAGCTCTCTTCCCATTATTCTGGCCCAAAACATGACTCCACCACCGCCTTGCTGACGTCGCAGCCTTGTTGGAACAGGTTGGCCGTCCACCAACCATCCACTACTCCATCCATCTGGACCATCCAGGGTTGCACGGCACTCATCAATGAACAGGACTGTTTGAAAATTAGTCTTCATGTATTTTTCTGCCCAATGCAGCCGTTTCTGCTTGTGAGCATTGGTTAGTGGTGGCTGAATAGAAGGTTTATGCACAGTTGCAAGACTCTGGAGGACTCTACACCTTGATGTCCGTGGGACTCCAGAGGCACCAGCAGCTTCAAATATCTGTTTGCTGCTATGTAATGGTATTTTAGCAGCTGCTCTCTTGATCCGATGCATGAATCTGGCAGAAAACTTCCACAATGTGCCTTTATCTGCACGAACCCATCTGTGCTCTGAATCAGCCACAAATCTCTTAATAGTGCAATGATCACGCTTAAGTTTTCATGAAACATCTAATGTTTTCATACCTCGTCCAAGGCATTGAACTATTTCTTTTCGGCAGCAGAGAGATCCTTTTTCTTCCCCGTATTCCTTTAGTAGTTTTTCCTTAAATTGGGCTCACCTGGCAATCTATCACAGGTGTCCGAGATTGTTTTCAGTGATCAAAAGAACCCTGAGACACAATGCCATCCATGAGTCAAACTGAAAAATAAAATATTTAATCTTTGTGACACTTAAATAGAATTTGCCTAATAATTTGGAACAGGGTGTATATTAAGCTGTTGTGGTTCTGGTGACTATAGTGTCCCTTTAAGAATTCTATTTTTGTTGCTAACAATTAAAGGAACACTATAATAACCAAGACCACTTCATGGTGCCTAGTCCCTCAGGTTTTAACCCTTCAGATGCAAACATAGCACTTTCAGAGAAACTGCTATGTTTACATTTGGGGTTAATCCAGCCTCTAGTGGCTGCCTTCCGGACAGCCACTAGAGGTGCATCTGCGACGCTGCAGGCACATTTCGCCTCCATCACGTAGAGCATCCTTAGGAAAGCATTGAAAAAATGCTTTCCTATGGACACTTTGAATGCGCGTGCGGCACTTGCCACGCATGCGCCTTCGCATGGGGGAGCTGAAGTTGGCAGGGGAGAAGAGGTCGCTAGCGCCAAGGGAGCCCGGCGCTGGTTTGAGGTAAGTTAAAACCCCTTCAGTGCGATGGGAGGAGGGACGCTTTTTTCCCCTGACACTATAGTGATCTTTTAAGCTGTGTTAGTTAAAAAAAAACTTGCTCCTAACTTTTTTAGCTGACTCCTGGATTCCAAGCAAATTTGTCAAGCCCTGGTGTATTTGCATGTGTCAGTGTAGCTATGTATCAGTGTGTGTATCTGTATTTGTGTCCAGGTAAATACCTATGTGTCTGTGTATCTGCATGTGTGTCAGAGTATGTATCTGTGTGTCACGATTAGGGATCGACCGATTATCAGTTCAGCCGATATTCCTGATATTGCCAAATATCGGTATTTGCCGATAATATGAGAGGTGGCGGTGGCCCAGCACACGCAGGGCAGGTGCTTTCATAAGGCGGCACAGGCGGCCGCCTTAGGGCACACTGGCTATGGGGGTGCAATAATAAAGTGACCGTCAGGAGGGAAGCACAGAATTCTCCCTCCTACCAGTAACTTAGTGTAGAGTGGTCGAGGGGAGGAGAGTGGACCATGGTAGAGGAGCTTCAGTTTCCTGTACCCGGCTGGACTGACAGGAAGTGCTCTGTCAGTGAGCACTTCCTGTCAGTCTGGCCGGGTACAGGAAACTGAAGCTTCTGTACCGTGGTCTGTTTTGCTTGGCCACGCTACAAGAAAGGTAAGGAGGTACACCAGGGAATGGAGAGGTCTACTTGGGGGGGTGGGGGGGTAGAGGGCTGACACACTAAAGGACAGAGAGGGAGATAAACACTAAAGGGGGGGGGAGAGGAACACTAAGGTACAGGAAAGGGAGGGGAGAGGTACACTAAAGGAAACGGAGGTGAGGGGAAAACCAAGAGACAGGGAGGGGGAGGGGAACAGCAAGGGACAGGGAAGGGAGAGGTACACTAAGGGACAGGGAGGGAATGTGAGAGGAACACAAAATATTCTTGAAAACATAAAAACATCTGACTGGCATGTTTATTTTGTGCATTTACCACATAATTAAAAAAAAAAAAAATGATTTTCAAAATAAAAAAATTTAACATGTTCAGTCAACCGTAGATTTGTGTAGAAATTGTTTCTTTTTTCAAAACGGTAAATGTACAGAAAATCTGTATCAGTAAGTTATCGGCTATCGGCCTGAAAGTTTTTGGTATCGGCTCTCAAAAATCAATATCGGTCGTTCCCTAGTCAGGATATGTATCTATGTATGTGTGTGTCAATGTGTGTGTGTCAGGGTATGTATCTATGCGTCTGTGTATCTGCATATGTGTCAGGGTATGTATTGGTGTGTCTGTGTGTACCTGTGTGTCAGGATGTGTATGTTTGTCAGTGTGTGTGTGTCTGTATCTGCATGTGTGTCAGAGTGAGTATCTGTGTGTCAGTTTATGTATATGTATGTCTGGGTATGTATCTATGTGTCTGTGTATCTGTATGTATGTCAGTGTATGCATCTGTGTACCTGTATGTGTGTATCTGCATGTGTGTCAGTGATTTATCTGCCTGTGTGTCAGTATCAGTATGTCAGTGTATGCATATGTGGGTCATTGTGTGGGTGTCAGTGTCTGTATCTGCATGTGTGTAAGTGTTTGTATCAGGGTATGCATCTGTGTCATGGTGTGTGTCTGTGTACCTGCATGTGTGTCAGTGATTTATTTAGTTTGTATCTGTAGGTTTGTGTATCATTGTTTCTGTGCATCTGTATGTATGTGTGTGTCAATGTTTGTTTCTGTGTTTGTCTGAGACAGAGGAGAAACAGGGTAAGCCTGGGACGGAGTAGAAGCAGGGAGAATCTGGGGCGGAGGAGAAGCACGGAGGTTCTGGGGCGGAGGAAAAGCAAGGAGAGCATGGGGCAGGGGAGAATCTGGGGCGGAGGAGAAGCACGGAGGTTCTGGGGCGGAGGAAAAGCAAGGAGAGCATGGGGCAGAGGAAAAGCAGGGAGCAGAGGAAAAGCAGGGAGAGCATGGGGCAGAGGAGAAGCAGGGAGAGCATGGGGCAGAGGAGAAGCAGGGAAAGCATGGGGCAGAGGAGAAGCAGGGAAAGCATGGGGCAGAGGAGAAGCATAGGGAGCCTAGGACAGATAAAAAGGGGAGATTGGACAGAGAAAAAATGGATACATTTGAAAAAAATGCAACTATATTAATTACAACATTTTGCTAATGTGAGGGGTACAATTTATGGAAATGGGCTGCAAAAGGGGTACTCAAGTGAAAAAAGGTTGGGAACCACTGCTATACTCTATACCTGTTCTGTGTCGCATTCTGTCCCAATCCTGAAGTCTCAGCTACACGGTTAGTTAATGCATTGATATTGACCCTACAGCCATGCTTACACCATGCAAGCCAGCAAAAAAAATTACTATTTTCACTGCTAACAGCTGCCACCTCTGGATATTAGAAGGTATTTTTTAATGAGGCTGCTAATGAGAAAACAAATTGTAAAGAAAACTCTCCAGATGTCCTAATATTGTTACAATGTCTGGCCCTGGGGCAGTATCCTCTCGCTTCTTAACGGAAAACTGTAATAATTTAAACATTGATTGATGAGCACAGGCTGGAGCCATAAGTATTCTGGAGAAGATATTTTAGAAAGGAAGGAAGGAAAGATAGGTGGTTCATCTCCTAATAATCGGAAGATGCACATATGTGCACATGGATCATACGGATTTTAGTCTGGCTTCTGGACCGTGGGACCCCAATGTTTAACCTTCATTGCTGCACAACAATTTCAGTGTGCTTGAGTTATATCTGGCAGGAGTCTGCTCTTTAATCCAAAATTATGCAGGCAGCAGGATGTGAGACCATCACCCTGATAAATCCAGAGAATATTCCTCTAATCTGATGACCCCTGCGGTCGCACTCGAGATGTTTACAATGCAAATTTGGGTACCAGGATGCTATCACTCGGCACTATTGGCAAATATTGTGAGATATAGGTAATGCATTGAGGTGGCAACTGACAGATAAATCAAGGTAGTTAAACTCATAAGGGGACTGGGAAGTCACAGATATGACAGATATATGGGAAATGCATAAACATGGAGAGAGGATGAAACTCATTAAAGGTAGAGGGGATGAGAGTATTATTTGGATCAATTGAGAGACACAGGCATGTGATTAATAAAGCAATGGTCCAATAGAAAAATAAAATTAAAAAAAAGTTATTTTTATAATTCTACCAATCATCAGTAATTTTCCAGCTTCTAAATTTTTTTATGCACATTTTAAAAGGATAAAAGATGGTAATTCATGGCAATTTGGAAGCATAAAGTGTGAAGTCACTCTTGATATTACATTTGAATTGTATTTTAATGCCACTCACCAAAGACAAGATGGGTCTGACTTACTTGGGAAAGAATCCTCCATAAATTCTCCAATTTTCACCAAATTTTTTGAAAATATCAGTTTATAAAAGCTGGAACCAGGAATAATAAAGGACCCTTACCTGGAAAACACTGCCCAACCCAGGGTGCTAACAAACTTATTTCCCAGTAGTATCCAAAAGGAACTGTATGATGTGGTATTCTCCAATTCTCGTATAGGGAATTTCTGAATCAAACAATAATTTTGCCAACACACTATCATAAATCCCAATACATGGAAATCAATAAGACCTATAACAAGAATTGTGGAGACACTAACTGAGCAGATATCTGGCCTAGTACAGAATAACCTAAAACCTTTACTCACTAAAACACATTTTTTTATAGAACACCATTAATTTCCTTAAACTAGGCCTGATCAAGGAAATACCTGCCAAGACCAATTTAGTAACGATGGATGTTGACTTTCTGTATAGTATCATCCAACATAAAGATGGAACTGATAATCTTTCCATTTCATCTGATCCCATAAACCTAGGCAGAAAAACACTACTACAGTTATTACCATAGCACAGCTCGATGTAGAGTCGTCTACTAAAAGTACAGATCATGCAAAAGGAATGCAAATGTTGGCTGCGCCTATTTTGCACATTCTGCGGTATTCAGGCAAAGGGTGAGGCTTTGTTTTGAAAATTTTTATTTTCTAATTGAAAGAATGCATGCTTTGGAATCTGTAAGTAGGAATTGGCAAGTAAACCAACCCATCGTATTGTTGTAGAATCTAAATATCAGACTGCATAGGTTCTATTCAAAACTTATTTTAAGTTCTTCTATAACTTGCATATGGTACCTTCACGTTCCTGATAAGCCATAGAGCCAGTTTTGAACAGTGAACAAGCCATAGACCCAGATTTGAAAAGTAGAGGAAAATAAGGACAAAGAAGACCGTCAAACACAATACCATCTTGGAAATCTATCTATCTATTGCAGGTAGGAACAAGAAAACCAATATCATTTGACACAATGTGACAAACTAGAAGAAAGTAGATGGGAGCACAGATTTCCAAGGATACATTACTAGTCTATTTATAGCTGACAAGACCCAGGGGATTTCTATTGAACTTACCCATCTGTTGCAAAAGAACTGAAGTCTTCCTTCTATTGACCTGGTGTCTTAACATATTTGTTATTGCTAAATAATTTCCCCTTATCTGTGCTGAAAGTGTGGACTATTTGGATATCTCCTTGTTTTATGAGGAGGGATGAATGAAGGGAGGATCTTAACTTTTAAAAGGTCTGAAGTTTCAAAGTGTTGTATCTGTCCTTTCAAAGAAACAAAGTCAAAGCACCCACCCTCTCTTCCTTTACAATGAAAGTGACACTCTGGACACCTAGCACTTCAGCTTGCTGAAATGCTCTTCTGTGAAGAATGTGTCCTCTATTTTGCATTTTCCAAAGTGTCAATTTCATTAAAAAAAAAAAAAAAGGCACTTTAATAAATTAACTTGATTACACCCCCTGGCTTTTAAGCAGACAACCGGTCCTTTTACATCTTGGCTATCTAGTTCAGAGGAGCTAAACTCAAGAGGCAGGCAATTATCTGCCTTATAAATCTTTACATACAGCTGCATTGAGAAGTATGTGATTGGACAGCCACGGAAATTCTGGACTGAAGAAGAAAATGAACACTTGCCAAGGCTGCTAACAAGAGTTCTGCAGCTTTTGTAAGCTCTTTTTAGATACTAAAATGCAAAAATGCATGCAAGTTTCCATTTGGGGTATAGCTTTTTATGTTTTTGTATTTTGAGCAGTGCAGTGTCCTTTTAAACAGTTCAGCAGAAGAACAGGCCACTACTATAAGAGGAAACCATTTCTCTTAAACCTTTAGGAAATTTACCATGAATAGACTTTGCTGCCAGACACTGGTCAGATTAATGTTCATATAGTGCAAAATGTACACCCAATTCTGCTTTATTTATTAATAACTGAAGAAATGTTGGCTTATATAACATAAATGTTGAAATAGTGGTAAGGGCTTTGAAATTCACCCAAATGAGTTTAAGATACAATCATTGCAGGATAAAAATCCTTTGAAACAAGGATAAAACAAACAAACAAAAAAATACACTCGGCTATATATGCATTTTGTTTCAGAGCGGTGTACACACACCATACAGAGCAAAGTGCTGCATGAACACTTACAGCAGCATTTTGTAATAGACCCCCAGAAATAACACTGCAATATACATCAGTACTGAAGATGATACTGCCAAAATGCACCAGGTATTAGATGTACTGATTTGTACACTATTTGCATACCAATATACAGAACAAAAGAATGAAGAACTGGAGTTTACATTCAGCTCTAAACAACAAATATAATAGGTCAGCAACTATAAAGAGTATGAAAAGGTTTGGCTAATCCCTACATGCTGATCAGTCCTACAGCATAGTGCTCTGCATGGTGTTTATGGGACAACACAGACAAGAGCAATGTGCAATGCATTGTGTACTATGCAATTGTTAATTATTTTTATTTTATATTTTAAACAGTCTTTACTGATTCCCACTGAAATACAATAGTGGATCCCTTCATATTCAGGTAGTGTGATTACTCACCAATGAGGAGAGGTAGGATCAACACACAGTTTAAAGCCTCAAAGAACAAAAATACACCGATTTGGTTACAAACGTGAAACAAACCAGGCATTGTAGGTGATGGAAAGGAGCACACAAATGGAATGGGTTCTACTCCTACACCCTGTAGTTTTAGTTTGGTCTTGTCCACTCCTGCTACATTAGAGTGTGTGCAAAGGGGAAGAACGGATCTCGTAGTGTACCTGAAAGGGGTAGCATACTGGCACACTGGTGTAAAAATGATTACATTTACAGGTAAGTCAAAGTAAGAAGAACAGAGAGGAGGGATCAGCAATTCATTAAGACTAATCTCTTTGGTGGCACTTATATTAGGCAATTCCACATTATTAGATACCTCCCTTTTCCCCTCCTCCATAAGTACAGATGCAGCATACCATATAAACTGGACTACAATAATAAATTACCTTTCTGCAAGCTTGATTTGACAATTTATGTGACTTTACTGCAGGCTAAACCAAATTTAAACTGGTACCTGAAGCCAGGGTTTATTTGTGCACAGTCTCGTAAATCACTTTTTACACCAAAGTGCCAATTAAAATTACACTTTAAAAATGCATAAATATCCCAAATTCATCAGAAGGAGAGGTAAACACTTTACAAATGATCCAATCTTAGGCTATTTTTAAAAACAGTATTTTCCAAATAACCCAAAATGGTAGGTAAATGCTATATTGCTAGTAAGATATTTATGGGTTCTAATTATTTTTTTAAAAGGCAATAAAAAGCAAAATAAATTAATTAGTTGGGTTTGCTTTCTTGAAAGCACATGTATGGTCACACAACTATGTAGCCTACTAGCTTTTCAAAACCGTGGAGGGACCTTTTCCTTGTTTTGGAAGTGCTATATCCTTCTATTCTTACGCAGGCATCAGTATTAAAGAACAAATCTCGAAAGCTAAAATTGTATGCTTTCACATAAACCAGACTTTAATTTTAAAAGGAGCACTGCTCCTTTGGAAAAATATTTTTTAATAAAGAGCCAAGCCATATCTTTCTTACCTAACACTTTAGGAGAGCAATCTGTAACATGATGCAGGCACATTTTACTTTTATTAGTTACTACACCTCCATGTGTGTACCCCTGCCTGAACTGTCTGCTGCATCTTGTCTGGGGAACAACCTTGCAAGCATAGAGTGCATATCTTAGGGTGTAGAGGTGGGTATAAAATGGAAGCGGTTGTATAAAAGGAGATAGGAATGCAATCATCACAGCCTGAATCATTCTGCAGCAGAAGTGGCAAGAGTAGAAGATTGTGTTGGAGCCTGCAGACTATTATGCCCACACACCCCGCTGCTGCTCAGTTCTACATTCTCTTCAGAAGGTGTGGGTGTACAGATAACACACTCCCCTGGTGGGGCTTCTGGTAAAGGAGCAGGAGGTCCACTCAAACCCTGGACCTTTTTATTCAGGTCATTGCGCTCGGTTTGTAAAGCCCGACAGAGTTTTTCCAATTTCTGGATTTTGACATGCAATGCTTCTTGTTCCTTGTCACGGAGAGTTTTCTGAAATAAAGAATGTTTGAAAGACTTATTACAGTTTCAAATTTGTATTCCTGCCACATGATATAAAACAACCACAGAGATCTTTTAAACTTCAAAGACTACTGACAAAAACCATAGGCTTATTGGCGCACTTCATTAAGAAACTACATTATAGGCATTACTCAACAAATTTTCATAATGTACCTAAATCAGTGCCTAGAAGGCTATACTAGGTTAAACATGGATAAAATAGCAAAGAACTCTGCTATTGAGGCAACCAGGAATAGGAGATAGGTGGTATAATAGAATACTGACAGTTTAGAAAGAAAAAAAATGGAATATCCACTAAATGTCTGTATGTTCAAAGTGCAACAGTGATTTAACAAATCAGAAAAATGACTGAACAGTAAGAAAAAAGGATTGGCAGTAGTTAGCCACAGTATTAAAATGTCCAAAGATCTCCACTCTGAGGTAGTTTGTGAGAGAGTCAATTAATTACTGTGCCTTCTATATACCACCGATCTCCTATTCCTTTGCCATTTTATCCATGTTTATTTAGCCTCAGGTGGGGACCTCATATATCTTGCCAGTTGTAGTGGGAGATTTGGTTTATCTATGGATTTTTATATTTTGCTTGTTGCATTTTATTTGTCTTATCCTCTTTATTGCACTTTATCTGCATATCCTATTTGTTCTGTCTCCTCTCACTACCCTGTGTCTTCCAGGAAGGTATTACGGTATATTACTGTACAATCCAGGTTTAACTAGCTTTACTTTGTTCAAGGTTAAATGTATTAGCAGTAAACACATTTGCTATTTCACAATTTAAAAGCATTGCATGCTTAGAGAGACAGTCCAGACATCTAATAAGAATGCATCGGACTGAGGACTTTTTACATAATGTCAGGTGCATGTTTTTGCAGAAAATGCACACCTCCCATGGGCTGACATAGCCTTCCTAAACACATCCTAATAAAGAGGTCTCATTTTGAAGAAAAAAAAAAATCCCTTTTTAATACAGTGATACATTTAGAAATGCAGGAAACAAGAACTTCCTAAAGCAAACCAACTCTGCTGTAAGATCAGTTTGAAAATAAATCCTTTTCCCACGGTGGATGTGTGAGTCACAGCCAAAGTATGTGTGACAAGCATTACATCAACAAAACGATTAACACTAAACAGCAGAGTAATGAGACTGCAGGGCATGTTCTACACACCAAACCGGTTTCATTGAGCTAAACTTGTTTTAGTGCAAAGAATGTCCCTACGTTATCTTTTTTATGATTATTTTAATGCAATTATAACATAATCAGTATGAGTTTTTATAAGGACTAACTTTAGGAAAAATTTAATATTCATATTATTGTGACAGAGCCACTTTAAAGTGAACCAATCATAACTTAGAACATCTCTTTAAAGGGACATTCTATGCAACACAAACACTTTATTTTAAAAAGAAAACTGCCATTTCCAGGATTTTTAATACTATTAATTATTCCTATATGTAACTAAATAAGCATTTGTGAGGTGTTAAAATAAAATGAAAAATTAAATAAAGAAATCCACACCTTTTGTACCCTACAATTATCATACTGAAAGTATACAGAGAAGAGGAGGAATTAAACATTGTTCCTATTTCTCTTCCTTTACAATTGGATGATGATACAAAATTTGCTAGATTAATATAAATTGAAAAGAACATAAAAGAATGTATTATTGGTTGGACCAAGATCATCAGAAGATATGGAACAGTTGCACTGAAGAGACATTCAAGAGCTGCTCCATATCTTCTGAGATCTTTAAGATTACATTTACATAGGCTGCAGGTTATTGATACGTAACATTACACTGTGAATGAAGAGCACCCGGGCAAGTGAGGACAATTTTTGTTCAGATGAGATTCTGACCCACGGCTATTAAAAATGACAGGTCACACAGGTGAAAATATCATTTATTTTTTTGGAGGGGATGGGGGGGGGGGAGTTTCCTTTAAAGGATCACTATAGTGTCAGGAAAACAAACTCGTTTTCCTGACACTATAGCATCCTTAGGACCCCCTCCTGTGACGCTGAAGGGGTTAAAACCCCTTCAGTTTGTTACATTAATCCCATGTGGAGCGGAATGCGCAGCAAGAGCCGCGCACGCATTCATACAGTTCATAGGAAAGCATTTTTCAATGCTTTCCTATGGACGTTCTGCATGCTGGATGCGATTTTCGCATCCAGCGTTGCAGAAGTGCCTCTAGCGGCTGTCAGGAAGACAGCCACTAGAGGTTGGATTAACCCTGCAATGTAAACATAGCAGTTTCTCTGAAACTATGTTTATATCTGAAGGGTTAAAACCATGGGGACCCAGCACCCAGACCATTTCATTGGGCTGAAGTGGTCTGGCTGACTATAGTGTCCCTTTAAATAAAAAAATTTAAAAAGTCAGTGTAGTTTTGTTAATCCAATTTGGTGATATCTGCAAATTTGCTGATTCAGAACAGAATAATAAAGCATACAGCACACCCCACATCCACTCATTTCAGTTAAAAAAGTTTCTCTCACCTCTTCAGCCATCACTAGCAAAGCCTTGTTACTGCTCTCCCATCTAGATCGGTACATAGTTGTTTCCTTCTCTAATTTCTTGATCTTCTTTGTCATCTGCATGAAATGGAAAAAGAGGATGGATGAAGGGTATATTTAGAAGTCATTCGTAGTTTAGTGTTTTAACACCAGGCTCTGGTGTTTCCTACCTTCTCCATCTCTTGTTTGAAGGTTGTAAATACTTCGTTGCTCTTAGATAGCGTGTTCTGAAACTCCTCAAATTTTTCTGTGTATAGTGCCAACTGAAGGGAGACAATGTGATATGATGTTAAAATCCATTTAGAAAGCCATCTTGTACCATCTTTAGACACAGAAGATTCAGGGAAGATTCTTATTACAAGGAGGCAATGTAGCCTTGTCTATAAACACAATAAAAGATTTAACCAGGAGGAAAAAAAGTAAAGAATGAAACATGACTTTTACCCTGCTGAAAGCACCGCTGCAGGATATTTTACCACTTTAAAGGAACACTATAGAGTCAGGAACACAAACATGTATTCTTGACACTATAGAGTTAAAAACACTATCTACCCCCCTAAATATAGCAAAATCTTACCTTCATTTCAGTCTGCTTCTGCTGGCTCTGCCCCGATCTGTCTGACATCTTCAGAAGTGGGGATCTTAGCCAATCACAATTCTTTCCCACAGGACAGCATTGGATTGGCTGAGACTGGCCAAGGAGGTAGTTCAGGGGCAGAGGCTGCACAAACCAAACACAGCCCTGGCCTATCAGCATCCAATCATAGAGATGCATGGAATCAATGCAGAGGGTGGAGACACTGAATGGCAACCATTTGAGGAGTGGCCAGTGGAGGTATCTTAGGCTGTAATGTAAACACTGCATTTTCTCTGAAACAAACAGTGTTTACTGCAAAAAGCCTAACGGGAAGGATTATACTCACAAGAACAAATACAAGAAGCAGTAGTTGTAGTATTGAGTATAGTGTCCCTTTAAATCTTGGAGGTTTTCACAGATATACAATCATTAAAAACAGCCATACCTGTTGCTTAAGGTGGGTTTCCTGTTGCTTCATTAGTTCACACATACGCTGAGATTCCACTGCTTCTTTCAATAACTAGGTAGTAAAAGAGGTAAAATGGCAAAATGAACTTTAAAGATCTACGTCTACACAACCAGTTTGCCTACATAACACAAGCGATTAATCCATATAGAAAAAATAAGCTTGAGTTCTTAAACTTACAAAAATTACTATTTTGGAGTTTGAAAAGGGTAACATTTCATCTGTACATTCTAGTCAAATTGCATGTAAACTGCTCATTTATCTATTCTAGCAGCATATAGATACAATCTATAATGCTCACAAAAATCAGTCTCCAACCCAAGAATATACACACATGGATGTGTACATTACTATATGGAGAAGATGCAGAGGTTTGACTTGCATGTACAATGGACACAAACCAAATTAAAAATCCAGATTTGTAGATACCTAGTCTACTTTCAATCCTAATTGCAACAGGGAAAAAAAATTTAATAGGACACTCCCTATCAACTACGTAATTTATTTAATTTGGATTTTATTGTTGTATTTTAAGGATGAAACCTGTAGTAACCCTCAGCCTGGAGATCATTTTTACAGTGTGAGCCCCCAAATGCAAGTGTGATATTTGCTATAAATATTGATAGACATATTGGAAGGCAGCTAATCCAGTATGCTAGGACACCAAGTTTAATTGCGATCCCCCGTTTTTTCTGTTGAGTGTGTTTACCAGTACTCAAACTCATTATCACTAGCTACTAGCCAGGCCTAAAGTATCTACTCACTAATGCAAACTTCTCCTGTAACAAGAGCACTTGAAAAAAGATTGAAATAGAATACACAGTCACCCTGCCTCTGTGTGCCCACTGTTACAATATGCCTCTGCTTTCAGACAACACTGGATATCTTTACAGACAGTGTTGGGTCCATGGCATATCAGGGCTGAATTTCAACTTCCCAATGGCTAAGTTTTACCCCTGTCCTTTTTGGCTTTTATAAATGTGGACTCCAGACCACATGATATAGACCAATATAGACTGCTATATGCCAAAATATATTTAGTCTGTTCTACATTGAAATGATCATCGATTCCTAAGGAATTAAAGGGTTACGCCAACCACCATGACCACTTCTGCTTTTTGAAGTGGGATCTGGATGTGCAGTGTTTGTGCAATTTATGGATTCACATAACACAAAAACATGGGAATATATTTATGGACCAATGATAGTCTATGCCATCATAATCTTTTCTTAAAAGGATCGTATTATAACAACTAATCAATTAACAATTGCAAAGCTTTATAAAGCGAACAATAATAAACAAACTGTGTACTACATGCGGATATAGCATGCTTAAAACCAATCTATGATGACGTCCAGACTGTAGCATTTTGTCATGGAAGGGTAAATAAACAGTCTTAAGGTGACTTACAAAGTCCTTTTCTCTCTGATGCCGCTCTTCAACTTCCTTCATCATTTCCTGAGCTTGCTGTAGCTTGGCATCAACCAACTGCTGCTGCAGGTCTTTGTGTTTGAACACTTTATCAATTCGCTGGGGGGCAAAGAAAAATTGAACGTAAGACTAAAGTAATGGAACAATAAAATAAAGAATTCCGTTGTCTGTAGAACACAAAATAAGTGTTGCTGCACTACAACCAGCTGAGTACACTTCACCAACTACAAACTGTTCTTTTACTAAACTACTTTACAGTCAAGGATTTACTGCCCAGTCCCAGCTTGGGGTTCCTTTAATGTCTTCCGGGTTTGCTCCCTGGTGAACTAAACAGCTTTTTCACTGGACCAGTAGGTCCGGTGAAAAAGAATCAGAGAGGATAGTACCAGTCTATCCTGGGCATGAACCCTGTAGATTAGAGAACTACAAAATGGTGGATCACTAGGTTCCAAAAACTGGTAAATGTTGTACAGAGCATAAAATAAAGTGTCAAATAATGTACGGGGTTAGCTAAGGGAGGGCTAAGACTAAAATCAGTAAATGTGTATCTAATCAGGCTTTATTGAGTTGTGCCTCAGATACATTAACTGAAATAGACAAAATAAGAAATAGCAGATAAGGGGGAAGGAATCTCAGAGAACGGTAGTAATGGTGAGAGCTGGTTCTAATATTGCAGGAAGTAATTATATGGCCATAGGTAATAATGTACTAGTGCAGTATCTATCTTCACTTGCACACCCTTACTACAAGGTAAATATAATTTCTTATTTTGTATATTTCAGTTAGTGTACAACTATTTGATACTTTATTTTATGCTGTATACAACATTTACCAGTTTTCCACCATTTTGTAGTTGTTCCCTGGGGACACCAGGAAAATGCACCCCATAAGTACAGCAAGAGCACACAATTAGACATGTTCACTCAGTGCAAAGAGTACTTGGACAGCACTCTGCACATGAGCAACCTGCCTGTCAGCCTTGTATACACACATGCCAGACTTACATGCCCTTTTTTCAGGCAGACCCAAGCGCCATTACCTCAAAATACCCTCTGGTTATTGTACACCTTATGTATTAGTAAAACCTTCTTTGGACAGGTCATCTTTATACAGTTTCTTGTTATAGGTGTTTGAAAAGTATTACTACTTAAAAATAACATGCATAAAAAATAAATATATATATTTTTTAATATATACACTTTTTAAATATTTTTATGTTCTATAAATGTTATTTTCTTTTTTTATTCTCAATCAATAAAATATTTCCAATCTCAATCAATGCACAATATTTAAAAATGCCTATACATTGCAAATACGTTTTTATTCAAATGTTTATAAATGAAAACGTGTGAATGCTAAATATTTTATTAACAGTTATGTTTTGAGAAAAACATAAAACAAGTAACAAAATAAGGAAATGTACTAAACAACAAACCTGTAAAGTTCAATATTAAATTAGCTCTAAAATCTCTATTTTTTTCCTCTTTCTGTTCATATCCATTTTCTGGAAACAAATATACTGACCGTGCTCTCAGGTCATTTGATCCACCTCTTTTGCTTTAATGTGACTAGTTTTTTCAATAGAAAATAAATTATTACTTTTGGTAGCCAATGAAAATTGTTAATTTCACCTCCTCTCTGAGCTCATATTGTTCAATCAGTTTCTTCAGTCTGTCAGCCAGTTCCACATTCTCTTGACGCAGTTTGGCATTGCGTTCATTGTGCTGCTCCATCTGTGTCTGGATGTCATTCAGTGTCACTTGGAAGTGGGATGTTACCTCCTTGCGTTTCTCTTCCTCCTCACGCGCCCGCTGTACACCTTCCTCCTGGGGGGGTTGGGAATAAAGAGAAAGTGTGCAATTTGAGTACAGATAACATGAGCGAGCATGTCCATATAACCCATTTATTCTGCAGATTAGGAAAATTACCCCCCCCCCCCCACCACATTGAATTCATGAAGATGGTCAAAAAAAGTGTGTTCTCCGCATCCAATTAAAACTGCATTGGGTTGAGTACTGTTAGAAACCACATAAACCACATGTGAAAGACAAATATGTGGCCATTTACCATGGGGGCATGACTGAGCAGATTAATACAAATTCAGAGAAGATTTAAACACTGACTTATATGAGCAGCCCATTACTTGCATCTAGTTTTGCAACTAATAAGGCATTGAATATGTATGCACGCTTATACCTGTAATCACCATTTGGAATTGTGTGTGATAGCACTGGGCGCAATCTTGTGTGTTCTCACATACATTGCAATGTGTGTCTCATCAATAGTTGCCTCTTTAGTACCTCGCTTGTGCATACAGCATACTATATAATGCACGTTTATGTGGGATGCTCCCCGCAGCTAGCAACAGTAAGTGAAGATGTGTGCTAATCTACACATTTACTAAATTAACACCTCTACTGCTTTCATTGTCACTCTGTTATTCTTGTCACTGTCATTACCTCCAAAGTGTTGTCATTCTGGCTGCCCTGCTTCAGTATATTTATTAAACTGCTCATATATTATACTAAGCTTTAGGACAACATGTTACATGCTTGGAAGCATAGGTGTACAGTTCAACTGTACCATGTTGGACAGTATGAACGCTTTGTTTATAGCTTTATTTACCTTAAGGGTGCGATTATGCCTCTGCAGCTCTCTACACAGGCTTTCCAGCTTACTGCGAGCCAAGATAGCCTTGCTGTGCTCATTACGAAGCTGATCCTTTTCCTGGATAAGTTGTGTTTGCTTTTTCTGCAGAATCCTCATCTGTTTTTGGGATGTCCTATGCTCTTCCAACTTTGGGAAACACATAGAAGCATGATAAGCCACACTGCAAATTCAAGGGTACGGTCTATGGTAAACTTGTATCTTTGCTTTGCGAAAGGACAAAAACTACTTATTCTACTTACCAACTCTGCATATTTCTTACACAAGGCAGTCAGCTTTTCTTCTGGGGTACTGAGTGTGTTCAGAGTCTGCATTAATAATGTGATCTCTTTTCCTATGGCACAGTGATAAGGGACAATTGAAATATACAACAAACAACAATGACAAACAGGACTCACTTTATTCACATGGTTTATCAGATCATCACTGGATTACAACCAGCAATAAACGTAATGTGACCTATGGCAATATCACTCACTGCAGTGTAAAATGGAAAAGGCATGGTAACCATCTACTTTAATTGGTGCCTTTTATAAAGCAGCTTGTAGTGAAAGGAGAATGAAGGTTGCAGCACTACCAGTGTTATTAGTGGAGCAGTAGGCAGTTTCTGCATAGTGCAGTAATAGAGATGGCTTTCCCCGCCCCCCTTTGCGGTATCCTGACGGACATCACATTCTCCTAGGCAAAAACTATTGATTATTATGGTTTGCTTACAAAACCTAAGTGAATGATAATTTGTAAATGTGCATGCTGCTGGATGCAGTGACTCTCCTGACTCTTGTGGTGGACCCCAGGAATGAAGTCAAACTGTTAGCAAATTGTTGGATTATTTACACTGCAAGACGGGCCATGGCACTCCTGGAACAATAACTACAATGCTCTGTAGTGCTTATGAAGGTTGGAGTGTAACTTTAAAATATATGTAGCCCAACAAAGGCTATAGACCAAAGGTTTCAATGCTGCTAGTAGGTAAAAAGTACTGTCATGGAAGCTCCCGTGCCACAGCCTGCTGGAGAGGCATAACAGCTAGCCTCCTGCCCACAGACTATGGACCAAGTCACAGACTTTAAAATGATATATAGGATATGGGGGCACATTGTGTTAATGTTGAGCTGGATGAAAGCTATTGTGTTAATTGTATTATGTAAAAGCTATTGTGCTATGTGTCTTGGTGTCCAGCAGGAAATTACGATATCATGTCGTGAACCAATTATGTTCCAGACTTCCAGGCCACTCATGTGTGACTTCTCACATCTTACAGAGTAGCTCTTCTGGGGTCCCAGCTTCAAAGAGGAATTTAGGTTGTAGGCTCTGGCCTCCCATACAATCAAGTTAACCCCTTTTGGAATTGACAATACCACTTCTGCAAGGCAGCCAGTTCATATATGCACAAACATAACTTTAGTTTTACCGAACCGATCTGAATGCTTTTTGGATATGTTGTGCGCTCAGATCGCGGCTATTCGGAATATAATTTTGTGGGGTTCTGATGCTATTACTATTTTTGTGATATGTAAAAATTGTATGTAAGTTTTCCTATTTGAGAGTTAATTGGATTAGCCTAATTGGAGCTCAATTAGCTCTTAAACACAATGGCTTGTGAGAAGGAAACCCCTGTGATTTTGTATTAGAAACCCCATGCTAAGGGCACTGCATAAGAAGCTGAGTGTGGCCTAATCAAGTTGAGATTGCTGCTTTTACCCAATACGACTGGTTGCGTCCATTATATTGGGGATACTCTACACAAAGGGAATACTTTCACTATAATAACCCCTTAATGACAACTTCAGAAATAAAAGGGAACCATGATGGAATATTTCCGTCATGTGTCCTTAAGGGGTTAAACACAACTGTAATTAGGACTAGGGGGGGATTGAAGGAATAACAGCAATAGACTCATGAACCCATGACAAGTACTGATGATTATTGTTCGCTTACAAAAAATAGGCGACTTATAATTTGTAAATGGGCATTCTGCTAGATTTGGTCTAGACTTTCTTTAAAATCTGTGCTTTGTAAATGTCTAGATCCTGCACATGATATAAGAATTTAAAGTTGACATGAATGCAACTGACAAAATGGTGCAGATCTGGATGAGTTGACAGAATTTCGAGAGGATTTGGCTTTAGTAAATATGAGAACTGTCAATCCGGTTGGAACTTGGTTACGTTCACCGAATTTGGTCCATCCGAAAAATTTCGTGAGGCTCATGGAAATTTTGTATGGTTCCTAAAATCTAGGAAAATTTGTACATTCCAAATAACATGCATGAAAAGAAATTGGGGTCATTTTTGACATGAAGTGTTATTTTAAAGGAATATTAAGTTACGCTGTCAGTTTTGGATTTTTTTATTTTATTGAAAGCAGTTGTGAAAAAAACAATTAAAGCACTTGGTATCCATATGGTACATTAACTTTTTTTTTTTAAACATACACAGAAAAGTTCTGGGGGGAATTAGAATTAAATATGGATTAATTTCCATACTGTAGTGCATTTTAACCAAGTAACGACCACATGAAGGTCATGACAGTGAGAGCATAGACCCTCATGCAGTAAAAATACCAGCAGGGTTTAAACCCCTTCTTTTGATACCTGGGGATCTCCTCTATCAGCTCTATATGCTCGGTTTGCAGCTGTGGCCATTATTAGTGGCCCCAAACTAACATATGAGCTGCATGCAGAGCTCAACATGAGATCATCATGCAGCTCTTAAAGGACCACTAAAGTGCCAGAAAAACAAACTAATTTTCCTGGCACTATGTATTCCTTAGGTCCCCCCCACCCTCATGGCCCCCCTCCCGCTGGGCTGAAGGGGTTAAAACCCCTGCAGCCACTTACCTTTCTCCAGCGCCGGGCTCCCTCAGCGCTGGGGAACTCTTCTCCTCCTGCCGACGTCAGCGCGCGCTTTCAAACTGCCCATAGGAAAGCATTACTCAATGCTTTACTATGGACGTCAGCGTCTTCTCACTGTGATTCTCACAGTGAGAATCGAGGAAGATGCCTCTAGTGACTGTCAGTGAGACTGGATTAACCCTCAGTGTAAACATAGCAATTTCTCTGTAACTGCTATGTTTTCAGCTGCAGGGTTAAAACTAGAGGGACCTGGCACCCAGACCACTTCATTGAGCTTAAGTGGTCTGGGTGCCTATAGTGGTCCTTTAATATGGGGACTTAAATCACCATAAACAGCAATGCAGTGTGAACAGGGTTAAATCTCTGATGAGATAATTGGGGCTCCCCTCTGTCACCTGAGGCACCACATTTTCTTGAAGAGCTGCATTCATGCTGAAAGTCAGCACTGTTTATAGCCCTTTAAATACATAGATAACTCTGCAGCTGAGCAATCATGTTCAGCCACAGTGATTCTCTTACTAGATCTGATTGGGATGGTTTAAAAAGACCCTGAAATGTGTCCCTTCATGACCCAATGGCATTTTGATCAGTTTTGTGCTTTGTCAGCTGCCCAGCACTGATCACAATGCATTGATCATACTATATCCAATATCAAAGATAGAAAGCGGACATACTGAAAATAGCCAGTAGATGACAGCAACACACCACTCTGTTTTAGCTTCAAATTCCCTTTTGTTAATATCAGTACTGAGATTAACAGAGGGATCCCTTTGTGATTAGAATTAAATTAGGTATTAAGATTAGGGATCAATTGATATTGATTTTTTAGAGCCGATACTGATAATCTGTGAACTTTCAGGCAGATAGGCGATAACATACCGATATTCTGTACATTTACCATTTTGAAAAAATAAACAATTTCTAAAAGGTAAATGCACAAAATATACATGCCACGTGTAGTGGTTGCAGTGTGTTTAGACAGAGGAGCTGTGTGTTTGTGTAGTGGATGCAATGTATTTGTGTAGTCTGTAAATAATGAATGCAGAGTGTGCGTGTGTAGTGTGTATATAATGAATGCAGTGTTTGTGTAGTGTATATAATGAATGCAGAGTGTGTGTGTAGTGTGTATATAATGAATGCAGTGTTTGTGTAGTGTATATAATAAATGCAGAGTGTGTGTGTAGTGTGCGTAAAGTGAATGCAGTGTGTGTAGTGTGCGTAAAATGAATGCAGTGTGTGTGTGTGTGTAGTGTGCGTGTATATACTAAATGCAAAGTATGTGTGTTTGTGTAGTGTGTATAGTAAATGCAGTTTGTTTGTGTAGTGTGTATATATAATGAATGCAGAGTGTGTGTGTATTGTTTATATAATGTAGTGTGTGTGTGTGTGCACAAACACACTGCATTATATAAAAAACTACACACACACACACTGCATTATATAAACACACTACATTATATACACAGTGTGTTTGTGTAGTGTGTTTATATAATGCCGTGTGTGTGTGTGTTTCTGTAGGTATGTAATTTGTGGGGAGGATGCATTTTGTATTTAATTTTTTTTTAAAATATTTAAATAATTATTTTTTAGTCCACCCCTCCCTGCTTCTTACCAGGGAGGGGGGGATATAGCATTCCCTGGTGGTCTAGTGGCATGGAAAGTACAGAGGGGCCCGCAGCGAGCGCTTATTTACCTTCCCTTCAGCTCCCTGTGTAAATCTCGCGGCCTGTGTACCGCGTTGCCATGGTAACCCGTGGCAACATTACGACGGCCGCGGGACTCGCAAGATTTACACAGTGGAGCTGAAGCGAGCAGCTGGGAAGGTAAGTACGCGCTTGCTGCGGGGCCCCCCAGTCTTGTAATGGGCCCAGCGGTCCTGGTATGTATTATCGGCAATATCGGTATCTTTATTGGCCAATACCGATATTACCGAAAATACAGAATAGCACCAGATAATATCGGCCAGACCGATAATCGGTCGATCCCTAATTAAGATTATAGATTAGAAAAAAATAGTAACCCCTTAAGGACGCAGCTTCAAAAACTGGACTTACCCTTAAGGACACAAGCAATTTTTGAATTTTTTGCTATTTGTGTTCAACCTCAGTTTGCATTTTTCTTATTTATTGCACCAACACGTTATATACCATTTTTTTTTTTTAAAGGACAAAAAGGGCTTTAATCTGACATATACATATATAAATTCTTCTTTATTGTAAAAAATAAAAAATTGTTTTCTCCCCCCCCACAGTTTGGGCAATAATAACATTTGTATAATAAGTGCAGCTTAAAGCGGCACGGTCATGCCGAACTTACCTTTCTTTAAATCGGTTCCTCTTATCTCCCTCTCTCAGGATCTGTTCTACATTTCTTCCTGTCTGCTCTGGTTTTCTTTAAAACATAAGACAAAGTAAGGACTATTTGTCTTATGGAGGTTTCCTACGCCTGACCAGCGGAGGAGCAAAGTGTGCTTCATTTCCGGTGATTTGAGAAATTTTCCCACAATTCTTACCTTTTCTCCCTGTTCCCACGATGCTTCCTTTCACTTTTCCTGAACATCCTGTCACTTAGACAGAACGCCGGCAAAACTACTGAAATGCGTCCTAACAGAATGAGAACAGTTTGTTCATTCATGTTAGGACGCAATTCGGGAATTTGCTCGGATCGGAATTTCATTCGAATTAATGAAACTCCGATCTGATATCTACCAAAAGGCTGAAAGACCTAAATTGGTCTTTCAGCCAAATTTACTAATACTAAGTAAAGATTACTTAGTATTAGTAAATTTTGCCCCTACCCTACCTATTGTCCCCCACCACCCCGCCTACAATCCCTGAGCGGCGGCTGCGTGCCCTAAATGAGTATGGGTGGGACCTATTGTCTTTCCCCCTGGCCCTCACCCCAGAGCGGCGGGTGGGGGCCCTAAATGAAAATGTCCCGTGTCCCTCCTCCAAGGTGACTAGGGATCCCCAAGCCCCTAGTCACCCTCCACCCCCCAAAAAATAAATTGTTAAACCCCTACCTGCCCCCCTCACCTTAAAAATAGTGAGGGGGTATAAAAGAACTAATTACCTGTAAAAAAAAAAATTTAACTTACCATTTGATGTCTTTTTTTTCCTAAAAATCTTCATTTTTCAGAACCAAAAAAGCCCAAATAAAAACCATAATACCTGTCAAAAGTGTAAAAAAAAATAAAAAAAACGAAATATAAAAAACCCAACGCTAAAAAATTAATGCATCTTTGCCCGGCGAGGGCACGACGCAGACTGAGCTCCGCGGAGTGGGGAAAGGCTTATAAAGCCTTCCCACGCACTGCAATTTGACTCAGAACACTGATTGGTTGGCTTGAAATACAACCAGAGTTCTCTGTGTCATTTTACACTGCGTGGGAAAATTCCAAAGAACTTTCCCACGCTGTGTAAAATGACACAGAGCACTATGATTGGTTGAATTCCCCCCTTATTGTTATTTATGGCCCCCACCCGGCGCTCAGTTTTCCTGGCACTATAGTGCCCTCAGGGTGCCCCCACCCTCAGTGTACCACTCCCGTGGTGCTGAAGGGGGAGGAAGGAGTTAATCCCTTACCTTTTTTCCAGCGCCAGGCTCCCTCGGCGCTGGGACTCTCCTCCCTCTTCTGATGTCATCAGCTGAATGCGCATGCGCGGCAAGAGCCACGCGCGCATTCATCCAGTCTCATAGGAAAGCATTCTCAATGCTTTCCTATGGATGCTGGTGTCTTCTCACTGTGAAAATCACAGTGAGAAGCGCGGAAGCGCCTCTAGCGACTGTCAATGAGACAGCCACTAGATGCTGGATTAACCCATAGGTAAACATAGCAGTTTCTCTGAAACTGCTATGTTTACAGCAGAAAGGGTTAATCCTAGATGGACCAGGCACCCAGACCACTTCATTAACCTGAAGTGGTCTGGGTGCCTATAGTGGTCCTTTAATAGCCATCACAGAAAGCAAAATTGCCGCACAAAAGTATATATTTATATAAAGCACACATCACAGGCTATTTACCGAAGGGTATTCTGACACTTTTTACATAGCCACTTCGACGCCAATATCTGCTAAATTTCTAGCATACACACATAAAACAATTTTTTTTATGTGTATTTCATAAAGCTTATGTATACTACTGCTGTAGAAAAAGATAATTTTGATGGGTGCAAGTCTCATTTTGGGGCGTTGTAGCAGTTTGACTGTTGAATTTATCCCTCAATGACCTATTTGTGAAAGTAGACACTACAGTGCATCTCATATGGTGTATATTGTGCCTTAACATGATGGCATTTTTTCACCAATTTATGTCAAACTTTGTGGTAAAATTTTATTTATTTTTTTTGCATATTTTACATACACATTACATTTTTGGGGGTAATTTTTCCAGTCTGGTATGTGCCATTGTGATCAAACCCCCATAATTATGCTCGGCAAACTCTTCAGAAAAAAACAAAATACCCCCAATGTATATCTTTGCCACTATCCAGTGAACCTACAGTGCCTTTAAAGAGTCCTGACCATTACAGTTTTTACAATTAGAATTTTGATAAATGGATTTGATGTGTCTATATCACATTTTAGGGCATTGTAGCAGTTTGACAGTTAAAATTGCCCCATAAGTGCATACCATTTGTGAAAGTAGACACCACGGGCTGTGTCATATAGTATATTATAGAGTTATGTTAGCACCAATTTCTTTCAAATTTGATTTTTGCATTTTTATACACACTTGTATTTTAGTGGTTAATTTTGGAAACTTGATATATGCTACTGTAAATTAAATCACAATTATTCTCAGCTATATTTCCGAAGTACAAAAATGACCCCTTTGTATGCTTTCGCCAGGTTTTTGTGAAAAAAATACAGGGCTAAAATCATACCAGGCCCAGTACAGTTTTTTTTTGTTTTTTTAAATGGCAAACTGACTTTGTCGTTGTTTCATTTTGGGGCATTTTAACTGCTCATATATTTAAATTACGCCACCAATGCATACCATAGGGACGTAATCCCATGTGTAACCCTAATTATAACCTTAATCCTAATCTCAATCGAACCTTTAGCAATGGTGTCAGCAGAGGAATTCCCTTGTTATATTCAGCAAGGGATGCCCGTGCTGACCCTAATCTGAACCATAATCCCAAATACTACAATTAATTATAAACCTAAACTTAAACATAAATTTAATAATAAACTTGATAATAGATCTAATACTTATTCTAAACTGAATAATAATCCTTAATTTAATCTTAATCCAAAAGGTTTCCCTCTGCTAAAATCAGTACTGATATTAGAAGAGGGATTTTAAACTAAAACAGACAGTGGTATAATTGCTGGCTATTTTCAGTATTGCAGTCTCCTAAAATAGCCCCAGCTGACAGAGGGAAGCCCCATGTATCTATTGATACCTAGGTTTCCTGGTGTGAGCAGAGATTTAACCCTGCTCACGATACATTGCTGTCTATGGGGATTTAAATCCCCATTAAAAGAGCTGCATGCCAACCTCACTTTGAGCTCTGCATGCAGCTCAGCTGTCAGTCTGGGGCCACTAAAAATGGCAACAGCTGACAGAGGGGACCCACAGGCTTCTAATGATACCTGGGTTCCCTAGTCTGAGCAAGGATTTAATCCTGCTCACACTGAATTGTGCTCTATGGGGATTTAAATCCGCATTTAAACAGCTGCATGCCGATCTCACTTTGAGCTCTGCATGCAGCTCAGCTGTCAGTCTGGGGACATTAAAAACGACCCCAGCTGACAGAGGGGAGCCCCAGGTTTCGAATGATACCTAGGTTTCCCGGTGTGAGCAGGGATTTAACCCTGCTTACACCACAATCTAGATATAGGTATTTAAAAGCCTATTTAAGCAGATACATGCCGCGCTGACTTCCAGCACTGCATGTAGCTAATCAAAAAGTCTGAGTTTACTAAAAATGTCCCCAGTTGACAGAGGGGAGCCCCAGGTTTCCATTGATACCTGGAACTCCCTTGTGTGAGCAGGGATTTAACCCTGATCACACCAAATTGTAATAGTGGGGATTTAGTGCTTGTTTGCAGCGCTCACTTTGAGCTCTGCAAACAGAGCATCGGTCAGTCTGGGGCCACTAATTCTGGCCCCAGGTGAGCCCCATGAATCAAATGATACCTGGGGCTCATAATTACCAGTAAGGTAATAGACCCTGCTTGAAAAATACTGCACGGCGTCCTTAAGGGTAGGATCAGCATAAGGGAAAATTTTCGTCATGCGTCCTTAAGGGGTTAAGTTTAGAGTTTGCTTTATATTTAAATTGGCTTTAGATTTAATTTTAGGATTGGGATTAGGTTATGTATTAGGGCTAGTAAGGAAATCCATCTACTGAAATCAGCAAGGGAATTCCTTTGATGACATGAGTTGAGGGAATCCTTCAAAAACACTACTTAAAGGAGAACTATAGGGCTAGGAAAACAAACTCGTTTTCCTGGCACTTTAGGGTCATTAGGTCCCCACCACCCTCAGGGATGAATGGGTTAAAACCCCTTCAGCCACTTACCTTTCTCCAGCACTGGGCTCCCTCTGTGCTGGGGAACTCTCCACCCCCTGCCGACGTTAAGGCACATTAAAGCCTTAAAAATTGTATATATGTGTTGGTGTATTAAATGAGAAACATAGAAATTGCTGTTGACGAAACCCAAAGCAAAAATTGCTTTGATCCTTTCGTGAAAAACAAACTAAACTTGGTCTTTAAGGGGGTTAAGGCTCTCCGGATGTTTGCAAAAAGCATGCCTATAAAAAGTAGATATTGAAAAAAGATTTAAATGTGGAGCCATCGGCTTGTTTTGATGCCATATGCTGCACAGATAAAACTTGAATTAATAATTACTAGGCATTTCTGAGACTCTCTGCTGCCTTTATATGCAGAACTACAAACAATCATTATTCTTTTCCCTTATGTCTCACTTCCTCAATTCCAACACTCTTCTTGACCCTCTTTAGTCTGACTTCCACCCCCTCCACTCTACTGAGACTGCTCTTATTAAAGTCACTAATGACCTAATCACTGCTAAGGCCACTACTCCATACTAATTCTTCTTGACCTCTCTGCTGCCTTTAACACCGTTGATCATGCTCTCCTTCAAACTCATCAATTACTTGGTCTTTGTCCTCTAGTGGTTTTCCTCTTATCTCTCCCAAAGTTCCTTCAGTGTCTCCTTTTCTAATGATACCTCCTCCCCTCGTCCTTTCTCGGTTTGAGTCCCCCAAAGCTCTGTCCTTGGTCCCCTTCTATTTTCTCTTTATACTGCCTCTCTTGGCAAACGTATTACCTTATTTGGATTCCACTACAACCTGCAGGCCGATGACACCCAGATATATCTCTCCTCCCCAGACCTCTCCCCTGCCGTCCCGCAACATGTCACTGCTTGCCTTTCTTCCATCTCTGACTGGATGTCCTCCCGCTTTCTGAAACTAAATCTCTCTAAAACTGAGCTCCTGGTCTTTCCTCCTCCTAATACTGATCCTCCTCTTTTGCTCTCCCTTCAAGTTAGTGGTATCCACGTAAGTCCATCCTTGCAAGCGCGCTGTCTTGGTGTCATACTGGATTCTGGCCTCACCTTTGAGCATCACATCCAGCATATTACCAAATACTGTAGATTCCATCTTAAAAACATAGCCCGTATCCGCCCCTTTCTTTCGCAAGATGCTACTAAGGAGCTTGTCCATGCTCTAGTAATTTCCCACATGGATTATTTTAACCCTCCCCTAACTGGTCTTCCCAAAAGCCGAATTGCCCCGCTACAGTTTGTAATGAATGCTGCTGCCAGACTGATTTTCCTCTCTAGTCGGTCCTCTCACACCTCACCTCTCTGTCAGTCCTTACATTGGCTTCCTGAATCCTATAGGAGTCAATTCAAAGTGCTAACCCATACCTATAAAGCACTGAACAATTCTAGCCCCGCTTATATCTCTTCACACATCAATAGGTATGCCCCTTCTCAGTCTCTCTGCTCTGCCCGTGACCTTCTCCTGTCCACTGCTCGCACCCGTACAGCCAACTCACACTTACAGGACTTCTCGGGGGCGGCTCCCTTCCTATGGAATAGCCTGCCTACCGCCATCAGACTCTCCCCTAGTCTTCAATCGTTTAAGAAGTGCATTAAAACCCATCTCTTTAGGAAAGCTTATGGCCTCCCAGAGTAACCTCTACCTCACATACCTGTCTCTTGCTCTTTCTCAAAGGGCAGCACTCTACTCTCTCCTCCAGCTCTGCTTCATTCCCACCTTATTGGACTATTTCCTGTCCTAATGAGTTTTATACCACACCTCCTATAGACTGTAAGCTCATTTGAGCAGGGACCTCTTCAACCTATTGTTCCTGTAAGTTTTCTTGCAATTGTCCTATTTATAGTTAAATCCCCCCTCTCATAATATTGTAAAGCGCTACGGAATCTGTTGGAGCTATATAGATGGCAATAATAATAATAATAATAATTCACAATGTTCAGTGTCACTCACCGAGCCCCTTTGCTTTCTTCTTGTCTTGAATACGCTTTTGATCCCGGTCAGTGTCATTGATGTTTTTATTATCTTCTGCACCTCGTAACTCCTCTTTTACACCGTTGATTTCTGGTACTACTAACCCCGACTCCCCATTTCTGGTAGACTCTGGAGGACCTCTATCTGTCTCATCAGGTTCAGCTACTGCTTCTTGCTCTGCATCAGTGCAATATGTGTTTAGTATATCCTCCAGTTGTCTACTAAGCTCTTCAGATACATCACAAATAGTAGGTGGTTGACCAGCTGCACCTTCTTCTGCCAAAAAAAGCCAGATTTATAACAAGAACAAACATAAAAATAACTAACAAATATACATAATCTGTTGGACTACATTTGCCAGAATTCTCAGCCAGTTAAAAAAACTCCAAGCACCATAACAAGCTGATCACTCTCAGTCAGTAAGCTAAGTCCTGCATTGTCAGGCTTAGCTCAGATAGAGAGCTCCTGGCAGGAGCAAAGTGAGTGATTAGGAGCAGAGTAAGTGATATATCGGAGGAAAGAAGTCAAACTTCCGTTTTGCAGTATAGTGTTAAATAGAATGTGGAAGAAGAAATTAATTTTGTGACAAATACTGAAGCCTGAACAAAGCTGAATCTGCCAGGCACCTAGGATCTATATAACCAATTCTATTTTACTTCTGTTACGAAAGAAATTAGATAGATATATTTCATGGTCACTGCCTCTGCCGTATGGTTAACTTTTAGTGAAAAACTACTTCAGAATTAATAGCAAACTTATGGAACAAGTAACTCCAACCTTTTTATTGTTTATTTTTGGACACACTCATCATAATACTTCCTGTCAGCCACTGCTTTTGTGTGCATACCTCAATTTTATTTTCATAATTAAAATGTCAAGCACCAGGATTTGAGTCTTACATCAGGCTGGGAAATTAGCTCTTCGTATTCTCACTCATTTTCTTCTATTTGGCTATACAATTACACCCTACTTATATGCATATTCATTCTGCCACTTCATTTACTGATACTATGACACAGCCATTGTGCTCACCTTATGAAAATACTCTAAACTCTGTAAGTGCAGGTTCCGCTTATAAGGTAAAAGTCTCGGGGCTTCATGGAAAGCTTTTACATCTGAGGTACTTTAATATGAGCTGTGTGACAGTCTCTGTGTCTTAGTTGTAAATAAATACAAAGCCAAACAATGACATTTCAGACAGAATTTGGTCAGTTTAGCCATTTTAAGTGTGGGTCCCAAAATATCTGGGTGATGCTCACCTTGACTGACCAATGGGGCAGACGGACATATATCAGGAGTGCTCATGTTATTGGATGCTGATGGTGGTGGCAGTGAGGTGGCAGCTGTTAACACTGGAAGACCTGTAGTTATGCAGCTTTCTAAATCCTGGTCCTTCATTGTCTTTTCCTAAAAGATAGAAAGTGAAAGAAGATAAATCAGTGTGTGCCTGTGAGTTATACACAGCACTGTACAAAGCAATCCATGCTGTGTCCATGGTACAGTGCTGGTTGTGAGCATGGTACAGTGCTGTGTCCATGGCACAGTGCCCCCCTGGTACAGTGCTGTGAGCATGGTACAGTGCCCCCCCCCGGTACAGTGCTGTGTGCATGGTGCAGTGCTGTGTATATTCAGTATAATTGCTGCCGGTCGCGGTGTGTGCAGAGCTCTATACACAGCATAGTTGATGGTCTAGATTGCTGTTTACTAATTGCTCTGATAGTCAGGGCAGTCATTGTAATACAGACGGTGAAGCGGTTTATTATTATGTATAAAGTTCAGTCAGACACTCCCATGGCAGCCCCGGCCTCACCTAACACAGTTGCCTGCTTGGATGTTCTCTTCCGGAAGACAACTGCAGAGACAGAGGGCCCTGAGCCGGACACCGCTTAACCAATCAGAATGGGCGATCGGCTCAATCATCCAATCCCGTCTAGGGGGCGGGACTAACGGAAACGGCCGCTGGTCCTACCCCGCAGCGTTTGGATTCCGTCTACAAGCGCATGTTTTCATTGGTTGGAGTGAGCGCGACGGAACAGAATCAGACAAGGGCGGGATTCACAGCGGCAAGTGAAACACTACAAGTACCGGCATGCTTTGCGGAGAGTGCGCATGCGCAGGTAGCCTTGTTCTGGCAGAGTTTGAAGCCATGTGATAGTGATGTGACCTTGGGCTGTGCCTGCTATTCTGTGTGTCCTTCTCCCGCCATGTACTGTCTCATTCTATTAATCCAATAAACATAGCTACACCGCCTGGGAACAAGCTCCTTATATACCAACATTGCAATGTAATATCCAGACACTGCCACCTAACTTCCCAACATCTCCAATGGACATGTAGGGGTGTGAGCAGGGGTGGGGCTATTCTGGGCAATGTTAGGTGACTTACTCATTGGAACTACAATGTATTTTATTTACACAGACTGGTTTATAAAAATATTTATTGCAAAGAACCCGGACTGTGACATCTCCACTGGGGTTCCGACAGCAGGTGAGTTCTACTTACCCGAACCTGTCCCTCGCAGCCGCTGCCATTTTCTTTAGGCGGGTCCTCTTCACCGCCAGCACCAAATGTCATTGCTGTACTCTCGCGCATGTGCGAAACTACAGCAATAATGTCTATGGGAAGAGCAAATTCCCAATGAGCTTTACTTTGTCTTATGATTTTGGTTAGAAATAGATGAAAAAGAGAAAGACAGAGTAGAAAAGAGGATGAAGTATGAAGAGCATGTATCCTTTAAAAAATAAACAGTGCAGATTCCAATAGAAATAGGGGAAAATGAAAAACTATGAATTTGTCTTGTTACACTTTCTGGCTGTCAGACAACTGCTTCTGTTACTTCCTGGTTTGGTTAGCTGAATGGAGATAAACTCAAGAGGCAGCAATGGCTCAGAGCACCTGCCTTGCAAATACTTCTCATTGAAATGCATTGGGAAATCTGTGGTTGGACAGCTTCTTCCACACACAGAAACATAGCTGCCCTATGGATTGGTGGTCTGTCAAGGACTCAGAGCACATGCTTATGGTGCCCTGCGTCACTGATAAGCTCCTTCGTACCGAGAGGAACTCTTAAACTTAACTGCACCTGCTAAAAGTGTAGATCACAAAGAGAGAGAGAGGGTGCGTGTGTCTCCTCCTCTATCCCCCCACACGCAGCCATGTCTGAGTTTGGCCAAAGTGCCTGGTGCTCTATCAGATTTCTATACTGTAGCAGAACCCCTTTTTGACTGTCCCATTCCTTTCATTTATTGTTGGCACTGCAGAGATTTTCCTGTGCTTGGGGTACACAAAATTCCATATAACTAGATGTGGCCATACTTTGTTCGGTATGAGAATACCAGCTTACATGTGAACGACTAAATTCACCATACGAACAAAGTACCGAATGAACTGGACCACCCTGATGTGAAGAAGTGATATAAATTTAACTCCCTGACTGCTTTTCATATTCCCTGTACGCACGAACACATCGCTGTATTCCCTGGGTGATCGGCCTTACGGCAGCCGAACATGTGGCGGCAGCCATTTTAAATCCGCGAACAGCGGTGTTTGGTCGTCGAGTGTCTGGAACTCAAAACAGACACTCGACTAGCAAAACACCGCTAAAACCTCCAGGGCTTCAGAAGGCACGGATGGAAACCCACGAACGGCGCGGCGTTCGGTAGGATGAATCCCACGAACTAGGGGATTCATCCGGTTACCGAATACACTATGGATGGTATAGCAGTTCGGGACTTTTGGGGCACGAATGGAGACCGACCGCAGGGCCAGATTTCATGGAACTATTTTCGGCTACTTTACCCATGCAGTCGGTCAAAACATTACCTTCCCATAACTCCCGAACCCCTGGTCTGATCTGGGTAATTTTTGGATATGTTTCTCACCAAGATCAGGGCTACCAGAGGGTACCATATTTAGGGGCATATTCCACCTATTTGGGGTACACCTGAGAAGTGGGGAAAAGTATGCCTTGTATAATTGTGTTAAGTGCTAATGTAAGGGGAGGAGATGTGTGGGAGGTAACGTCGATGGGATTGGATAATGTACTAATTGTGGTGAATCCCTCCCTTGCATGGGAGAATCTCATAAAAGCAGGAATGTTGCCATTAAAAGTTAGTTCTGCTCCTGATACTGTGTGTCATCCAGTGATTGGGAAAGGTGATGGGATATTATTGGATTGTATTGCTGATTGTGCTGGATATTCTCTTGGATTTACTACTTGCTCCTGCATCCTCTTAATATATTGGTGGAGTTTAGCTGTGGGAAATCAGCTCTTCGTTACATATACCTACATCACTTCCGGTGCACATGTGTCACTGGAAGTGACTCAAAATCAGATGCACGCTAGCAGGTATCTAGGTATAGAATTCTGATGGGAGGTGCCGCGTGCATGAACGCGGTTTCCAAATCACGCGCGATCAGCTGAGCCACTATAGATTTATATATCTGATGGATGTGCTGTGCACATGTGTGGTACACCCATTAGATTAGTGGCCTAGCTGATTGCGTGATGCCTTCATCAGAATTCTATACCTCGAGGCCTGCTAGTGCAGTGACGCAGGTATAGAAATATGATAAAAAACCAGCACGCTCTCACTTCCTCCCAGCAGATGAGAAGTGGACCGTTTGCGCTATTAAGGAGGCACAGCGCACTACCAGGCCTCATTATTATTGCCATTTATATAGCACCAACAGATTCTGTAGGGCTTTACAATATTATGAGAGGGGGGATTTAACTATAGGTAAGACAATTACAAAAATTTTTACAGGAACAATAGGTTGAAGAGGACCTTCCCTGCTCAAACGAGCTTACAGTCTGTTTCATGGCACAAGTCCAGCGGGTGGCCCTAAGTGCACAGTGAAACAGTTTGCTCTATTACCCGGGAATAAGGACAGGGTACTCCTACCTTCATTCACACAGTTCCTTTGGGTGAGAAGGAACTGTACGGATAGTGAAACATACGAGGCTCAAGCCAGTATGGTGAAAAAAAATAATGGAAAAAGGGTACAGTCAAAAAATCCTTGAGAAGGATATAAAAAAAGTAAAAGCAATGGATAGAAAATCCCTGTTCGAGTACAAACAAAAAATTCCCTGAAGAGAGACCAAAAATTCCTTTCATATGTGATTTCAATAAAAATAGTAGTAAAATAAGAAGAATTTTTAATAGATTTTGGCCGATTTTAAGTGGTAACCTTTTAAATCAAATTTTACCAGAAAACCCCCTTGTAATCCATAGAGGAGCACCAAACTTTAGGAAGAAATTGGTTTATAGCAATATAAAAAAAAAAGATTTAAGGGGCGTGGTTTGACGGCCGCCCTGAATGGCCGCCTAACCTATGAGCTCCTGCTCAATTCACTTGAAATAGAGCACTTACCATAGGCATCGAACCTCACCAACAACTTTGAACGACACAGACTGGCACAGGGACAGATGCGAAGACACAGCGTAAAAAGAGAGGAGAATGGAAAGAACCCAATGTCTCCGTAATGGACATGTCTCCTTGCGTCCCTCGAGGCCGCAGCAAGATGGCCGCCGAGCTAGCCCACGAGGCTCTCTCTCACCGGCCTCGATGGCGGACAGTGAACCCCACGATAGCTTGCCAGGAGACACCACACAAATACTGGCTAAGCTTGCAGAGGTCTGCAGCCTTCTGGCCGGAGAAATCACCCGCAGCTCCAGGGAGGTTAAAGCTGAGATACACGCCATAGGGGCCCGCACCACCCAACTAGAGACCAGAATTGAGCAAATAGCACTGGCTCACAACGCAACAGCTGCCTACTCAAACTTCATGGAGCAACACAAAGCTGAAATGGAGATGGAAGACCTTGGAAACAGATCCAGGCACAACAATCTCCGGGTGCGGTGCTTACCCGAAAAACAAAACGAAGGCCCTCTACTAACATTAATGGAACACTACTTTAAGAACCTACTACCCGAGATCCCAGATGACAAGTGGGTTATAGACAGAATTGTTTTTATTATTAACATCCCATGGTCAGATCATAATGCACTTATAATGTTAATTAAAGATGATTTTATTGAAGATAGATCAAACTGGCGCTTGAATGAGCGACTCTTATAAAATATGCCAAATCTAAGTGTAGTTAAAGAAGCTACTGTTCTTTTTTCAAAAGAGAATGCTAGTAAAGAAATTTCTTTTCCTATGATTTGGTGTGCCTATAAATGTACAGTAAGAGGACATCTAATTAAATTATGTCATCTGAAGAAAAAAAATAATAAATTCGATGAATTTAGCTGAATTATATATAGAGCTAGATCGACTAGAGAAAATAAAATAGGCTGGCCCGTCACTAGAAACATTTAACAAACTTAAAGGGACACTCAATGAAGTGGTCTGGGTGCCAGGTCCCTCAGGTTTTAACCCTTCAGATGCAAACATAGCAGTTTCAGAGAAACTGCTATGTTTACATTTGGGGTTAAAACAACCTCTAGTGGCTGTCTTCCGGACAGCCACTAGAGGCGCATATGCGACGCTGGAGGCACATTTTGCCTCCATCACACAGAGCGTCCATAGGAAATCATTGAGAAATTCTTTTCTTATGGACACTTTGAATGCGCATTCGGCTACGCTGACGTCGGCGTGGGAGGAGAGGTCACCAGCACCGAGAGAGCCCGGCACTGGATTAAGGTAAGTTGCTGAAGGGGTTTTAACCCCTTCAGCGCCACGGGAGGGGAACCCTGAGAGACACTGGGCAGCCTTATTCCGAATTGATGGCAAATTGGTAAACCTCGGGGCTAAAGAATTGGGCCCACAGGCACAAGGAAATTAATCGGTGAGCCTTTCATGAAAGGCTAATGCTTAGAAGAATCTGCTTAACCCTTGGTGGTCACAGGTTCAATTCCTCAGCACGGTTGACTCAGTCTTTCAGCCCTTTGAGGTAGATAAAATGAATACCATTAAATTGGGTAAAAGTTACATCAATAGGATGTACTTGGAAACCAGAAAATATCCAAATGTCTCCTTCCTTGTCAAACATTTTTACTTACCACCATTTCAAGATGGAAGGTATCCATCTATCCAAGATGCCTACCTGCCTGTACCAGTAGAAAATGGCAGTCGTCCCTCCTTATGGTTCCTCTGGAACGGGACGCCATGGCAATTCACCTGCCTCACCTTCGGGCTCAGTTCGGCACCACGGTGCTTTACAAAACTTTCTGAAACCAGTGATGGCTCACTTACGGGGTCAAGGCATACGATGCCTGGACGACATTTTACTCTCCGACCAGAATCACAACCACCTTCTTTCACCAGTACCCATGATGTAAGAAATCCGACAAGAACTTCAATGATGGCTCGACAGTATAAATGCCTGGAATTGTTGGCAGGTGTCTCTGCTATACGAAATCTAAGAAAAGGGAGATCTGATTGTATCCTGCTATGCATGGACAATTTCTACGAAGTTCGTCACATCAACCACTTATTTGGCATTTGTTCTCACATACTGACGCACCTCACAAAGGAAATCTTCCACTGTTGCCTACCACACAATATCACAGTGATGGAGGAACATCTTACAGGGGAAACCTCTCGACACTGGAGGGACAACGATTGGCACCGAGCTCCACACATATTGGCAACACTGAACAACCTGATAGATCTGCTCATGATCGACTTTTCACATCTAGCACCAACCGCCAACTAACGATTTTCTACAGCTGATTACCAGACATGGAGGGTGCAGGGGTAGATGCATTCCTGCAGGCATGGCCGACCGAAGAGGCATTTCCACCCTTTGCAATGATCGCGAGAGTGGTTCACCACATCAGATCACTGGAAGTGGCAAGCCCCCTGATGACGCTCCGGTGGCAGAGTCATCCTTGGTCCCCAGATCTCCTCGCGCTGTTATACCAGGACCCTCCACTATTAACACATGATACTCACGGATTTCATGGGGAATCCTCATCCCATGCTACAAGAAGGACATCTCTCTCTAGTGGCATGGAGTTTTTCGGGGGTGTTTGATGCACCGATGACTTATCGTCAACTGATAGAGATATACTCCGGGACTTAAGAGGAAGTGTTACCTCTCAGCTTGGAATTCATGGGTCAATTGGTTGAATTTCGGACATTCGAGCATTCCACGTGGACGCCTTCTCGTTTTCTCTGGAAGGTGTCACTCTTCAGGTGTCTCAACATACAAATGAACTCAACGCCGTTTTTTTTTACCCATTTTTTTCCATCGGAACCCAACTTTACATGGTCCAGACACTGCACGCCTACGTACAGCTACGACCAAACTACAATTACCTCTTCCCGACAATTATAGGTGTCCTATGTTAAGCCACATGGGCAAATCTTGCTTACCACTTTGACCCCCTGAGTACGATGGCTTCTCCTGCTGGGATTGACCATTCCTTCGGTGCGCACTCAGTTTGGGGTGCGGCGGCCTTTTCCGCCTTCACAGCGGGGGCCTCCTTATCAGATATATTGCTCTTGTCAGACTGGTGACAAGAATCCACCTTTCGGATGTTTTACTCTCGCCTGTCCTCCATTGTCGCTTTCTCTCTATTACCTTAGCGTTAAAAATGCAAAATATGAAGCCTCCTCTCATGGGATAAAATTGAAGATTATGTTAGCTTTAGTGTACTAAAAATCTTAATAATGACAGGAGGCAAGTATTTCCCCCCCCTTGAATTTATCTCCCATTCAGGTGGGTTCACATCTCCAGGTAGGTGATGTATGTTATCAATATGGGACTAGTAGTTTTCTTGTGACTGCGTAATTGACTCCATTCATACTAGATGGAAAGGGGTTGTTTTTTTCCATATATAGTTGATATATGTATAGATATTCTATATTAGGTAGCTATATCATGGTATGTAGGTTACATTTTATAGATCACGATAGTGCAAAATATTGCGCACCTTTTATGTGAGGGTTACTCATATTGTTCAAGTTTACATTTCATATCACTAAAATGCTCTCGGTCTCTTTCAGCTTAAAAGACACAAAGAGATCTTCCCGAGCAAGCGTACAAGGATATTCGTTGTCAGTTTTGAATGATTCCAACCGTTTTTCATCGCTCCTGGAATTTGAATGGTCTTCGTTATTGCGTATGGTTCTTCAGTTGATTGTGTGACTTGTGATGTCGCTGTTATCAAGAGGAAGTGACTCAGTGGAAGGTGTATCTTATACTCTCTGCCTGTCTCTGATTGGTTCCTTTTTTTCTGTCTTTGCGGCTATGGAGTAGTAAAGTAAGATTATGCAAAATACTCGCCTCCTGTCATTATTAAAATGAAGATTATTAGTACACTAAAGCTAACAATCTTCAATTATTGATTGTTCAAACATTCTGCACAATTTTTCTTGCATGGTTCCTGATATGTATATATATATATACATATATACACACACACACACAGTCCACAGGAGTTTGTAAAGGGATATACAAGACAGAAGGTCTCTGTTGCTACCTAAAAGGCACAAAAATGCCAGCACATTTAGAGCCATAATGTCAAAAAGGCTCTTTAAAGGGACACTCCAGGCACCCAGACCACTTCTGCCCATTGGAGTGGTCTGGGTGCCAACTTCCACTACCCTTATCCCTGCAACTGTAAATATTGCAGTTTTCATAAACTGCAATATTTACCTTGCAGGGTTAACTCCTCCGGGATTCAAGCACAGATCTGCACGCTATGTGAGGACCTCCAGCGTTGCTAAAATCACCATAGTAAAGCATTGAAAGCATTTTCAATGCTTTCCTATGGGAAGGTCTAATGCGCGTTCGCGGCATTGCCGCGCATGCGCATTAGGTCTCCCCCGCCGCCGGCCGCACACGTGCAATCGGTCTTCCGTGCCGGATGTCGGCAGCGGAGGAGCGTAGGCGGACCCTGAACCAGCGCTGAGTGACATCAGCGCTGGAATCAGTTAAGTCACTGAAGGGGTTTTAACCGCTTCAGCAACATGGGATAAGCGGTGGGAGGGAGAGGGGACCTGCTGTGCCAGGAAAACAGTTTGTTTTCCGGGCACTGGAGAGTCCCTTTAATTGTGAGCATCCCTTTTTAAAACAAAATTTTTATACTGTTGCTTGTAACAATATTATATTTTTCTGTCTTTTCCCGGCATGTATATGAAAACATGGGTAAGCTCTGAATCTTTTTAGCGCTGCACTTTACACAGTTTGTGTCAGAAAGTTTAATTAACAGGGCAGGACATAAGAACCTCTAAAGTAAACACACGGTGCTGTAAACATGGACCCCCAATACTGGAAGGATGGCTAGGGCTGCTTAAACAAAATTATCTAAACTGTAAATGACAGAGAATTGAGCTGTTAGGGGCATGACCTATACACCAAAAGAGCGCACCCCTGCAAAATTGTTTTTTCATAAAGATAGAATCTTTGGATAATACCAGTCTCCTCCATAGACCTCAATTCTGTACTCTTGATCTTGCGTGACAGTTCAGCAGAGATGTCGGCTCCTGGCACTCAAACACCAAGACCTGTAGAGGACCTAGTGGGAGAAAATCGCAGTGCCTGCAAGGGACAGCTTCAGATAAGTAGAACTCACATTTGCATACTCCCCCAACCTCCAGCTCCGCAGCTGCATTGTCACCATCGGGTGACTGCACTTTAATTAAACTAAAATAAATTTGGCGCTTTAGAATACATTTATAGAATAACTGAAGATTGTAAGCTGCAAATATACTACACAATGTAATGACCCAGCAACAATATTTTATAGTTTGGAAAAAAATAAATAAATTGGCATATCATTAGTTGGGACCTGTAGCTTTCCAAAAACCTGCGGTATACACTCTGAACACAGATTTATTATTATTTTTTTTTACTACTATAGAAGCAAACAATGCAAACTAGCATTGAGTATAAAATATATACACACACGACAATCTTAAAAATAAGGACACCACTATATTCCACACCACTGGTTGTCTATTACACATACACATGTGCAGGGGCGACTCTCTAATTAGGTGGTTTAGGCGGCCGCCTAAGGCCTCACACCCGCCTAAACCGCCTGAGGGCAGACTGTGCTGGGTGCTCGGTCAGTGACTGAGGACTTGACACCAGGAGGGGGGGCCCAGCGACTTGCTCAGTATGCCGCCGGGTGCGAGGCCCCTCCTGTCTGCCCGGCCAGCCATCAGACACCGGTCTGCAGCTCCACAGTGAGCAGAGCTTCAGACCATGTGTCTCGCCGAGGACTGGCCAATCAGAGCGTTGCTGCGGGTTAGCACGGCAATGCTCTGACGGGTCTCGCGAGATACATGGTTTAACCCAAAGTAATGGCTACCGGACCACCAGGGAGCCCACCAGACCACCAGGTAGCCCACACTGGACCACTAGGGAATAAATCAAGGTAATCACACCATTACCTCCCCTCCCTCCCTCAACATCCCCCCCACATCATCACCCCTTCTCCCGCTCATCACCCCCCTCTCACCATCACCCTCTCACACAGTCTCCCCAGACACACTTTTAGCATCCCCACACATTGTCACCCCTCCCTACACTGTCAGCCTCTTCATGCATCCACATGCACATTAACCACTCCTAATCCTGTTAATCTCACCCCGTCCAAACTCATCTGCTGTCACTCTGCCACACTCACCCTGTCATATTAACCCCCCTTAATGCGGTTACACTCGTCCCTCCTACCATGCCACAATTGCCCTGACACATTTACCTCCACTCGCCCTGTCACACTCCCTCATCAAACCATGTCATACTCTCAGGCCCTCATTCTCTCTCACAACCGCCCCCCTGTCCATTTACCCCCTTTGCCCTGCCACGCTCTCCCTGCCACTGGTACCCCTTTACTCACCTTGTCACAGTCACCAGCTGAAGACAGTCATCATACACATACAGTCAAGAAACATATCTTTGCCATAAACACCATGCACAAAGGCTACAGGCAGACCCCCCATACACACAAAACACTTTAAGCAGCTACCCCATACACATAGGGTCCCAGACAAAAATGCAAACATGCTCACAGGGACATACAGTGCCTTTCAAAAGTATTCACCCGCTTGACATTTTACCTATTTTGTTACATTACAGCCTTAAGTTCAATGTTTTATTAATCTGAATTTTATGTGATGGTTTAGAACACAATAGTCTAAGTTGGTGAAGTGAAATGAGAAAAATATATACATAAAACTATTTTTTAGAAGTAGAAAACAGAAAATTGGCATGTGCATATGTATTCACCCCCTTTGTTATGAAGCCCATAAAAAGTTCTGGTGCAACCAATTACCTTCAGAAGTCACATAATTAGTGAAATGATAGTCGCCTGTGTTCAATCCAAGTGTCGCATGATCTGTCATTACATATACACACACCTTTTTTGAAAGTCCCCAGAGGCTGCAACACCTAAGCAAGAGGCACCACTAACCAAACACTGCCCTAAAGACCAAGGAACTCTCCAAACAAGTAAGGGACAATCTTGTTGAAAAGTACAAGTCAGGGTTGGGTTATAAAAAAAATATCCAAATCTTTGATGATCCCCAGGAGCACCATCAAATCTATCATAACCAAATGGAAAGAATATGGCACAACAGCAAACCTGCCAAGAGACGACTGCCCACCAAAACTCACGGACCGGGCAAGGAGGGCATTAATCAGAGAGGCAGCGGAGACCTAAGGTAACCCTGGAGGAGCTGCAGAGTTCCACAGCAGAGACTGGAGTGTCTGTACATAGGAGGACAATAAGCCATACGCTCCATAGAGTTGGGCTTTATGGCAGAGTGGCCAGAAGAAAGCCATTACTTTCAACAAAAATAAAATGGAACATTGAGTGTTCGAAAAGGCATGTGGGAGACTCCGAAAATGTATGGTCTGGTCTGATGAGACTAAAATTGAACTTTTCAGCCAAAGAAAACGCTATGTCTGGCGCAAACCCAACACATCACATCACCCAAAGAACACCATCCCCACAATGAAACATAGTGGTGGCAGCATGATGCTGTGGGGATGTTTTTCAGCAGCCGGGACTGGGAAACTGGTCAGTGTTGAGGGAAAGATGGATGGTGCTAAATACAGGGATATTCTTGAGCAAAACCTATACCACTCTGTGCGTGATTTGAGGCTAGGACAGAGGTTCACCTTCCAGCAGGACAATGACCCCAAACACAATACTAAAGCAACATTTTAGTGGTTTAAGGGGAAACATGTATATGTAAATGTGTTGGAATGGCCTAGTCAAAGCCCAGACCTCAACCCAATAGAAAAACTGTGGTCAGACTTAAAGATTGCTTTTCACAAGTGCAAACCATCCAACTTGAAAGAGCTGGAGCAGTTTTGCAAGGAGGAATGGGCAAAAATCCCAGTGACAAGATGTGGCAAGCTCATAGAGACTTATCAAAAGCGAACTGGAGCAGTGATTGACGCAAACGGTGGCTCTACAAAGTATTGACTTTAGGGGGGTGAAAAGTTATGCACATTGACCTTTTCTGTTATTTTGTTTTATTTTTTGTTTGCTTCACAATAAAAAAATTTTTGAAAAAAATCTTCAAAGCTGTGGACATGTTCTGTAAATTAAATTATGCAAATCCTCAAACAATACATGTTAATTCCAGGTTGTGAGGCAACAAAACACGAAAAATGCCAAGGGGGGTGAATACTTTTGCAAGGCACTGTACATTCACACACACAAGGATACGCTCTGTCAGACACTCTCAGACACATACACAGGTAAACTGTGCATCAATGTGTATATATGACAGCGTGCATGTATTGCAACTCTATTTTTTTCACTTTTTTGTTAGTGGGACCTCATGTTTGAGTTTCGCCTAAGGCCTCAAAGTCTAGAACCGCCTCTGCACATTTGGGTGCAATAAGAAGCAAAGATGAAACTTTAGGTTTCAACAATCTCATAACAGATGTCAAAATGGCTTTGTGCCATAAACCCCAATCAGCAAAAGCAGACTGTGTCACTTTGGGGCTAATATTAGTTGATTTGTTTCCTCTACATGTCTATCACTTCTCAATTAACCCCTTAACGCCATTCTAAGCCATCCCGCATTAAAAGGGCTTAAAAGCCGTTGCGGCGGCATAGAACGCCGTAACGGCTTTCAGCCCCTGGAGCTCCAAAAAAATTAATTTTTTTTATAAAAATGCCCACCCCCCACCAAAGCTCTGCAACACAAGCACACACTGCATCACACACACACACACACACACTGCGTTCATACACACACTGCGCACTCATACACACACTGCGCACTCATACACACACTGCGCACTCATACACACACTGCGCACTCATACACACTGCATTCATCATATACACACACTGTAAATAAATATTCAATTAATATAATTTTTTTAGAATCTAATTTTATTTAGAAATTTACCAGTAGCTGCTGCATTTCCCACCCTAGTCTTATACTCGAGTCAATAAGTTTTCCCAGTTTTTTGGGGTAAAATTAGGGGCCTCGGCTTATATTCGGGTCGGCTTATACTCGAGTATATACGGTAATTCAAAAAACAAAATAGTTCACAGTCTCATGTCTACAGATATTTTTAGTGCATAACTATGTATATTAACTCCTAACTATAAATGCAGCATGCAAGAAACAGATACACATTGTGTCCAAATTAGTCAAGTTACCTTGCACTAGCCAACATTTATGTCAACAGACCGCAGTGTATTTTCGTTTTGTGCTGCCCTAGGAATGACAAAACTTTGGCACACACTGTTTAACCAACACACACACTCACTGACATACACTCGCTCAGTGTCAGAGACATACACCCAGAGTAAAAAAACAAACAATAACAGAAAAACAAACATACTCACTCACAAGACACACTTAGTGTCTAACACACACTGACAAACACAAACTCTTACTAACAAACACTCTTTGACAGACCAACATACACACTTACTAACAAACACACCGATACACTCAAAATGTATTTTTTATTTAAAATTTCAATCCGCCCAGCCACCCTACCTTTGAGAGTGCGGTCATTGATTCTCTATTTCCCTGTGGGCTAGTTCCTGTGGTGTTGGACGTGCGGGCAGTCAATTCAGGCAGCAAGGGAGCTCTGATCTTCTTGCTTAGTGATGGCGGGGCAGGAATGACATATTCCGGCTCCAGCATCACTGTGGGTCGTTGAAGGAAGCTGAGCAAGGAGAGCTCAGAGGACAGCGATCCCTCGACGACCGCCTTTCAAAACAAGCAGATGCCAGCCTCAGGGGGAGGGGTCTAAGCCCGCTAGGACAAGAAGCTGACAAAGCATTTTCCAAGGCGTTTGTGGGGCGGCTTTTTTTGCCACCCCCATGAAAATGCTGCCCAAGACATATGTTTTGTCAGTCTCGCGCTAAGCAAACCTGTGCTATTTGAATAAAATTTAAATAATTAATAATGATATTCCTATTACAACAAGTTTTTAAAGAGACAGAAACACAAATTAAATCTATATGCAATAAATTGGAGTATCTTTTAGCCAAAGAGTTAAAGATAAAATGGGAAGTAGCTACCCTTGAAAAGTACATTAGGGAAAAAATAGTCCCTAGAGGCTTAAGATTTGATAAACTTCCCACATTTGAAAGGGAAGATTTGGATTTTATGGATGAGTGGTATGCCCTAATGGACAATCTTTCAATTCAACCTATGACCTTCATTATTAAGAGAAGGCAACTTACATTGAGAAAATTAGACTCTGAAATTACTGATTTAAAGAAAGATTGTGAAAGATTGAAAACAGAAAAAGAGTTCATTGAATTATCATACAAGCTTGGAGAGAGATTAGATAAGTTAGAATATGAAGTGGTAGAAGTAAAACAGAAAAAATATAAAAAAGAGACATAGTCGACTATAAAACAAAGACAGCATACACTAAGAAGAAACCATTTTTTAATAGAAGAGAGAATTCTATACACAACAATACATGGAGGACATATCCTCAAAATGTTAGGAAAGATTTTCATGGATCATCATTTCCTCCTAGACATAATAATAATATGGGAATAAAAAGGAATTATGAACGTCCCCCAGTAAATAAGTGGCAAAATGAGAGAAGCCAAAATTACCAACATAATAGTTACCAATACAAAAGAAATCATGGCAGAGATAATACACTTGAAGAAAACTCTTTTTACGCATAATCGATTTGAGGCATTGACAAATGAAAATAACCACTCTTCTCCTTCACTTTTTTTAGAGAGGAGAACCAGGAAGAGGTTTATACAATCTCCTCCACCCTTAAACAAAAGGTTCAAGAAAAAATTAGTGGAAGGAGAAGAGGGGGAAAGAGAGTAAATAAGAAAAATAGAAAGAATTTAATTAACGAAACAGGAAAACAAGAGCAATCACAAAAAACAAGTACAACTCAAATCCCTAAAGGTATTTTTAATATATCTAAAAAGGTTTTAAAAGTGGAACAGTTAGAACTATTAGCAAAAGGCTTAAAATTTGCGCCTACTAAGGGAATAGACAAATTTAAATTTTACGTGGATTTACAAAAAGTTATGAGAAAGCTATGTTTAAAAAAACATTTTTATAAAGAAGCAAACAATATTTTAACTCCTTTAAAGTCAGAGACTTATTTATACGATGAAGTTATACACACTAATTTAAAAGAAAAATCTGTGTTTTTTCCAAAATGGCATTCATCAGACGAAATGACTACTTTTCAAAATATAGTGAATAAAGAAATCCAAAGATTGAAACCATTGAATAAATATCAATTAAATCTTTCATTACAGGAACAAAAAGCATTAAAAGAATTGAGACAAGACAAGGAAATAGTTATTAAGCCGGCAGACAGGGGGGGGGGGGGCACAGTAATTATGGATAAAGAATACTATCTTGAGGAAGCCTATAATTTGTTAGGTGATCAGGTAACTTATTTAAAATTAAATAAGGACCCAACAAATGATATAAAAAAGAAATTAAATTTATTAATAACCCAAGGATTTGAAACAGGCATCCTAAGTAAATCTGAAAGGGATTATATAAATATAAAATTTGAAAAAATCCCAGTATTCTACTTCCTACCTAAGGTCCACAAAAGTATCAAAAAAAACCCTGGCCGTCCGATAGTTTCGGGCATTAATTCGGTTTCATGCAGACTGAGTATGTAGATTATATGCTCCAACCACTGGTTCAAAAAACACCTTCGTATCTAAAAGATACTACAAGTATACTTCAGATATTAAGTGAAATTACGTGGGAAGATGACTATTTATTAGACACAGCAGATGTGGCTTCCCTTTATACGAGTATAAAACATGATTTAGGTGTACAGGCAGTAGAGCATTTTCTAAAATTTTCCTCTTCATATCCACCACAACAAATTGAATTTATTTTAAAATCGATCTCTCTTATTTTAGAGAATAATTATTTTTGGTTACAGGGAGATTTTTATCTTCAACTATGCGGCACGGCTATGGGCACCAAGTTCGCCCCCAGCTACGCCAATCTCTTTATGGCTTATTGGGAATATATCCATATTGAGGAGGGCTATGGCGGGGGGTAGAATTTGGTGCTATATAAAAGATACATAGACGATCTCATTATAATTTGGAAGGGTGGAGAAGAATCACTCCATAAATTTATGGAAATACTCAATTCAAACCAATGGGGTATACAATTAACTTCGGAAGTCAGTAGTAGGGAGATTAATTTTTTGGATCTCACAATATATATAGAGAATAATAAAATAAAAACAAAAACTTTCTTTAAGCCAGTGGATGTGAACAGCTACATCCAACACACAAGTTGCCATTTTAGTCCATGGCTAAATAATGTGCCAAGCAGTCAATTAATTAGGATGAAAAGAAACTGCACAGAAGAAATAATTTTTCTAGAACAAAGCCAAAAGATTATTAAAGATTTTAAAGAACGTGGGTATAAGGAAGGTTTTTTAAATGAAACTAAAAGAAAAGTAGACAAATTAGAAAGAAATTAGATTTTAAAGTATAAGGAGAAGAAGAAAAATAATACGGTGCCGAATATCCCATTTATATGTCAGTTCTCGGGAGGACATAATTATAAAGTGCGTAATATTATTAAGAAACATTGGCAAATACTCAGGGATGATCCCATTTTGAATGATATTTTAACAGATACACCTACAATTATACATAAAGGAGTTCCCAATTTAAATACAATTTTAGTTAAAAATGTTTTAGATGAACCACACCAACAGGAGAATTTTTTAAATCAACAACAGGGTTTTTTTAGATGTGGGTATTGTAGTACGTGCAAAAAAATAGCAAGTAAAAAGCAACATGTTAAGGATTTTACTGTCAATAATATCACATACCGAATAAAGGAAGGTATAACATGTAGTTCCAAAAACATTATATACCTACTTACCTGTACGTGTGGTCTACATTATGTAGGACGAACGACGAGACCGTTATACACACGTATAGGTGAGCATGTCTATAACATAAAGAGGAAATATGCGCTACACCAAGTGTCAGCACACTTTGCACAACACCATCAGGCTGATTTTACACAATTATGTTTTATTGCAATCCAACGAATCTCGAGAACATGGAGGGGAGGGGATTTCATAGAAAAAATAGGGAAGGCTGAGATGCAATGGATTTTTACTTTAAATACTATGGTTCCATATGGCCTGAACAATGACTTTGAAATTTGCCATTTTTTAAAATAATGAATCATATGTATATATATTTTTTTATATATTTTTCATTTTATATGAATACATTTTTTAATTAATTATAGCCTACGGACATACCAGTCTGAAAGTGCCTGATCTCGTCAGATCTCAGAAGTCATGCAGACTTGGGCCTGCTTAGTACTTGTATGGGAGACCAACTAGGAACCTCAGGAAGCCGTATACTTTTAATTAAATTTATTTTTTTAAATATACACTTTTATCCTTCAATGTTTTATAACTGCTTTTCAAAAGCATTTTTAAATTAATTGTTTTTTTTTAAACTTATCAATTTTTTCCAATTCATCAATTATTTTTTGAACCTCAGATTTTCATGCTCTCAGTTCTATTCCTATTTTGTTTCACAATTATATTGTTCACATTTATATGGATGATAAGTCTTTTTGTGATTGCACTTTTTTGTGATTGCACTTTGTTATGCACCTTTCCCACTGGGACACTCTCTGATAAATAATTACCACTGTTGATTCTAATTATTATTACATTTTATTCATGTTTTATCTATTATATTGTGTTTGCCAAAAATAAGAGTAAGTCTTGAGATATGCCAATTAATAGTTCTCTCTTTTTATCCTTTTTAGGCAATATTGCTTTAAATCATAACTAAATTTAAATCTTAATCAATATTAATATGCTGTGTATCTTTGTGATTTTGTGATTCTATCAATGCCTTTTTGCTGTTTAATTTTGCCATGTTATTTTTTTTTTTCTGCTGTGTATCTTTGTGATTTTGTGATTTTATCAATGCCTTTTTGCGGTTTAATTTTGCCATGTTATTTATTTTTCTGCCATGAACAATCCTTTAAAGAGTCTTAAATGAGTCTTTAATTACAGATGTAGATTTGAATCCAAGTCCCATTAAACTTTATGTCAAGATATTTAGTTAATTTAATTGAACAATTGGACTTTTTCAGTTGAATTAGTGATAAACCAATCATGAGGGATTGTTGCCCTATTTAAGCCCACAACCAAGATGAAGGTTGTGAGCACGTCCTGAGGAAGCCGATTGGCGAAACGCGTTGACGTCATACAAAGGGGGAGGAGCTTACAGACCACGGAGTCCGGAGGCGTTTGTTTTTCTGGCAGCAGACAATACACGAGGAGATTCTCTAGCAGCCGAACAGGAAGAACGCCGGACGAGCAGCCTACCACCCTAATGATTGAACTCTGATAGTGAGTTGACATATATGTGTCAAACTCACCACCTTATCTAGTAAGGGGCTTGTCACCCTATTTTTTATCATCATTTTTTATTATTCTATTTTATGTATATATGTACTGCTTTTTCTGCATGTGGCAGATAATAAATTTATGTCAGCTTTTTCCTATTGGGGTTTCACCAAATATTTCTTAAAGTGATACTTCACAATTTATGAATTGTTATAAGTATATATGCTTATATATTTTTTATACAATCTGCACTATCATTGCTTTTTTTCCCTTTTTTCTTTACATATATACCATTATTGCTGGAAGTTACACTTAAAATCGAAACCAGTTTGTATATATATATATATTTCTTCTGTCTTATATATGGTATAAATTGCTCCACTCACTAGCACACAAAATTTAAATAAACTCAGCAGCCTTTTGACAGTACAGGCAATTTTTTTTTTTTTTTTAAGTGCTACATTGTGCAAACTCATGGATATTTTATACCTTTTTAACAAGGCCTTAGGGTTAAAAAATAAATAAATAAGAGAGAAAAACAATCCTAAAACAAAAGGATATGAAAAAACAGGCACAATACCCAGCACTGCATCATAATTATCAACAGAGATACATTTTTATTTCCCCAAAGTTACCTTGAGTGTTTGAAAAGTTGACGCTGTAGTTCTCTTCATCCATGCAGTTTGATAGAGATCATTGTAAGGCATGTAACAAAAGTTGCAGCAACAAGCCATGACCAAACTTTCCACAAAAAAATACAAATCTTACATTTTCTTTATCAAAACAGGACCAAACTCAGAACAGAACTTTTCATAAATATTTTTATTTTAGTGAAGTGACAGCAACAGCCTTAAAACTATACCAGCAGAGAATGTAGGAATGATATAGCAAAGTACACAATGCTTCATATAGTGAGAAATGCCTGCCCAGATATAATGGCCTCTCCAACTTTGCATGACATGTAGACTCTAGACAATGCGGATGTTGTTACTCTGTAAAATACAGTTTGTGACGACTTAAACCTCTCTTAAAGGGTCACTATAGTCACCAAAATCAACTAAAATAATCTAGTTTTGGTGTCTATAGCCTGTCCTTGTAGGCACAGCAATGTAAGCGCTGCCTTTTCAAGGGCACCTAGAAACGTACCTTTTCCAAGCTAGTTTTGTGAATGGGGAGTCATTGATTGGCTGAGAGCATCCGCTAACCTCTCTCAGGAAATCAGTGGTGCTCCTGCCCAGTGGCACTCCATGCGCCCAGAATCTGACATTGCAGAAGCCACATGCCGCCAGTGGGTCGCTTAGATCAGTGCTGGAGCTAATGTCGGGGGTTAAATTGTGTGAAAACGGTTTAAACCCTGAATGTTAGAGTACGCCCAGCTCCATAACAATTTAATTGAAATGAATGCCTCTTATGATGACTTAACTGTTCCTTTAAAGTTTTGTAAACACCCTAAAAATGTCAGCCTATCATTTTAGAAACCTGCCTTTTTTCTGCTTACTGGATCACCTTGCATGTCACCTCCACGAAAGAGCGCAAACAGCAGCATTACATTAGGATACTGACTGCTCATTAATTATCTGATCTTAACACGTATTATTGTTTCTTTTATTAATTTATCCCTGCGTTATCTAGAATTCATCATATGCATCTCACCATCAAGTTTTAAATGGAAAATCTAGGCACAAGACTCACTACAGCGTAATGTAGTGGTTCTAAAGCATAGGATTGTTCTTGCAGGCTCAACACCATCACAAAGATTGCAGGACTGACATTCAGAGTCTCCACGCCCTGCATGTAGACACTCAATGCTCCCCATAGGGATGCATTGACTCAATGCATTTGTATGAGGAGATGTTGATCGATCACAGCATGGAGATTGCTTTGCATGCACAATAGCCCCCCAATGCTTCCCTGTGGCTGAGATCATTAAGTGTTCTTGCATAGCAAGACCACTTAATGTTATCTCACATATATATTATTATTAAGTGTTCTTGCATAGCAAGACCACTTAATGTTATCTCACATATATATTATTAAGTGTTCTTGCATAGCAAGACCACTTATGTTATCTCACATATATATTATTATTAAGTGTTCTTGCATAGCAAGACCACTTAATGTTATCTCACATATATATTAAGTGTTCTTGCATAGCAAGACCACTTATTGTTATCTCACATATATATTATTATTCTTATTATAGCCAAATTTGCCACCCTAACTCCTCCCACAGTTTTTACACTACATAGACCAAAATTTACCAAAACGTGCAGATTGTTCCCGATCGGATTGCTATTACTTTGTGGAACGTTCCGCCGAATGGTTCACGGAATATCGTCGTTCTTGTGGCGCAATTTGACCCATAGGAATGAATGGCAAAGCTAGAGTGGGAGCTGGCAAAAGCTGAAAAATCAGGACATGATTTCCAAACTGCCACCACTCCCTTATTTTCAGGCCCACCTACACAAATCTTATATCAAAACGTTCAGCTATCCCTGCTGCCACTAAACATGTCAACGGCTAAGCCGTAGTCCTGATAGTTTTTACAATATGACCATTTGTTTGCAACCAACGCCGTCCATTGACATTCATTGAAACTTCACTCTGCAAAGCTCAAATTTGAAGTGCAATTTCTAAACTGCGACTGTGCCTTCAATTTTAATACTTCAGAGACATACTATGCATCAAAATGTAGGTCTGGGTCTTGTGATTCTCACAATATAAAGCTCTTCACTGTAGGAGTTATAGTTTTAAGATACGACCGTTTGAAGATGGCAACCACCAAAATACTCTGACCTGTGTCAAGCTGCAGCAGCAAGTGATGTCATAGACAGGGCCTTTTGAACACCTGCTAATGTTTTTATAAATGTATGGTTTAATGTAACTGTGCAACAACATTGCAATTAAATGTGCTATGTAAATGATAACAGTTACTCCGCCCACTCCAGTTGTAGACTACAGGTGGAGGCAAGAACACTTCACACAATTTCCCTGAAATTGTAACTTTTCTAGTTATTAAGTGTTCTTGCATAGCAAGACCACTTAATGTTATCTCACATATATATTATTATTATTATTATTATTCTTATTATTATAGCAAAATTTGCCACCCTAACTCCTCCCACAGTTTTTACACTACATTGACCAAAATTTACCAAAGCGTGCAGATTGTTCCCGATCGGATTGCTATTACTTTGTGGAACGTTTCGCCGAATGGTTCACGGAATATCGTCGTTTTTGTGGCGCAATTTGTCCCATAGGAATGAATGGCAAAGCTAGAGTGGGAGCTGCCAAAAGCTGAAAAATCAGGACATGATTTCTAAACTGCAACCACTCCCTTATTTTCATGCCCACCTACACAAATCTTATATCAAAGCGTTCAGCTATCCCTGCTGCCACTAAACATGTAAACGGCTAAGCCGTAGTCCTGATAGTTTTCACAATATGACCATTTGTTTGCAACCAACGCCGTCCATTGACATTCATTGAAACTTCACTCTGCAAAGCTCAAATTTGAAGTACAATTTCTAAACTGCGACTGTGCCTTCAATTTTAATACTTCAGAGACATACTATGCATCAAAATGTAGGTCTGGGTCTTGTGATTCTCACAATATAAAGCTCTTCACTGTAGGAGTTATAGTTTTTAAGATACGACCGTTTGAAGATGGCAACCGCCAAAATACTCTGACCTGTGTCAAGCTGCAGCAGCAAGTGATGTCATAGACAGGGCCTTTTGAACACCTGCTAATGTGTTTATAAATGTATGGTTTAATGTAACTGTGCAACAACGTTGCAATTAAATGTGCTATATAAATGATAAGTTACTCCGCCCACTCCAGTTGTGACTACTGGTGGAGGCAAAACACTTCACACAATTTCCCCAGAAATTGTAGCTTTTCTAGTTATTATTCTTATTTAGCAAAATTTGCCACCCTAACTCCTCCCACAGTTTTTACACTACATAGACAAAAATTTACCAAAACGTGCAGATTGTTCCCGATCGGATTGCTATTACTTTGTGGAACGTTTCGCCGAATGGTTCACGGAATATCGTCGTTCTTGTGGCGAAATTTGTCCCATGGGAATGAATGGCAAAGCTAGAGTGGGAGCTGGCAAAAGCTGAAAAATCAGGACATGATTTCTAAACTGCCACCACTCCCTTATTTTCAGGCCCACCTACACAAATCTTATATCAAAACGTTCAGCTATCCCTGCTGCCACTAAACATGTCAACGGCTAAGCCATAGTCCTGATAGTTTTCACAATATAATCATTTGTTTGCAACTAACGCCGTCCATTGACTTTCATTGAAACTTCACTCTGCAAAGCTCAAATTTGAAGTGCAATTTCTAAACTGCGACTGTGCCTTCAATTTTAATACTTCAGAGACATACTATGCATCAAAATGTAGGTCTGGGTCTTGTGATTCTCACAATATAAAGCTCTTCACTGTAGGAGTTATAGTTTTTAAGATACGACCGTTTGAAGATGGCAACCACCAAAATACTCTGACCTGTGTCAAGCTGCAGCAGCAAGTGATGTCATAGACAGGGCCTTTTGAACACCTGCTAATGTTTTTATAAATGTATGGTTTAATGTAACTGTGCAACAACGTTGCAATTAAATGTGCTATATAAATGATAACAGTTACTCCGCCCACTCCAGTTGTAGACTACTGGTGGAGGCAAGAACACTTCACACAATTTCCCCAGAAATTGTAGCTTTTCTAGTTAGTATTGATGGTGTCAGCGGCAAAACCGGAGCACCAAGGAAATAAAAGTAAGTAAATCCAAAAAGCTAGTATTACACTCTAGCATTAGGAATACGTTTGGATTCTTAACAATAGAGAGTTTCTTTAACATCTCTTTTCCCACCAGTTATAGCTTCGATTTATTATTGTTGGATAAACTTTCCAAATGATTTAATATATGTGGATAACCTCTTTATATAATATAATGAAAATTATTTCAAATGTGTAATAAATAATTTTTAATTTACTGACAGTATATATTTTTTTATATTTATATATATATATATATATATATATATATATATATATATATATATATATATATATATATACACACACACACACACACACACACACACACACACACACTTTTTTATATTATTTCAAAAAAATATTTTTTTTAAAGTTTATCCAAAAATATTAGATTATTTGGGAAGCTTTGGCAACAGGCCCGGACTGGCCATCAGGCACAGCGGGCAAATGCCCGGTGGGCCGCGGTGGCCGTGGGGCCGAGGCCGGCAGGGGAGGTCCCAGGATCTCCCCTGCCGGTCTATGCAGGGCCGGCACTCTCCCAGCGCCGGCCCCGCTGTTTGCCACGACGGGCCAGTGGGGAGATCAAGGATCTCCCTGACCGGCCCACATGCGGCCGCCGGCGGGCAGAGAGGGAGCCAGGCTGGAGAGAGGACCCGGCGGAGCTCTAACTTGCAGCTCCGCCGGGTTCCTCTCGCGAGATCTGGCGCGTTGCCATGGCAACGACCGGATCTCGCGAGAGTGAACTCTAGCCTCACTGGCTAGAGTTCACTCACCCACGAGGACCACCAGGGAACACCGCCACCCTGCCTGCCAGCGTGCCGGACCCCCCCTCCCAGGCTAAAGGTAAGAAGGGAGGGGGGACATAATGCCTGTTTTTTTTATTTTATTTTTTATTTACCCCCCCCTACACACACACACAATAACATTTATACAGCACTCTCACACCCATCACACACAGCACTCTCACACACAGCACTCTCTCACAGAGCACTCTCACACACACACAGCACTCTCTCACACAGCACTTTCACACACACACAGCACTCTCTCACAGAGCACTCTCTCACACAGCACTCTCACACCCATCACACTCACACCACTTTCACACACACAGCACTCTCACCATCAGCACTCTCACACCCATCACACTCACACCACTTTCACACACACAGCACTCTCTCACAGAGCACTCTCACACACACACAGCACTCTCTCACACAGCACTCTCACACCCATCACACACAGCACTCTCTCACAGCACTCTCACAGAGCACTCTCACACACACACAGCATTCTCTCACACAGCACTCTCACACCCATCACACTCACAGCACTCTCACACACACACAACACTCTCTCACACAGCACTCTCACACCCATCTCACACAGGGCACTCTCACACGGCACTCTCACACCCATCACTCACACCGCACCCTCACACACACACATACTGCACCCCTCACATACACACAGAACCCCCCCCCAACACACTGCACCACACACATACACAATACTTCCAAATATATATATATGTGTGTGTGTGTGTGTGTATATATATATACACACACACACACACACACACACACACACACACACACACACACACCACTCTTAAAGGACCACTCTAGCCACCCAGAACACTTCAGCTTAATGAAGTGGTCTTGGTGCCAGGTCCTTCTAGGGTTAACCCATTGTTTTATAAACATAGCAGTTTCAGAAAAACTGCTATGTTTATCAATGGGTTAAGCCTTCCCCCAAAACCTCTAGCAGCTGTCTCATTGACCGCCGCTAGAGGCACTTGCGTGCTTTGCACGCAAGCGTCCATAGGAAAGCATTATAAATGCTTTCCTATGCGACCGGCTGAATGCGAGCGCAGCTCTTGCTGCGCGTGCGCATTCAGCCGACGGGGCGGATCGGAGGAGGAGAGCTCCCCGCCCGGCGCTGGAAAAAGGTAAGTTTTAACCCCTTTCCAGAGCCGGGCGGGAGGGGGTCCCTGAGCCACATATGCATCACATTACACCACAAACACAACACGACTAAAACCGACCTTATTACACAATACCACACCACGACCAGCTCACTCTACACACACGCAATACCACAAGCAGGCTCCAAACACATGCACAATACTCTTTCCTGGCCTTTTGTCTCCTGGTATTCATTTATAGAGACACCAGAGACAAGTTGCAAGGAAAGACAGTGCAAGCATGTTATTAAATTTGCTTGCACTGTGCAGAACAAATACAGGAGTTTTTTCTCATGCTAGAGCTCTTCAGCAGAGCTCTGCGCATGGTCTGCCCTGGAAGAGCATTGAACCAACATGCTCACTTTGAGAGGAGGCGTGTTTGTCATTGGTGATGACAAAACACACCTCCTATGCCCCGCCCCCTTTTTAGTGGGCCGCTGTGTTAAAAAAATGCCCGGGCCGAATTTTTCTCCCAGTCCGGCCCTGTTTGGCAACAATATTAAATCTAGGCCTATAAATTAACTTCCTGCTTTCACAAAGACAACAGGGGAAGATAGCCATATTAAAAATTAAAACTAATTACACTCTAGCTTACAAGGCAGCCTCTGAGCCATAGTGTAAAATAAAAGCAATTTGCAAATGCTGTTTACAAATATATAGTGCCAAGTTTAGTCATTACTTGCACACACTGTGGTCACAGGCTTTTTTAGTCAAAATATCCAGTAGGATGGATAGTCACAAACATTGCACATAGCCGTTTGAATGCAATAAAAGAAAGATTGGATATGAAGCCAGCTAAATATCTTTTTAATTCAAGTAGATATATACTTTCTGCATTTCACATCAGTGCAGGCCACAGTCACATTTTATTAGAAGAAATGGGACACATCTGGATGTTAGAGACAGTGCTTGAAATGTTCAGGTGGAGCACAGCACTCAAAAACCACCTTCTCCAGTACTGAATTAACTAGGTGTGCAATGCCCTTCACGAAGGTATTTTATATTTTTGCACACCTTTCACTCTATAGTGACAAACACCATTAATAGCCAATAAAACCTTGGCAAAAAACGGTAAACCTCTGCAGAGCAGGCCATCGGAAGCGCTTAATAAGGCACTCAGGAGTTGGAGTTACCACTATGTTCCCTGATGCTTCCAGAGATAAATAATGGTGTGGGTATGTGGAAATCCCACTCCTGATATAATTTCTGCTATTCTGACTATATCACCATAAATAAGTTGCAGAGTTTTCTAATGATAAAGGAGGCTATACAAATCCCTCCCTCCTGTGTCATTACTATGAAACCGGTTAGGTCATTTTATTTTATTGTTTTTTTGTTTTTTTTAATACTTAGATTTTTCCCATCAAATCCACCCAAAAAAATTGTACGTATCCTTCTGCGCTTTGACCCACAACACAATAAAGGGAAAACTCGGCGCCCTTCTTCTAACATTTCCAGTCTGTTTTTTTAAATTTAGTCTGATTTAATTCCTCTAAACACCCCCCTCCCACCCCCAACAAAAAAATAATTTTGAAGAAGCATTGAAGGTTCAGGGCCAGGTCAGTATAGGAATACACCAACTTCAGAAAGCAGCATTAGGTTGAGCATGTAGAGTTTATACTCTGGCATTCAGACACCCAGTAGAATCACAGCTTTCTCTGCATGAACAAAAAATGAAACTTTCATATACTCCAGGAGTGGAGAGATGCTTCTCTGACCCCTTTCTCCACATTACAAAAAAAGATGTAGAGGTAGGGGACTTTGAATATCCAGTGGGTTCTCAGCTCACAGCTGGAATCCTTCCATGGGGGCTTCAGTCTGCTGAAAGATGTACTGTTGCTGAGCTTCATCAACTGATGGGACCAGCTGGGGGTCATCCTCCTCTACCCCAAAGTAATGTTCAATCAACTCAAAAGCCTTTTGGTAGATTTCCTGGTTTTCATGGCTCTGGAGAAACTCTATTTTGTCCAGCCCTAGAATTATAAAAATGAACATTTAAACCATATAGCACACACGGGCAAGTAGGATTACCATGTTATGGTCAGACATAATTTCTTTTAAAACTGAACAAAACAAGAGAGTGTAGACACACGTTAACCTGATTATTAATGTTGGCTGAATGTTTACGACCAAGGCTAAGCAGATGTTTTGCATAAAATGTGCTCCAAGGACTTGATTGATATCAGTTCAAGCATTTGTGAATCTGTTAGTGTAGGAACCACCTAAGAGGTTTTGCCTTGACGTGGCAGATGGGCTTACATCTAATGGCCATTGGAGTGCAACTAAAAACCTCCATTTATCTACATATGTACAGGGATTTTTGCTTCCACCCAGGAATAGTGGGAGTCTGAGCACAGGCCTTATTTTTATGTATTTGCTTTTGTATCACACAGTCATGTTACAGTGCTGCCGCCCATCCCATTTCCTATCAATGGTTAATAAGTATGTAGGGGTTTAGAAAAATATCACTCTCTGTCTCAGAGATTTCTTTACCTGAAGCTCAAGGAAGCAAGGTGAATAGTTTGCCTTGATGTTGTAGGTGGGTTCACATCTGATGGCCATTGGAGTTACTAAATAACCTCCATTTATTAAAATATATAGAAAGGGATTTAGATTATAATGCCCAAGTAACTTTTTTCTTTGGCATTTGTGAAACTAATGTAGCAATGGTATTCACACTTGTACATGAATGCTATGAAACATTCCTTCATCTGCAGTGATGTTTTCTCTGCTAGGCCTACAATAAATAATATTGCTAATATTTCAAATTGTCTGCTTCTCCTATGTATTTTTTAATTCTTCCTTTGTGAACTTCATCAGGTGTTTACCCTTATCTCTCAGACTAAGAGTGTATTTCCACATCTTAAAGGGACACTCCACTGCCCAATTATATATATTACATACCTACACAAACATTCACTGCATAAACACACACACTACACAAACACACTGCATTCACTATTCACACACTCCACAAACACACACACTGTATTCACTATACACACACACACACTACACAAACACTGCATTCACTATACACACACACACTACACAAACACTGCATTCACTATACACACACACTACACAAACAATGCATTCACTATACACACACACACTACACAAACACACACACACACTACACAAACACACACACTGCATTCATTATATACACACTCCACAAACACACACTGCATTCATTATATACACACTCCACAAACACACACTGCATTCATTATATACACACTCCACAAACACACACTGCATTCATTACATACACACTCCACAAACACACACTGCATTCATTATATACACACTCCACAAACACTTCATTCAATATGTACACACTACACAAACACACACCGCATTAATTACATACACACTGCATTCATTATATACACACACCACACAAACACACACTGCATTCATTGTATACACACACTCCACAAACACACACTGCATTCATTACATACACACTCCACAAACACACACTGCATTCATTATATACACACTCCACAAACACTTCATTCAATATGTACACACTACACAAACACACACCGCATTAATTACATACACACTGCATTCATTATATACACACACCACACAAACACACACTGCATTCATTGTATACACACACTCCACAAACACACACTGCATTCATTACATACACACTCCACAAACACACACTGCATTCATTATATACACACTCCACAAACACTTCATTCAATATGTACACACTACACAAACACACACCGCATTAATTACATACACACTGCATTCATTATATACACACACCACACAAACACACACTGCATTCATTGTATACACACACCACACAAACACACACTGCATTCATTGTATACACACACCACACAAACACACACTGCATTCATTGTATACACACACCACACAAACACACACTGCATTCATTGTATACACACACCACACAAACACACACTGCATTCATTGTATACACACACCACACAAACACACACTGCATTCATTGTATACACACACCACACAAACACACACTGCATTCATTGTATACACACACCACACAAACACACACTGCATTCATTGTATACACACACCACACAAACACACACTGCATTCACTATACACACACCACACAAACACACTGCATTCATTGTATACACACAGCATTCATTGTATACACACACTACACAAACACACACTGCATTCATTGTATACACACACTACACAAACACACACTGCATTCATTGTATACACACACTACACAAACACACACTGCATTCATTGTATACACACACCACACAAACACACACTGCATTCATTGTATACACACACCACACAAACACACACTGCATTCACTATACACACACCACACAAACACACTGCATTCATTGTATACACACAGCATTCATTGTATACACACACTACACAAACACACACTGCATTCATTGTATACACACACTACACAAACACACACTGCATTCATTGTATACACACTACACAAACACACTGCATTCATTGTATACACACTACACAAACACACTGCATTCATTGTATACACACTACACAAACACACTGCATTCATTGTATACACACTACACAAACACACTGCATTCATTGTATACACACTACACAAACACACTGCATTCATTGTATACACACTACACAAACACACTGCATTCATTGTATACACACTACACAAACACTGCATTCATTGTATACACACTACACAAACACACTGCATTCATTGTATACACACTACACAAACACACTGCATTCATTGTATACACACTACACAAACACACACTGCATTCATTGTATACACACTACACAAACACACACTGCATTCACTATACACACACTGCATTCACTATACACACACTGCATTCACTATACACACACACCACAAACACACTGCATTCATTGTATACACACAGCATTCATTGTATACACACACTACACAAACACACACTGCATTCATTGTATACACACACTACACAAACACACACTGCATTCATTGTATACACACTACACAAACACACTGCATTCATTGTATACACACTACACAAACACACTGCATTCATTGTATACACACTACACAAACACACTGCATTCATTGTATACACACTACACAAACACACTGCATTCATTGTATACACACTACACAAACACACTGCATTCATTGTATACACACTACACAAACACACTGCATTCATTGTATACACACTACACAAACACACTGCATTCATTGTATACACACTACACAAACACACTGCATTCATTGTATACACACTACACAAACACACACTGCATTCATTGTATACACACTACACAAACACACACTGCATTCACTATACACACTACACAAACACACACTGCATTCACTATACACACACTGCATTCACTATACACACACTGCATTCACTATACACACACACCTCACAAACACACACATTGCATCCACTACACAAACACACTGCATTCACTAATCAGATACTCTCACTGCATCCACTACACACACACATATTCTTGAAAACGTAAATTCTGACTGGCATGTATATTTTGTACATTTACGGTTAACAGTAGATTTGTGTAGAAATAGTTTATTTTTTCAAAATGGTAAATGTACAGAATATCGGTGTCGGTAAGTTATTGGCTATCGGCCTGAAAGTTCACAGATTATTGGTATCGGCTCTGAAATTTATTTATTTTTTTTTTAAATCAATATTGGTCGATTCATATCGCCTGCCCAGACTTTCTGTGGCTGTCCAATCACACACTTCCCAATTCAGCTCAATGAGAATTCTTTGCAAGGCAGGTGCTCTAGGAAATGGTCTGCCTCTTGAGTTTAGCTCCACTGAGCTAAACATACCAGGTAGTAACAGGGCTTGTTGTGTGATTGACAGCCAGAAGGTGTAACAAAGTGCATTAATAAAATTGCCTATTTCTGTTGAAATCTGCAATTTTTGTAAAATGAAAAAAAGAGAGCACTTCACACTGAAATACTTTATGCTTTTGGAGTGATCCTTTAATCTGTAGCACAGACAATCCAAAGTACCAAAGCTCTTCAGATTCAAGCTGCCAAGAATCCAACTGGTGATAGGTGAAGATTGCTCATGCTATGAAAACCCCTTCCCTGCTTTATTTTTACACTTCTCCTATTTCTCACCTGCTGTTCCAGATACTTATTAACCATTCCTCTATTTCTAGTTCATATAGCTTAGTTTAACCACATAGACACATAATTAGATCACACCTCCCTTTATCATCTCATCTTTGCTCCAAACCAAGCACTCACTTCAGTCATTAATAAAAGACAAATGCATCATATTCAATAATGAGCCTCACCATACGCCTCCTCAATCAGTCCACAGAATGGGTTGATTCCACTTCCACCCTGCTTTGCTTCTTGTTCTCCAAGTCGCAGGATATTCTCCAGTCCACTCAGAGCTACTTGTACTATTTTCGAATCCATTACCGTAAGAAGGTCACAAAGAGGCTTGATGCAGCCAAGGTTCACCAGATACCTTTAAAATATATATTATTATTATGCCCCCAGGGAGACTTTTACTATACATAGACAAGAAAGGGCACAGCAAAACAATACTACTGTTACTCTAAATATCACAGGATACCAGAGCTTGATTCAGGTACCTAATCTGTTCAGGGGTTCCACCCGATGTCGCATTTGTTATTGCCCATGCAGCTTCTTTCCTGGTTCGGAATTCTGCTTTCTGTAAAATCTCTATCAGGACTGGAAATATATTGGCATCAGCAACAGCCTATTGCAGGTAAGAAACAAAAGGAACAAAAAATAAATCAGGGAACTGAAAAGATGAACAGTCCAGAAATATAATTTTAACACAGATATGGTAGATAGTATAAACAAAAAGGTTAAATATGACATAATAGGTTAGTAATCTGTTATAGTCAGCAATCTATATATAGCCTGTTACATAAAATCAGTAGCAATAAGAATATACACATTACAAAAGATTAAAAAAAAAAAAAAAAACCTTACAAGACTTATAATGTCACACTATTACTACATAATACAATTATTCCTCTACCTGTATCTGTGCTCGGTTTCCTGCTGTAATATTTGAAATTGTCCAGCAGGCTTCTTTGCGAATGGATTCCTTTGGACTGCTCAGAAGATGCAAGAGACATGGAAGAGCCGAACAGTTTAGGATCACCTGAGATAATTCAAGATTAACAGGTTAACATTAACAAGCAATACCTTACAATTATATTTTTAGGAAAATCTCAATGCTACCAGGTCACGTATAGAAGTACTACATTCTTTTACAGATCTATTTTTTTTAATTTCTTTTTTAATCCTAAATAATTATTTACGTTCATGTGCTAAGATTACATGACCAGGTTCAACTAATTAGAATTTGGAATTTTACACAGTAATGGCTTTGAACACTGCTTTACCTGTGTCTGGATATCGTCTCCCGTGACAATGTTTCCTACAGCTCGGAGTGCAGGAGAAGCCACCTTGTAGTCATTGTGCCTATATGGGACCACAGTACAATTTATTTAGAAGGGTAAGACATTATTTAAACTTCTTGCCATTTATCTCCTACCACTATGCACAGACTGGGGAAAATATTAGCTAAGCTTGATATAACTAAGGAGCTGTATATACAAATATGTCAACAAGGTCCAAAAAGCTACACGGAGTTGCATAAAAATACAGGCTAACAAAAGAATTCCATCAAGTTCAGACTTTAACACACGGATGTCTGCTGGTGATCCAAAATAGGCAAAATAAATACAATCAATTGAAATTTGCCATTTTACTTGAATCACCAGCTGTTAACTATTATAACTGAATATTCTACTAAGGTATTCTACGTCTTTATTGTGCTTACTTTTTCTAATGTAAGACAAAATATCCTTACATCAAGTCTAAATATGTGACCTCTTGTCCTTTGTACAGTCTTATTGATGAACGCTGATGCATAGTTTATATACATAATCTACAAGACTTGTAAGTGTAGCTTCCTTTACCTTATATATGTACACCCATAACACACACACACAAAATGAATCAAGCAGATATGAGTGCATAAATAAAAACCAACAACAAAAACCCAAAGCTGACAATTTCATTTTTATGAAAGCTTGAAATGTGTGCACAACCTAACAGATACAGCATCTGATGATATAAAACTATAATTACGCTTACCAACCAAAGATTAAATCCCAAGTAGAATCCATTTAAAAAATAAAAACTATACTAGGGGTTCATATGGAATAAAGCAAATCCCAAACTAGCCCTTTTTATGATTGCATTCACTTTGCTCACTAACATTAGGAGTTCCACAAGCCTGCGGCAGACCCCCGAGTCTATGACTGCTTGAATCTTCTCATTAGGACCATCAGAGAGATAAGATAGTGCCCAGCACGCATCTGCTAACAGGTCTGAGTCACTGTTGAACAGGAGACGTGACAGCACAGGGAGACACATGGACACCTAGAGGAAAAAGTGTGCACAAGAAGACAAAGCACAAACAGGCCATGAGACACTACACAACCAACACTGTGAGTGAAAAACCAAAGAAAAGCAGAAACAGGGGGAAAAAAGAGAGAGAAAAGTACCTTATCAAAATCTGGAGGGGGACTCTTTCCTCGACACAGATTGGACAAGGCCCAGACTGCATTCCTGGTCATGGTAAGTCGTGATGATTTGGTAAGGAGGCTATGAGAAAAAACAAATACAGACAGAATATAAAACATTTATTCGAGCTTCTTTATATAACCTTGCTTACATTTAAAGGGACACTATAGTCACCTGAACAACTTCAGCTTAATGAGGTTGTTCAGGTGAGCACAATAGCTCCCTGCAGCCTCTCCTTAATGTAAACCCTGTATTTTCTGAGAAAATACAGTGTTTACCTTGGAAGCTAGCAACACCTCCAGTGGCAGTCACACAGACGACCACCAGAAGGACTTCCGAGTTCAGGGCTGCCTAACTCACATTCATCACATTTGACGTCTTCACGCTTGGGTGAATACATCAAACATGATATCTGGAGACAGGAGGCACTGTGAACACGCCTCCTGTGCCTGTCAGCAATCAGAGCCGACAGTGTGAGAGATAACGATCTCCTGCACACAGCATGAACTCGGGCTGACAGGGTGAAGGCAGAAGACAGGAGGATCTACTGATTTCAAACAGTAAGTAAACTTATTTAAAAAATTGAGAGTGAGTGATGGCGAGAGAGAGTGCGCGCGCTGGCGAGAGAGTGCGCGCGTTGGCGAGAGAGAGAGTGCGCGCGCGTTGGCGAGAGAGAGAGTGCGCGCGCGCTGGCGAGAGAGAGAGAGTGCGCTGGCGAGAGAGAGAGTGCGCGCGCGCTGGCGAGAGAGAGAGTGCGCGCGCTGGCGAGAGAGAGAGTGCGCGCGCTGGCGAGAGAGAGAGTGCGCGCGCTGGCGAGAGAGAGAGTGCGCGCGATGGTGAGAGAGCGGTGTGATGGTGAGAGAGCGAGCGGTGTGATGGTGAGAGAGCGGTGTGATGGTGAGAGAGCGGTGTGATGGTGAGAGAGCGGTGTGATGGTGAGAGCGGTGTGATGGTGAGAGAGCGGTGTGATGGTGAGAGAGAGAGTGTGTGATGGTGAGAGAGAGTGTGTGTGATGGTGAGAGAGAGTGTGTGTGATGGTGAGAGAGAGAGTGTGATGGTGAGAGAGAGAGAGTGTGATGGTGAGAGAGAGAGAGTGTGATGGTGAGAGAGAGAGAGTGTGATGGTGAGAGAGAGAGTGTGATGGTGAGAGTGTGATGGTGAGAGAGAGAGTGTGATGGTGAGAGAGAGTGAGATTGTGAGAGAGAGTGTGATTGTGAGAGAGAGTGTGATTGTGAGAGACAGTGACTGTGAGAGCGAAATAGATAGCTAGAAATAGATAGAGATAGCTAGAAATAGTTAGGTAGAAACAGATAGATAGAGAGAGTGTGTGTATGGTGGTTTAACAATATATATTTAAAATGTGTGTTTGTGTACAAACACTATGTATAGAGATATCTCTATATATTGTGTTTGCATACAAACTTTTGGCTTAGAAGGGTTGCCATAGGAGGGGGACGGGCATAGACCGCAAGCTGAGAGGTCAGTCAGCTCGCGAACGCGCATACCGTGCACATGCATAAAGCGTTCATTCATAAAGCGGCATTCAATGTTGTGATGACGCTTCTCAGTGAGAAGCGTCTGATTGAGCCCTTCTATCTTGTTATTTTGACTCAAAAAGGGGTGTGGCCTGCCAAGGAGCTCGGCGCTGGAACAGAGCTAAGTTTATATGATAAAAAGGCTCAAATTTATTCTTAATGGCAAACTAATAAAGGGGACCTGTCTTTCTTGCTTTTATATGTTGACTATGGTGATCCTTTAATTTACACACTGCAGTCTATTTAACTCCCATGCCAGGTCTCTTGGTGTGCTGTATATGTTACTCCACTCTCTCATGCACTCACCTGAGCAGCGGAGGAAGAATGTCACAGCTCAGCACGTAGTCTCTGCACACAGCACTGTCACCCGCAATATTTCCTAGTGCCCACACAGCCTGGAGAAAACAAAACCAATACAATACAGCCATGAAACTTATCACAGGTACACACAGTACAAAGGAAACTAAAAGTAATATGTGCAACATAGTGGTATTCAGTTTATAAAATCAAAACCGGAAAAGCTTGATGGGAATGAATAGTTCCAAGTAAAAAGACATGGTAATAATACCTGCTCCTGCACATCCTCATATTCAGAATTCAGGAGCATGATGAAAATAGGCACAGCTCCTGCTTCTATCACTATCTTTGTTTGTTGGGATGTGCCAGATGCGATGTTTGTGAGAGCCCAGGCTGCTTCAAACTGCAACAAAAATGCAATCAAAACCATGAATTTTAGGAAAGATCAAAAGCTGCAGTGCTTTATTGAAAACATTGAGCAACAGTGTTATCAAAGAATTAAAGGGACACTCCAGGCACCCAGACCACTTCTGCCCATTGGAGTGGTCTGGGTGCCAACTCACACTACTCTTAACCTTGCAAGTGTAATTATTGCAGTTTTTTATAAACTGCAATAATTACCTTGCAGGGTTAACTCCACCTCTAGTGGCTGTCTACTAGACAGCCACTAGAGGGCACTTCCTGGTTCCTAGAGCGTCGCTGGATGTCCTCACGCTGAGTGAGGACCTCCAGCGTCGCTCATTTCCCCATAGGAAAGCATTTTCAATGCATTTTCAATGCTTTCCTATTGGGAGCACGAATGCGCATGTGCAGCAATGTCTCGCCCACGACGTGCGGGATTAGTCTCGCCCTCGGGCCGATGCAGTCAGAAGGAGGAGCGGCGCGGAGGAAGAAGCAGCGACGTGGGACATCGTCGCTGCCTCTGGTAAGTCACTGAAGGGGTTTTTACCCCTTCAGCAACCAGGGATTGGGGGGTGGGAGGGAGAGGGAACCTGCAGTGCCAGGAAAACGGATTGTTTTCCTGGCTCTAGAGTTTCCCTTTAAAGGAACACACCTACCTTCTGGTGTTAAACCATTATCAAATTGCTTCACACTGAAGAAGCTTTTAGTTGTCAGTCTGCTGCATCTCTGCATTAGCTTAAAGCAGCAAAAGTACAACTGTGACAAGCTGAGAGGGTCAGCTGACACTCTCGGCCTATTACCGACACTCATTTGCTGCTTAAACAGAAGAGGAGCTGCAGCAGACCAGCACCTGAGGCCACTTCTTAATGGTTTAACTCTGGAAAGTAAGATGGCACCTGGGGATTCCATGCACCATAACCACTTAATTGTGATAACTTCCTGACTCATACCTGTAGTGTGTAGTTTTCACTCTTCTTCAGGAATTCTACAAATCTTTCCACTACTCCAGGTGCATTGATCACTTCATCTATTGGTGGATTTGGCTCTGAAACAAAGTAAACATAAGAGTTAAGTTGTGTCCCGCTGGTGAAACAAGGTAGCATGCATATTCAACTAATTTCACAGAACAAACGGTTGCCAGGTAAAATGAGAATTGGAATGATCTTCTTAAACCAATAATTACTCTACATGAAGTGCACAACTTTTACATTCCTGTCCTTTAAATGTAGCAGGAATATTACTGGTCATACAACCTAATGAGGGACTACATGATGTAGGGGCATCACATACACTCAGAATTTCAGTAGTAGACAAGCAAAACCAGCTGCTGTTTACAATAACATAGAACAAGATATCAATTTCTGGTATCTTGATGTAGACAGCTGCTAATATTTGAATGTACAATAAATAAAAAATAAACAGGAACGGGTGATAAAAAGGGTGCTTAATAGATAAAACCTTGTAAGTGCACCTGTAAATGCACAGTGAAATCAATCATTATATTTTACAGAATAAATCCAAATATAACACACAAGATGGTGGATAGCACACTGATAAGTAATAATCACTTTCTATGTGGACACTCAAATAATATATAGGTGAATAAGAGGCAAAAAAAAAAGATATCCCATAAATAAATAGTCTGAGAGGACATTACAGTATGAACCATTAAGCACATAAAATATTCTCATTCCAGTCTTGGAGTGTTTCTTTTTAAATGTACATCATGGCACCAAAATCTATCAAATAGATTTTTTTTCTCCCTTATATCCATTTAAAAAGAAACACTGCAGGACTGTAATGTATGAACCTGAGGAAGGCTTTTATGCCAAAACGAGTTGTGCTGATTTTAGGAGAGGCAAGTTTTGCTTGCTGCACCAAGCTTATTGATATTTAAGAATATTGTGATTTTTTTTTACCTTAACTTTGTGCTTGCTGTTCCCTTTAGGATAGGCAAGTGAAAACAATAAAACAAGTTTGATTTTGCAGCCACTTTTATTTTTTTTAAATAATAATTTGAAGCAAAGTATACGTGTGGAATGTGCAATTTAGAACAGTCAGAACACACTCCTGACATCTGTATCTACATTTAAATAGGTTGTATCGCTGGGAGAGCATATTACATTCAATATTATCTACATACAGAGATTGGCTGTGTCAATGTGACAGGAACTCCTAAGACGCTCCTTAGATTGCTAAAAATCATATCCCATTACCTTTAGACAGCAGTTTTCTGAATTTTTGTGTCATTGTCAATTGTAAATCAGGATCATCAGAAAGCAGCAATGCCACCATGTCTCGTGTGATAACACTTTCCTATATGAACAGGTGAAATGTAGGAAAAAAGTAATTTGTTTACATATTACACATGTAAAGTAGGAGTTTAACATTTAGCATACTCATATAACCAGATGTATTAACATACCCCAACAGTAGTAGTAGAGTTAACATATGAATCCATCAAAGGACCATCAAACATGGAACTATCTTCTGGCGCCAACTCCACATTTCGGCGTTTAAAAAGCTGTAATAAACAGACATGAGACCTGCTTTATGAATTCTGAAAGCACAAAAAATGATGGTTAATAATTTAACAGCTATTTTATTCATTAAAGTTGGGAAATCCCTGTTAACAGCTCCTTTCCTAAAACTGTGAATAAAGATGTCACACTGGCAGCAAGTAACAGCTACTACCAGCAAATTCAGCCATTTGGCTCATCAGATCCAATAAACTCTCTCCTCTCCCCTCCCCCCCTCAAGGATCATACGCCATGGACTAAAATGTAAATTTTTGAAAATGCATGAAATAATTGTTACATTTTATAGCATTAAAAAGTTTATGGTGTCTAATCTTATCCCATAAAAACCTACTGTGTAAGTTATATCCCAGTTTATAGTAAAAACCAGTGATGGGAGTGAGCGCAGGACTTATCTTTCTGCATTTATATCCCAGTTTATCCCTAAAGAGCTGTTACACTTATCACATAATGATATGTGGCACTGCTCTAAAATCTGCGATCAGTTTATACAGAACCCAGTTTACTGTTTACTGCACAGGGCTATGCCCAAACAATTGGTAGAGTCAAGGGATGTGCATGTGGTGAACAAGAGCGAGAGCTTAGTTGAAATTGGACATACAGTATGCATATGCTGTATGTGCAAATTGGACAGTATTAGACTCCAGTAAAGCTGTCCAGCTGATGCCTATGGGGTGGGGGACAGATGCCAGGTCCCCTCACAACAGTCATTTTTGTGACATGACAGCAATATCTTCACAGTCACTAGATTTTTGTTTAAGCCAGTTCTGCTTGGCTATTGGGGTAATGGGTCTGCTCAAAATTATGTAGACTTGCCCCAGCCGGGAGCATGGCAGGTGGGGAAATAAGAGGTGTTAAAGTGGCACTTTTACCACTATCACGGGGGTCTGGTGGCCGGCAGGTAGGGGGACTAGTACAGCCGAGAGATCTATAGCGGATCCCGCCAGTCCTTCTATGGATAGAGCCAAGTTTCCTGCAGCTGTCACTAGTGATGGCATGGGTAGTTCAGAGAAGTGTCTGGCATAGGAAAAATATTGAGACAAAGTAGTCCCTACTTTTCCCAGAACATCTCTTAACTGAACTGAAATTTCAGTGAAATTCCAACAAAGTCAACATAATTCTATCTTTATGAAATACTAATTTTGCAGGGGTTAGGTTGGTGACAGTGCTGCTTTAAACCTCCCTATAATTAGTGGGGGATCATATTCACTGACAAGGCACCACATGGCTAAGCCTTGCACTGCAGATTTTTTTGTCTTTACTTTTAAATATTTGTCCGCTGCCTGCTGGTCGTCAAATAGCACGGATTATTATTGTTCTCTTGCAAAAAGCAAGAGAACGATACTTTGCAGCTGTATATCTTATCAGATGCATATGGTGACGATTTTGTTGAACTTATAGTTTCACTGGATGGAAGAGATTGTTTTACTTGTTTAAAGGAATGATTGAAGCACTATAACCACTACAGTGCTGTCTGAACTTTTATTGTAAAACAAAACTGTGCATTTATTGCAAGTGGTTATGGTGCCAGGAGTGCACAAGCACCCCCTCACAGTGTATGTGGTCAAACCATTTGACGCTGATACTCTTCAGCCAATGAGCTTTCCCTAACAAGAGCTTCCGGTTCTCCATGTAAGAAGTGCAAACCCCATTTAAAGTGTAAAACCATTCATAAATAGTTTGACTACTTGCACTGGGGGGCGCCAAGGAACGACTGGAACCATAACCACTACAGTGCACTTTAGTGGCTATGGTACTTGGAGTATACCTTTAAGCAGTGATTTCTTGAGTCCTGAGATCACAATGACAGTGTGCTGGAAAGATGTACTTCTTCTGGGTTCCAAGGGATATTTTATGGATTATTTATAAATTATTTTACCAGGAAAGATACATTGAGATTTAACAAACAAATTACAAAAATGTACTGGTTCTTGATTGAAACAGTCATACAAGGTTGTGAGAGAAAGATTATGAAAGAAATCACAAATGCATAGGATAACTATGAAACAGAACAAGTGATATTAAGATTGAGAGTGCATCAAGTATTGCTTGGCAGTCCCTGAACAATTTTTGTAGCTTTTTATTTTCACTTGGTTGGGTTACTATGACATTTGCAAATAAGGCCAAGTAAAGCAAACCATTTGCTATCGTAACACTGTATTTTGGATTTGCCAAACATGTTTCTGAAACCGAAGATATAAGAATACCAAACAATTTATACCTGCTGTTCACGTTTCTGCTTTCGAAGTTGGATTCCCTCTTCCTCTCTCCGCCTCCGCATTTCCTCCGGGTTCAAGGCTTTGTTCTTGTAGCTCTTCATGCGACTATTGTCCTTCCCGGGGCTCGCCATGGTCTCTATAAAATAATAATAAAAAATATTGATACTTAGATGAGATAATGGTGGCAGGTGTATAAAATGGTCAATTACAGTGATACAATACTCATCTGTAAGTATATATAGGCGCTCCATATCGCAGACATTATTCATAATAAACAACCAGTTCCAGGTTAGCAAGAACATGAAGAACAAAGGATAAGACTCTAAATCAGGGGTCAGCCACCTATATCGACACGCAAGCCTGGCAGACCCAAAAAGGCTGAGGAGATCTGAAGATCTTCCCTGGAGCTGGCCTAACATAGGTTCCAGTGTGACTACATCAGTTATTTGCTAGTGCCAAACAAACTTTCAGCACTAATGGTAATAGCAGCAAGTGGTGAGGGCTGTACTCAATGAGGTGCTTGGATGAAGTGGTCTCAGATCACTTCCTCCCAGTACTTGTTAAAGGGACACTCCACTGTCTAAATACATTTAAAAAAGAAAAAAGACAACCTGTTAAGTAGATATGCCCCCAATGAAAACATACATGCTTTCTAACCCACATAGACTTTCTGTGCCTGTGTAATCACAGACTTTCCAACGCAGTTCAATGAGAAGTCTTTGCAAGGCAGGTACTCTGACCAATTGCTGCCTCTAGAGTTTCGCTCCACTGAGCAAAGCAACCAGGACGTAACAGGACTGGCTGTCTGATTGACAGCCAGGGAGAGCAACAAGGTTAATATATAAAACTGCTAAATTCTATTAAAATCTGCACTTTTTGTAAAAAAAATAAAAATATAAATAAATAAAAGAGGACACACTTCACATGAAGTTCTTAAAGACATCCAGGCCTTTTCATCTCATTGAAGTAATCTGGGTGCAGTGTCCCTGCCCCCCTTTCCCATGTGATTGGAGGGGGACCGGTCACCTAAACACACACACATTAATGTGACCACCCAGCCTCTCTACCTTTGGGATAACTGGAGTAGTTCAGCGGGGCTTCAGTCATCTCTCTGCTCCGCCCCATAGAGTGCCGTTGAGTGATGCCAGAGTCGGAATGACGTCATATTTTGGCTCCCGGCATCACTGAAGGACGCGTGAGGGAGCAGAGCAGGAAGGTTACAGCTCCCTCGCGTACCTGCCCGTCTGCCTCAATCCTCCAGGAGTCTCCCACCCATGCACAAGCCCACGCTTGCCTCCACTCATAGGCAGCTGATCACCTCAGGGGCTGAATGGGCCAACAAATCGATCTGTCGAGCCCTGCATTAGGCCCTCCCCATAGCAAAGCATTGCTGAATGCTTTTATATGGGTTTTAGCAGACGCTGTGTGTCCTTAAGCAAAACATGGGGACGTCCGGCTTCAGGTGACCAAAAGTCAGCTAGCAAGCAGGAAGTGCCTCTAGTGGCTGTCTGATTGACAGTCACAAGAGGGAATCTTAGTCCAGCAATGTAATTATTGAAGTTTCAGAAAAACTGCAATGATTTACATTGCAGGACTAAGTGCAACTTTCCCCCTTCCCTCCTCCCCTTCATTCTTTCATTTCTGTAACAAGGAAGCAATACTAACAATTCCTATCTGATGCCTACTATTTGAACTTGATGTGTAAAGGACCTTAACTATAATATAACTCACTAATTACTGTTTGGATATGTATGTGCATGTCAGCATTTTACTACTGTTAAGCGTTGCTGTAAACTTGTACAATAAAAAGAAATTAAACATAAAAAAAAGGCATCATTCAAAATTGTGTGTATGTATATAAAAAAATCAAATGTGTAAGGTGCACATCGATTCCTGAAGATTGATAACATTTGGTCTATTTTCGAATGGATCAATATTTAACAAAACAAGATCTACAGGGGGGGAGAGGAAGGGAAAATTTAAATAATCACAACAATGGCTCACGGAATAAAACTTACATAAGACAATATATTTTAACTTAGGAGGGATAGTATGACTAAATCTGTAATAATAATTAAATGTTCTATTTACACTTCACAGAACTAATCTAACATTCACATGATTTAAATGACGGGGATTTACTCTTGAAAAATGCTACTTACTTTTGATAGCCACTTATGTTTATTACTTTGTAAATGTTTAATAATAAATGTGGAAGAACTAATGTAACTAATCACTTGGGGGGATAGAATAAGAAAGGGAGAATAAGAGGGGTGTCGATGAGAGAGGAGGAGAGGGAAAATATGAGAGAAATAGATACTACAGGTCTAGGGCACTTATGATGAATGACTATACATTCTACTATTAGGTTGCTACTCTGCTTTGCTTTCTCTCTCCTCTTTCATCTCTCACTACAATTAAGGGTAGAGGGGGGTGAGGGAAGAGGAAATGGAGAGAAGAATAAGGGGGGAAAGGGGAGAGAGGGGAAAGGGGAAAAAGGAATGGGGAAAAGAAAAGGAGGAAAGATAAAAGTAATGAGGTGTATCTGTTTGATTAGTTGAGACTAAGGAACAGGAATAATGTCATAGGAAAGGTTGAATCCAATTGCTAATCACATTATACATATACCCATACTCACATTACATTTTCAAACATTATTAACTGCTGTCACAAATCGGTAAATTAGGAAATATCCTAAATATACTTATACTAATGAGGAGAGTATAGACACAATAGGTTATCTTAAACAAAGAAGTAAATGCACATAAAATATGTTAAGATAAAGTTATATAAAGGTAAGAGGGAAGAAAAATGCACATAAAACAATGCTGTCTCTCCAATTTGTAAAAATATTTGTTTTTCCGTTGCCCTACATTACAGCTCTTGATAGTCAAAAAAAACCTTCAAGGTTTTATTTTTCTCTGTTATATGGTTGTATTTGTCTTTTATGTTGAGCGGATTGCGTGTGACCAATCTGAGAAATTATATATCAAAAGGAGGATGAATGTCTGAGGGGGGGAGGGGGGGAATAAGGATCATAAACATTGACTGTTAAGGGTCTGAATCCACCATCAGTTACGGAAAAAGAAAGTCACTGTCTGATTTATACAAGAAACACAATGGAAAGCTGGAAATCCTAAAATAAAAAATTATCCAACTCTTGTCGCCTTAGATTATAGCTTGAAAAATGGAGAAGTTGCAATTTTTATACCTAAAAATGTAAAATATAACGAACTATATAGAGAAGTGGACAAGAATAGCAGATATGTGTTCTTGATTTGTGAATTACAGGGTAAACTCTATTCATTACTCAATATATATGCTCCAAACAAACAACCGAAAAATATATAAATAACATTAAGTTTTAATATTAGGTATATATAAGGGGTCCTTCATAGTAGGGGGAGACCTTAATTGTGTGGTAGACGTATCATTGAATAAAAAGGTTCCACAAAAAAGGAAACAGCAAAATATCATTAATAAATTAGTGTTGCAGAATGTCATATCTAAATTCAATCTATATGACATTTGGAGAGTAAAACACTCCGATGAAAAGGAGTTTACTTTTTACTCCAAACCACATTTGTCATATTCTGGAATAGATTTTTTTCTTTGGTCAAACTACAGTTAATTTAACAATGCCATCTAGTTAAAATTGAGGATATTACATGGTCAGACCATTCGGCTGTGGTTATGGAATTAGGATTAGACTCTATAGAACCACGATTATAATGGAGGCTGAACGAGATACTATTCACAAATTCTAAAATTAGTGATTATATCTCGGATAGGATCAAATAACACTTCAAAGAAAATACTACACAAGAAATATCAAAGCAAATCATATGGTGTGCTTTAACGATTGTAATAAGGGGTCATATATTGAAATTGGGGTCCAAAAAAAAAAAAAAGGGAACAAGGTCTCTCTTTAAATCAACTATATCTCAAACTCTATAAACTAAATTTAAATAAATAAAATCTCCCCCACAAAGGGAGGTTGATCAAAAAATATCAGAAACATCTAATAAGATCAACTCCAGGGCCGGCCTTAGGGCACCCTGTGCAAAAAATCTTCACAGCACCCCCTCCCCCCTCCACCACTCCTTCCCACACACCCTGTCACACATACACAGACAGTCACACACACACAAACACAGACATAGAATGTGACGGCAGATAAGAACCAATCGGCCCATCTAGTCTGCCCAGGCAGTCACACACACAGGCAGACAGCCACACACACAGGCACACACACAGGCAGCGACACACACAGGCAGGCAGACAGCCACACACAGGCAGGCAGACAGCCACACACATAGGCAGGCAGACAGCCACACATATAGGCAGGCAGACAGCCACACACATAGGCAGGCAGACAGCCACACACATAGGCAGGCAGACAGCCACACACATAGGCAGGCAGACAGCCACACACACAGGCAGGCAGGCAGACAGCCACACACACAGGCAGGCAGGCAGCCAGCCACACACACAGGCAGGCAGGCAGCCACACACACAGTTACCTCTGTTCATTATGGAGGTGGGAGTAGTGCAGCTCCTGGATTCTGCTTGTTGGGGGAAGCAGGCAGACAGTCACACACACACACACACACAGTTAACTCTGTTCATTATGAAGGTGGGAGTTGTGCAGCTCCTGGATTCTGGTTGTTGTGGGAAGCAGGGACTCCTTCCTGCTTCCCCTGCAGCAATTACACGGCAGTTTTAGCCCTGCCCCATGGCACAGTAAGCCCCGCCGCAATTTTTATTTTATTTATCCCTCCCGGCCAGTCAAATGTGAACTGTGTTGGCCACGCGGTGCCCCCTGCGGCCGCACACTTCGTACACCACTAAGGCCGGTCCTGATCAACTATTTTATTAGCTTAAGTGAATTACGCTTTACAAAAACTAAACCAGAATTGGTACCATAAAGGCAATAAAGCCGATAAAATGCTTTCCAATAGATTAAAAAAATAGAAAAGTGAGATCAAGATTTGAAAAGATCATAGCAGATGGTCATAGTTAGTTTAATAAATTCTATGCATAACTTTATAGCCTCTCCTCCAGCCCCCAGGAATCAGAAATATCTGGACAGGATTGAGTTGCCAACACTTATGGATGATCAGCAGAAAGAGTTAAATTTACCATTCTCTGAATATGAGGTCATTTTAATGATCAATAATCTTAAACTGAATAAAGCTCCAGGTCCTGATGGGTATAATAAGTGTTTTTTTTAAGAAGTTTAAAACCGAGCTTTTGCATTATCTAGTAGACACATTTAATAAGATTAGAGAAATTGGTCTTTCATTGAAAGAATTATTACAGGCATATGTCTCACCAATATTAAAGGACCACTATAGTGCCAGGAAAAAATACTCGTTTTCCTGGCACTATAGTGCCCTGAGGGTGCCCCCACCCTCAGGGACCCCCTCCCGCCCGGCTCTGGAAAGGGGAAAAGGGGTTAAACTTACCTTTTTCCAGCGCTGGGCAGGGAGCTCTCCTCCTCCGTTCCTCCTCCTGGGCTGAATGCGCACGCGCTGCAAGAGCCGAGCGCGCATTCAGCCGGTCACATAGGAAAGCATTCATAATGCTTTCCTATGGACGCTTGCGTGCTCTCACTGTGAAAATCACAGTGAGAAGCACACAAGCGCCTCTAGTGGCTGTCAATGAAACAGCCACTAGAGGATTAGGGGGAAGGCTTAACCCATTCATAAACATAGCAGTTAACCCATTCATAAACATAGCAGTTTTATAAGGACCCTACTAATCTAGCCAATTACCGGCCTATATCTCTTATAAACTCGGATATAAAATTTACTCTGCTGTCATTGCGAATGGACTAAAATCAATGATCCCGTCTTTAATTCATCACGACCAAATAAGCTTTGTACAGAATCGAAATAAAAGTAACAATACTCGAAGGCTGACTGGCTTGATTGATTATGTAACAAGGAGCAAGATTCATCTGCTGGTCCTGTCATTAGATGCTGAGAAGGCGTTTGACAGGTTCAGGTGGAGTTTTATGAACCAAACTTTGGACAAATTTGGATTTGTTGGTTCCACCAAAACTGCAATAATCGCTTTCTAAAACCGTGCGCCATGGCATCTCTGCAGATTGGTTCACAATTTCTAATGGGAACAGGCAGGGATGCCCCCTTGCTCCGCTTTTATATATTTTGACACTTGAACCACTCGCAGTGAGTATAAGAAACAACTATCAAATTAAAGCAGTCATCATGGATCATTATGATTTTAAGATCAGCCTCTATGCTGATGATATAATATTAACATTGACAAATTTAGTCACATCACTAGGGGCCTTGATCTTAGAGTTAGGAGATTATAGTAGAGTCTCAAATTACAAATTAAATGTTGGTAAATCCCAAATTATGCCCATTAACCTAGACTGTATGACAATAGACTATCAACTAAATATCCTTTTACTTGGTCACCACAAGGTTTTAAATACCTTGGGATTTATTTTTCCTTTAACCAAAAGGAAACAGACAAAAATGTGGATAATCTTCTAAAAGAAACTAGTGATAAATACTGAAAGAGTGGATAAATATAGTTATTTCCAGGAATTTTAGGAAGAATAAATATCATCAAATCATATATTTTACCCCATTGGTCATTCCTTTTCAGAATGATCTCTTTATCTGTAACAACAACAAAACTTAGACAGATCCATAAATTATTTTTGAATTATAGAGAAAGTGTGTGTCAATAGGGCGCTTTGAACATTTAAAATCAAATTAGTTTATAGCAGCTACCACATGAATATAGGGACTCTCTTCCCCTATAAAAGAATATGCAAAACGAGTATGTACACAAATTGTGTTAACCCATAGGGGTAACTCCATATATTTTCAGAGCTCCACATATAACACTAGTGGTGGATTGTATTTTATTTGATATTTTCCTATACACTTTGTGTACATCCTCGTTTTGCATATTTTAAAATTATATCTGGGGCTATAAGAGATCTAGGATCTCGATTCTACACGTAATGAAAAAGTCCAGTAAGGGTGGCCTGGCAGTCCCTAATCTCATTAAATACTATGAAGCCAGGAGGTTATTCCATCTGTGCAGATGGCAGGGCCCAATGACAATAAAAGAGCCTTGGTACAAAATTGAGTCCTTTCTGTGTAAAACAAAAGATTTTTCCAATATAATATGGACTGGCGCTGGAGCTAGTGCTAATTTTTTTTTTTTTTTTTTTTTTAACTATAGAAAACTCTTATACAAGATATATTTGTGAAAATTGGGTAAAATACAGGGAAGAAAACATTCTAAATAAAATCTCTAAGTATAGTCCAATTAAGACAATGGAATATAATATTACTGATCTAACTATAGGTAATTGGATCAGATCTGGTACAATTAAAGGATCACTATAGGGTCAGGAACACAAACATGTATTCCTGACCCTATAGTGCTAAACCCAACATCTAGCCCCCCTGGATCCCTCATGCCTCCATAAATATAGCAACATCTTACTGTATTCAAGACAGAAACTGTAACTCTGCATGCTGTTTGCCTCAAAAAAAACCCCCAAAACAAGCAGTCTGCTGACATCATCAGAAGTGGTAGCCTGATCCAATCAAAGTGCTTCCCAATAGGATTGGCTGAGACTGACAAAGAGGGAGATCAGGGGCAGAGCCAGCACAATTCAAACACAGCCCTGGCCAATCAGCATCTCCTCATAGAGATGAAGTGAATCAGTGAATCTCTATGAAGAAAGTTCAGTGTCTGCATGCAGAGGGAGGAGACACTGAATGTTTGGATGCATTTTAGGCAGCCATGACCCAGGAAGGATCTCTAACAGCCATCTGAGGAGTGGCCAGTGAAGTTATCACTAGGCTGTAATGTAAACACTGCATTTTCTCAGAAAAGACAGAGTTTACAGCAAAAAGCCTGAAGGGAATGATTCTACTCACCAGAACAAATTCAATAAGCTGTAGTTGTTATGGTGACTATAGTGTCCCTTTAAAATAAAAGATCTACTAAAGTCGAATAAAATAAAACCCTTTTCACATCTTCAGTTAGGTCTTGGCCTTAAATCAAGAGAGATATTCTCATATCGAAGAATAAAAAAAATATTTGGCTAATCATCTCCTCCATGAAGATACTAGGATAAATAAAAAAATTAAATGATCTATTCAAAATAATACAAAACGTAAACTGATATCTAGTTGGTATGAAACACAGAGAGGAAGAAATAGAGTCTAAACCAAAAGCCTGGAAAAACGGGAAACAAGAAAGTGGGTCCCCCATCGAGCTGGAGCAGTGGTATAGATCAATTCAAGAAGTTTTAAAAATCGTTGCACTGTTTAAATATTATAGAGCTTCATTACAAAATGTTTCATCAATGGCATAGGGTACCAAAAATCCGAAATAAAATGAACCCTGATAATACCAAACTATGCTGGACGTAATTGTGTAGAAGGTAGCTCTAAACATATCTGGTGGGGATGTAAGCTTTTAAGACCTATATGGAATCAGGCATTTAGAGTTATATCAGACTTAGTGGGAGAACATTTGGAATATAACTTTTGGTTGCTCTTTTTCATTTTAATATAAGAAAATTCTCAACTCAAAAAAGGTATCCAATAAATCAACTTATGATGGCCATATAATAGAGTAGATAGAAACCTCAAGATATTGGTTACAGAAAAAAATCCCATCCTGGACTCTACTGCTAACAGCTTAAATACCAATATGATAGCCATTTAAAAATTTGATTAAAAAATGGTTACGTTGGTTAGACAACCCGATATGACTAACCCAAACAATCTAGACCCGTTCTCTGTTATGATAATCCACATATAGAAATATTCCTCTAGTCCTCTCTATGGTTATGTAACCTAAAAAGACCTGGAGTCCTGCTCAAACTGCTCAGTCTTTTAAAATCTGTTATATGTGTGTGATGTATATTCAACAGTTCATATCTCTCTCTTCTGGTAATCAATGTACATGACTAACCTTGAACTGCGTACTTGTCTGTGACGTATTTCAAGTAAAATTTGCAAAAAGAAGAATTTAAAAAAAAATCTACTAGTTAAACCTAAAGGACCAATGCCAGCAAACATACACCAAGCATATTACAAAGCCAGCAAACATTACGCACCTGAACATTACAAGCAGCCAACACACAACTCACAGCTTGCACAGACATAACACACATTAGATCCAGTTAGCACACACCACGCACAGTATAGGTGGCAGATAGCGAGAAACTCAAGGTTATTCACTAAACTTTGAATTTTAACAAACAAAAAAGAAATGTTGTTATTGTTTCAGTCAGTTTATGTATTTGGATAAATGTGGATATAAATAATTTGCAGAAATGTGGAATTTAGTGACTAACCCTATCAATGCCCAATGCTAGTGTAGCTGTTTTGGTTTATATAGCCACTATATAAACACTGCCTTTTCAGAGAGTTTACATTGCTGCCTACTAAACTCAGCTTTTAAATTGCTTATGGAGGGCCAGGGGCCTAAAGAGTGTTTTCATTGGACGAGTAGACTTTTTCCAAACCCCTTGACTAATCCATATTTCCAACATAATAACCTGTGCACTATTATGGATCTTAAATTGAATACAATCTTTATATAGATTTTTGATCCAAAAGCATTTATTTTTTTATAAATCATTTATTTTTATCCACCCTGATTCATATAATTGATAACAAATATGCATAACCACTGGCACAGATAGCATCACAAGTTGCATTACTGGTACATGTAATGATTTCACAATTCCTGCTGACTATGTTATATGATCAACTACAAACTATAGAAACAGTAAGAGTGAGAAAAGTACATCTGAATGAGTATACACTAAAGGGAGTAAATGAATTCCTGATAATGAGATCCCTTTCTATTCCAGTTATTGCAAGATAATTTTTTTTCTCTGTACATGGTAAAAATAAATGATTAACAGTAGCTCCAGTGTAGCCAATAATACTCAAAAAATGGTAAGTGCATAAATATTTCTATGTAGGTGAACTTTTCTACAGGGTTTGTTAATGTCATGTTTGTAGGATTTCCTCTATTAGGAAACTATATATGTTAGATAAGAAAATAATTTTCATACCTCTTCTTGTTGAATGAACTCTAGGCTAGCATACCCCATGAGTTTACTCACAATATTTAAAAGCATGATAAATTGTATGTTCCAACTTAGTGCAAGTATCTGAAATAAGCAGGAGATATAGTGATGTGGATACATTTCTTAAATACAACTAGAATTACGTCTTATAGATTAACTCCAAAAAGCCTTCTCCATAACTGTGTCTATATTTCTCCCAATTACTTACGGATACTGGAAACTACCACACTAATTTCACACATACATAAACTAATGAACCAGCAGTTAATGGGGAGAGGAACTAAGGAAAGGAAGAAAAGGAAGGGAAGAAAAAGAATAGAAGGGAAGGCAGGGATGAAAAGGAGACAATGAAGGAAATAAGAGAGGGAAGGTCTCACTGCAGGTCATTACAAAATATCACACAACTGAAACCCCTGGATGTTGGGCAAAAGTAACATCCCCAGGACGTACTTGAAAACCAGAGTAATCTGAATGTACCTTTCCTTGTTAAATACTTTGTTATTATTATTATGTATTTCTAGTAGTGGGTATGAAATGTCTCAAACAAAGATCCAATACTCAAAATGCATATGTGAAGCAAATTCCCTAGGAATAGAACATATTGCAATCATATGCTAATCCACATTTAATCCCATGACTCATTCAATAAAAGGAATTGGTGCACACTAACTTTGGTACCCTACACCTATATTTTGTATATTTTGTCTCCTTCATTCGGCATACAAAACGGTTACTGATCGTGATGGGTTCCTAGGTATCCACATCTGGTTTGATTACCTCACTACCTAAACAAGAAGAATCTTCTCTCTGCATGACTAAAGGATGTTCACAATCCAAGGTTGTACTGTAAAAGCTGCAAAACAAGTAGAGTATAACCTGTAAATGTGGGCTAAACTGTAATACTTTCTTTTCTAATGGAATTGCAATTCCAGCAATTGTGAGAAATAATGCTACGAGTGCCAAAACCTGAATGAGCATCACACGGTTTACTTCCATCACAAAGCTGCGCGTGTTTAGCAATTGTACATAGAGTGGTAAATAGACTTTGTAGCCCAAGCTACAGATCTGTTTCTGTTTAAAGCGGACCTATTTTCTGCATTTTTAGCCAAAATGCACATAGATAATGACAGCGCAGTTTAAGATTTTCAATTTTAATACATTTATATAAGATGGTACATTTAATAGGATCATGAGAGGTAAGACTGTTCAACTTTGCCATATTACCCCTGTAACCCTTAACTGTCTTTTGATGAGACTACTTTAGTTTAAGATCCCTCATGCCACACTTGCATTTTCTTTGGTATGCATACTGTATTAGAAGAGGCTGTTATCATCAATGGTATATGAATAATGGCTGCCTCTTAACCATTACAATAACTATACTTAAGATAGAGTAGCTTCTAAGTATAGTATTAAAATGGAACACAGACAGAAAAAAAAATTCACAACGCATACATTTTTATTAAACATTTTTTAATGCGTGATAATCATACAGAAGACAGGTCCGCTTTAAAGAGTTGATGAAATAAGGGATGAGAAAAATCATCTAGCTTATAATTAGCATAATAATATTGTGAATGCCTACAATCAAAAAAAAATATATGACATGCATGGCTCATATTTAATGTATTATAACTATATAGGCACTTGCTTTTCACTGACCATAAATTCTACATAAAGAAGTGTTTTCTTTTCATTAGACTACATAGCATTAGGAATACATGCTAAAGTTTAAATCTACCTATTTAGCTTTTCTGTTCCTGTGAGGCTATGAAAAGCAAAACTTACTTACCTTTTAGATCTTGACAATCTCTGCCTCCTTAGGGAAACAATGGAAGGCAAAGCTCCACACTGCACCAATCATATGCTGCTGTATAAACAGCATTTGATGGAGAACGGAGTTTGACTTGATTCTCAATGCGCAAGTGCCTTTAGTGACTGTCTGTAAAACGCTCTATAAACCTGCAATGTTTTACATTGGAGGGTTAAAACAACAGAGCCACGGAACACAGACCATTTCATCAAAATGAAGTGGCCTGGGTACCTTTAGTGGTCTTTTAAAAGAACACTGTAGGGTCAGAAATACAAGCACATATTCCTGAAACTATAGGTGTGAAAACACCTCTTAGTTGTCAGGTTCGTCTGTCCCAAAGGTATTTTAGTTTTTTTGCCACGCCACACCGGTCTTGTGGCGGCTGGCCCCGCCTCCTTGGCTGAGAATCAATTTTGAACATTGGAGGCTATATGTTGCTCCGCGCTAGGGATTGACCGATTATCTGTTTTGTCGATATTATCAGCCGATATTATCAGCCGATATTATCAGCCGATATTCGGTATTTGACAATATATAAAGATTCCGATATTGCCGATAATACATAACTGGACCACCGGGCCCATTACAAGCCCAGCGGTCCTGCAGCAAGCGCTTACTTACCTTCAACTCCCTGTGTAAATCTTACGAGTCCCGCGGCCGTCAGAGCGTTGCCACGGGTTACCAATGCAACACTCCTCGCGGCACGCAGACAGCGAGATTTACAAAGGGAGTTGAAGGGAGCTGCTGGGAAGGTAAGTAAGAGTGTGCTGCGGGCTCCCACTGCACAGTACATGCCACTGGACCACCAGGGAATGGTATAGCCCCCCTCCCTGGCCAGGTAACAAGCAGTGAGGGGGGACAAAAATATATATATATATATATATATATATATATATATATATATATATATATAAAATTAAAATTGCCCCCCTGCCCTCCCCCATTTTACACAAATTACATCCCTTCAGAAACACGCTCTGCATTCACTTTACGCACACTACACAAACACTCACTGCATTTACTATACACACACTACGCAAACACTCACTGCATTCACTAGACACACACACTACACAAACACTCACTGCATTCACTAGACACACACACTACACAAACACTCACTGCATTCACTAGACACACACACACTCACTGCATTCACTAGACACACACACACTCACTGCATTCACTATACACACACACACTCACTGCATTCACTATACACACACACTCACTGCATTCACTATACACACACACACTCACTGCATTCACTATACACACACACTACACAAACACTCACTGCATTCACTAGACACACACACTACACAAACACTCACTGTATCTACTCAGGACACACACACACTCACTGCATTCACTAGACACACACACACTACACAAACACTCACTGCATCACTAGACACACACACTACACAAACACTCACTGTATTCACTAGACACACACACTACACAAACACTCACTGCATTCACTAGACACACACACGCACTGCATTCACTAGACACACACACACTCACTGCATTCACTATACACACACACTCACTGCATTCACTATACACACACACTCACTGCATTCACTATACACACACACACTCACTGCATTCTACTAGACACACACACTACACAAACACTCACTGCATTCACTAGACACACACACTACACAAACACTCACTGCATTCACTAGACACACACACTACACAAACACTCACTGCATTCACTAGACACACACACGCACTGCATTCACTAGACACACACACACTCACTGCATTCACTATACACACACACTCACTGCATTCACTATACACACACACTCACTGCATTCACTATACACACACACTCACTGCATTCACTATACACACACTCACTGCATTCACTATACACACACTCACTGCATTCACTATACACACACACTCACTGCATTCACTATACACACTACACAAACACACCCCGCATTCATTATATACATACTACACAAATAAACACTGCATCCACTACACAAACAAACACAGCTCCCTGTCTAAACACACTGCATCCACTACATGTGGCATGTATATTTTGTGCATTTACCTTTAGAAATTGTTTATTTTTTCAAAATGGTAAATGTACAGAATATCGGCAAGTTATCGGCCTGAAAGTTCACAGATTATCGGTATCGGCTCTAAAAAAATTCAATATCGGTCGATCCCTACTCCGCGCCAATCAGGAACTCCTCATAGAGATGCACTGAATAAATACATCTCTATAAGGTACATTAAGTGTCTCCATGCAATGCATGGAAAACTAACGGACAGTGGTGTCTTAGTGACTGTCACTTGAAGTGTTCCTAGGCTGTAATGTTAACATTGCCTTTTCTCTGAAAAGGCAGTGCTTACATTAAACAGCCTGCAGGGGCATACTATGCACAATAGAACAACTATATTACGCTGTAGTTGTTCTGGTGACTAGTGTTACTTTAACAAAGATTTAAGAGTAATCTTTTACTGCATTTAACACAATTTCAGACTCATGTAATAGCAGAGATTAAACTCTAGAATCTTAGTGGTCCAAAGTTCAACTAAACTGGATTCTTCCTTTCATCCCACGCACAGAGACAAGGTCTCTCAGTTCAAAACATACTTTACTGAAGATCTTATTGACTGTTAGTTGCGCTTTACATCTGCTCTAGACTATACATATTATGCCTAGAATCTTTTTAGATAATGTATATATTAATAGGGAATAGTTATCTTTCACTGACACTTAAAGTAAAATAAAGATTACTATAACTCTAACTCTATAAAATCTTTTAATGACTTGTATGTATGAATTTCTCAGCTATAGATTTGGCATCAGAAGCTTCCAAATCAATGAAATGCAGGTTAAAGAATGTCACTTTTGAGATTTTTATAAAGACAGAATCTTTATGAAAAGCATTTCTTTTTGACAGTATTGTAATTCCTGTGAAATTTCAACTCTATAAAGATATATGCACATAAGATAAATTAGGGATTAATTTGCCTCATATAAAAGTTTTCACCACCACTTCAGTCAGTTGTGGCAACAGACAGGAATAGGCATCGTCTTGCACAATGCGCAATAGATGCCTCACATGTGCAAGACAACATAAAGGATTGCATTCTGCTGGGTCCTTCATGGACCCCGTTTTCTACTGTTATCCACTGGATGAAGTGAAGTCTCTAATAACCAAAGTAAGGGGGGCAAGAAGATGGTAAGTGTGTCTTGTACTCTCAGACACTGCAATAATTAACGTTGCAGGTGACAGGGGCATTGCACCCTATCCACTTCAATGAGATACAGTAGTCTGGGTGTCTATAGAGTCCCTTTAACTGTTTTTCTATGCAGGCTTGTAAAAGACAGAGAATTGAGCATTGAGAATGTGGGGCATGATCTATACATCCAAACTGCTTAATTCAGCTGTTTTGGTGCCAATATACAAGTCATTTATATAATGGCAACATATTCTGCATAGTTGTACCATAGATGAAACCAGACAAATAATCCTGACACAATACATTTGACAAATTAAGTACATATCAACAAAGCCTGTTCATAATTTTTAACATGTATACAAATATCTTGCAGAGTTCAGTTACTATATCAATATTTTACTTTCATATTAAAAGAGCTAGAGGGGAATTATTCAAACCAGGGCAAGTGAAATATTTTCAAGCGATCCTTGCTAAATAATCCTGTATAATACGATGGTATAGACTGAGTGAGAGCTTGTATGTGTGCTTAGAGAGTCATATATTCAGTTAGTTTGTATATATGTGTGTAAGGAAGGAAGGGAGGTGTATTATTCACTAAACCCCGAATATTAGAGAACTGAAGATAGAACTGCAAAGTTTCGGCCTAAATAGTGCATTTGGGAAAAGTCTGAAAGTTCCTTGTCCCGGGTCAGGTTTAGCAGTTTTCCTGCATTTAGTGAATAGAGCCCCTGTCTGTGTGTCTGTGTGTGTGTGTGTGTGTGTGTCTGTGATTACAGTAATAGCCAGTCACTCCCTCGGCTGGCAGCACACGGTGTCTGTCTAGTGACCGGTAAGAGGCGGAGGTCGCCCGGTCAGACCAGCTCGCGGTCTGTTACCGACATGACAGGAGACCGGCGGCCAGCAGAGCCCCTCGCCCATTGGGTGGGCAGGTGGGGTTACTGCAGCCCGGGTACCCCCCTCTCTCTCTCTGAGTCACCCTGCACTTTACACGGTGCGGCGTCTAACGATTAATAACGAGCTATGAGATACAGGACCCCCTCCCCCACTTTCGCTGTAATCGCCCTCGGCTCTCACCCATGCTGTCCCCGGTCTATCAGGGCCTCTCCCGGCTCCTCTGGGACAATATGTCTGACGGACGGAAGCCTCTGAGTGTCAATCTCAGGAAGGCGCGGAGCGAATGTGCGTGAAGCACTTCCGGGGGATGCGTGTCACAGAAGCTGCACATGCGTTCCACCGGCTTAAAGGGACATGGTCGTGTGTACTGCGTGCGGTCTATGAGTGTGCAGGCTGCATTACTCGGCTGTTAGCTCGTCAGTGTTTGTCCGGAAAGACAAGCAGGGTAATGTGCTAAAGTACATGCTGGGAATTCAACCAGATTTATTTACTAAAGTCAGAATTCTAAGTGGATTTAAAAATTTAATGGATACTATAAGCACCCAGACCACATTAACTCATTGAAGTGGTCTCGGTGCACTGTCCCTGTCCCTGTCCCATTAGCCCTGAGAATGAAAAACGTTGCATTTTCAGAGAAACAGCTATTACATTGCAGTACAAAGACTGTGTGGAGTGGCTGTCTACCAAACAACCACTAGAAGGCTTTCTGGAGTTTCACAGGCTTTAACTCTCGTGAAACGACACTGGACGTCCTCACGCTCTGCACAGGATGTCCAGCATCAGAGAAAACGCCATAAAAAAAGCAATGAGTCAATGCTTTCTCTATGAGGGTAGGCCTGATGCATGCACAGTGCCCGCCATGCATGTGCACTATGTCCCCCCCATCGGTTGACTTTGGACGAAGCAGACCATGACGCTGGAATTGGGAAGTGAATAAAGGGTGGAGGAGAGGGGCACGGGGTCAGAGGAACACGTTAGTTTTAGGACTACATCTTTTTATTCCTAACACTAAAGTGTTCCTTTAAGGCCAAAGTAGCCAAACTGAAAGCAGAGATGATTTGATAGACAATGTTTCCAGTTTGGCTATTTTACCTTGCAGTTTAAATTCACTTGAGGGAATAAACTGAGAATTATTCACTAAGCTAGAATTGTAGCAAATTGAATAACAAATGGGAAAATTCTTGGTAAAATATCTAACCTGCGACTATAGCAGAGTTGGAGATTTAAAGGGACACTATAGTCACCCAGACCATTTCAGCTCAATTAAGTGGTCTGGGTGCCAGGTCCCCCAGGTTTTAACCCTTCAGATGTAAACATAGCAGTTTCAGAGAGGGTTAAACCAGCCTCTAGTGGCTGTCTTCCTGACAGCCGCTAGAGACGCTTCTGCGACGCTGGATGCGAAAATCGCATTCAGTGTGCAGAACGTCCATAGGAAAGCATTGAGAAATGCTTTACTATGGACTGTTTGTATGCGCACACGGCGCTTGTCGTGCATGTGCATTCCGCTCCCCTGAGGAGCTGACGTCGGCGGGGGAGGAGAGGTCACCAGCTTTGAGGGAGCCCAGTGCTGGATTAAAGTAACTGAAGGGGTTTTAACCCCTTCAGCGCCAAGGGTGTGGGGGCCTAAGAGTTATATAGTGTCAGGAAAACTAGTTTGTTTTCCTGACACTATAGTGATCTTTTAAAGTAATATAGCTTTTTGGAAATATTGTTACATGTACAAATAATGATAGAGTGTTATTGCTTAAACTAAAGTAGTGGTATGAGTAACAAATCCTCTACTGACTCCACCATAATACGAGACCACTTAAAAAAAGGAAAAAGAACATACAATGCAATGCCAGTGATATATTTCACGAGTAGCACTGGATTTCAAGGATAAGAGGGAAATATGATGACATTGATAAGCACCCAGTCCACTTCAGCTCATTGGAATCGTCTGGGTGCAGTGTCCCAGGCCCCTTAACCCTGCAATTGTAACTATTCCAGTTTTTGATTAACTGCAATGAATTACATTGCAGGGTTAACTCCACCTCTAGTGGCTGTCTACCAAAACGATTGGGTGGCTCTGACAAACTCACACACAAGTAAACTACAGGTGAGCCCACTGACACACACTTGCTCACTACAGACAAGCTCACTGACACACACAGACATGCTCACTACCACACACATACAAGCTTACTACAGACAAGCTCGAAGACACACACACACATACTACAGACATGCTTGCTGACACACACACACACACATACTACAGACATGCTCACTGACAAACACATACAAGCTCACTACGGACAAGCTCACTGAGAGAAACATACATGCTCACTTGAGACAAGCTTACTGAAACACACATATGCTCACTACATACAAGCTCACTGACACACACAGACATGCTCACTACAGACAAGCTAACTGACAAACATACTCATTGCAGACAAGCTCACTGATACATATGCTCACTACAGACAAGCTCACGGACACACACATGTTCACTATTAACAAGCTCACTGACAAACACATTTAAACTCACTACAAACAAGCTCACTGGCACACTCACCCACAAGATCGCTCTCACTCACTAGCTGCAGTGTATTTGAAACCTACCTGGCACTGAAGGTTGTGGAAGTCCTGTGAGCTCAAGACTCCATTTCATGGCCTCTTCCTGCCGTCGGATCAGAAGCTTGCATCTGGGGGTGGAGCTAGAGTGCAGAGGCGGGGCTTGAGTGCAGGAGAAGCACAGAAAACTCCCTCCAGCTGCTGCAGCCTCAATGCGGCCACAGCAGCCCCCAGCACTTTCCTCTATAAATGTGAGAGTCTGAGGAAGAAAGAATTTAAATTGTATTGGGTATGAGTATTACGGCTGCCTGCCCAGCCCCAAGTGCTGCAGCCCATCGGGAATTTTCCTGGTATCCCAGTTGGCCAGTCCGGCCCTGGAGGCTGCTTATGGAATTGTGTGTGTGTGTATGTGGATTGTCAGTGGTATTGTCTTTGTGGGAACTGTGTTTGTGTATGGGCTTTTTGTATTATCTGTATGAGGGGGAGGCTTTTTCTGCAGCTCTGTATGTATCTAGTGTGAGTGGCATCCCTGGCATCCGGTGGGGACTGGCTGGCCAGGTACAGGTCAAGGGCAGGAGCCACGATAACTGCTATTTTTGTCATATTATTTATATAGCGCAATCCAATTCCGTAGCTGGGAGGAAAGGATATGAGGATTGTCCCTCACCTCTTGCAATCACTGCTCGATTTGCACTAGTCCCACTGGGATTCCTATTAGGCCACAGCCTGTTTGTCTCTGGCAGATGAGTACTGTACAAGGCACATGTGCCATAGATTGCTGTACCATATTATATATATCACACGTAAAGGAGTAGTAAATCTTCCCAATATGAACCTCAACTGAATCTGCCTATTTTTTTTAGGCACAAACGCATTTTTGTACACAATATATCCTCATATAGAGGTTACTCAGAAGTTAATCAGTCGAATGGTGAAGTAACTGATTTGTGACACCACCACCATAACAACCTCACTCACATAATACCCAATCCTTCTCTTACGTATAAGGGCAACACTACACTGGGCGCATTAGAAGGTAGAGCCTTAGTGGAGTCAGCGCGTCGGTTTGCTGACCATTCCTTCTAGAGTGGAGCTGACTCCTACCTTTATACATTAGCGTAAGCACCACCAATATGCATAGGGCAACTTAGGTGTGGCTGCCATGCACCGAAACACACATCAGGCATACTTTTTTTTTTTTTTTTTTAAAAACACTTCTTTCACTGTATATAGATATGTATGGCATGCTATGGTAGACATAAGTTGTTAGCGTGCCATGGTTTATTGTTTTGGTTTTTTTGCATACATGTAGGGCCCACTCTCTATCTTTCTATCGGGGGGAGGGTTACTTGCAGCAAAGGTACCACTACTCATGTCTTTTATATAGTAGAATACGTCACTACTTTGAGTGTTGGACTCCAATATTTCTCTACAGGGATCTGCTGCTGTCACTTTATGGTCATGTAGTTGTGCTATGGTGTATGGGGGTAGTCTCAGGTTCATTCATATATTTATAGGAAAGTAGGTTGCAAGGTTATCACCTCCTACCTCTACTTATTCTGGTTTATTGACCTGATTGTGCCCTTTAAATACTTGACAAGCTTTGGGTGTTACCAATAGCCCCTATTTTATTAATATTTTCTTATTGTGGTTAAGTTTGAAATATATGACAAAACTGCAGTACACGTGGTCATTTTGTTGGCGTTTTTTTTCTTTTCTCTTCTCAGTGGATTTCCTGTCCACACTCCCAGCAATTATGCCAAGTATGGTTCATATCTCCCTAGCAGCTTTAGGAGTACCATACTTACCACTATTTTTAAATGCACGTTCACAGCTTTTATACAGTGGTATCTAAACATCCGTCTTTTCTTATTGACAGCCATTTGTTTGCTACAAATGTCACATGATGCAGAAGCCCATTGAAAATCACTGAACATATTGCTTTCCTATGGGGAAGCTTGAATGCACACAAACAGGAGCCTCCTCAATGACATTGCTGGAGGCAGAAAGCTTAATGGCACCAAGGAAGCCAGTGGGAGCAGCCTGTATTTAACAAGGGACAGGGGCAATAGAGTGTCAGGAATTCAGGTTTGTATTCCTAAAGCAATAGTGCTCCTTTAAACTTACAAATTAATTTTGAATTCTATGTTAAGTTAACCCCCTAAGGACGGAGCCAAATGTACACGTCGTGATCAAAACAAAACGTAAACAAAAACTTGAATTTGTGCTATATGTCTGTTCAGGCATAATTCGCCTCTTTTATATTATGTGCACCCACACTTAGATATCATTTTATTCAGGGGAAACAGGGCTTTCATTTAACATCAAATATTTAGGTATGAAACAATTTAATATGAATAAAATATAAAAAAAATGGGAGAAAATATGAAAAAAATTTTTTAGTTCTACGCGACATTCTAACTGTGCATGTCATAATACGGTTTGCTTTTACTGCAATAAAATACACATATTTGTATACAGCGATGTTTCACGTGTAAAACAGTACCTACTATGTACAGGTTTTTTGGTGTTTTGTGAAATTACAGGATCAAATATAGCAAGTTACATTTCAGTTTTTTCACATTGAAATTCACCAGATTGGTTACGTTGCCTTTGAGACCGTATGGTAGCCCAGGAATAAGAATTACCCCCATGATGGCATACCATTTGCAAAAGTAGACAACCCAAAGTATTGCAAATGGGGTATGTCCAGTCTTTGTTAGTAGCCACTTAGTCAGAAACACTGGCCAAAGTTATCGTTAATTATTTGTTTGATCAGGAGAGAGCACATGTAACTTTTTTTTTGTTTTTTTTACTGTATGTATGGTGGCTGATGTGCACTGTGGTCTTTGCTGCCGCCCAGGAGTGATGGGAGTGAACGCCGGACTTATCTTTTTGTATTTGTATTCACTTTTTGTATCACACAGCTTTGTTACAATGCTGCCGCCCATCCCATGTGTTCCCTATTAAGGGTTAATAAATATATAGGGGTGTATATAAAAAAATACCCCTCTCTGTCTCATTAGAAATATCTTTGTCAGAAGCTCATGGTGAAAGGTCAGTGTAGGACCCGCCTAGGGGGGGGTCTGCCTTGACGTTGGCGGGCGGGCATTCCTTCCAATGGCCATTGGAGTAACTAAATGACCTCCATTTGTTTAAATATATATAGGGATTCAGGAGAGAGCGCAGATAACTTTTTCTTTGTTTTTTACTGTATTTATGGTGGCTGATGTGTACTGTGGTCGTTGCTGCTGCCGAGGAGTGATGGGAGTGAGCGCAGGACTTATCTTTTTGTATTTTTTTGTGTGAAAAATGCAAAAAACTAATTTGAATGCCAATTTTGGCCAGTGTTTGTGACTAAGTGGCTACTAAAAAAAAAACTGCACATACCCCATTTGCAATACTATTGCAAATTCTATGCCATCATGGGGGTGGTAATTTTAATTCCTGGGCTACCATACGGTCTTAAAGGTAACGTAACCAATCTGGCGAATTTCAATGTGAAAAAACAAAAATGTAACATGCTAAATAAATACATGCTATATTTGACCCCCCGCCATCTTTAAGGGGTTAAAGACATAAGACAAAGCGGAGACTACTTCTCTATTTTTCCTATACTTTGAAATCTTGACAAAAGGTGGCACTTAGGGCAAGCTTCACTGTTTGTTAGCTTGACAAACGAAGTGGAGCATGCTTTAAACTCCACGCTTTTATCATAAATGCCAGGCGTAGGAAGAATACATAAGATAAAGTAGTCTCTACTTTGTCTTATGTTTTAAAGAGAAATAGATCAGAAATGAAGAACAGATTTTGAAACCGAAAACAATAGGAGAAAGGCAAGTTTGAGGTGACAGAGGGACATATTTCAAACAGTTTGACAACTTATCTGGAGTTCACTGGTCACCTGTGTCCCAGGAAAGTCAGAAGCCCTCAGCGCAATGCTGATCAAGAGTGCCAAGCTTAGCTCATTGGCTAGGAACGCTCCACTGACATTCTCAGAGCCAGTGAGCTTGCAGCTCTCATGGAGGCCAGGACCGGCCCTTAGTGTAACCCATGTAAGTTGTCAAAATGTTTGCAAACTGTTTATCTACTTACCCTGGGATGGCCCCCTGGCACCATAACCACCACACCGTACTGAAGTGGTTATGGAGCTTAGAGTGTTCCTTTCATGTCACTCTAAAATGTGGAAACATCCAAGTGGTGCAAAATTATTAAAAAAAAGACACCATACAAAAGGTTATTGTAATGCAAGATGGGAAATGGGATAGACACGTACAGACCCTATGTAGAGATGCAGAGGTACTGAATAGTGCATTTTCAGAGAATTCTGCTTCTGTGTATGGTGGACACCAATTCTCAAGATAAGGAGGTTAGAGGGGCTTTATGAACTAATATTTCATAGGGTTGTACCATGTAAAGATGTTATTGGGAGGTAAGGGGGTTAAAACAGCCTACACCTACTTTGTAGATCACTTATTCCAAATGTTTGTGTACAATTGTAACCTACTATTGTCAGGTGTGATAATATTTCTCCATTATGATGTTTAAAAGAAAACATTTTGTCATACATATGTAGATCACTCAAGCATAATGTAGATGGCAGAACCTTTTTGGAAATGACACTTAGACAGTATGTCAGAGTAAAAAAATAAGCTCTTCCTTTTAATTACACAAAGAAACAAAGCAATTGTAACAAAAATACAGAGCTCTGGCCGAAGTGGAGAACATGTCAGTTCAGTTTCTGCTCAATATCTGAGGCATTAGAATAGGAATATGCTTTGCCCAGGACAATGCGGTCACGAAGCAGTTTGAAAAAGGCGTAGTAATTACTGAAAAGTATGAGGGCCAGAGAAATTGTGTGGTGCCACTTCTCTGAAGAGAGGAGTGAGTATAGCTGGTAAAAGATCAGAAATCCCTCTAGGGCTGTTAAAATATTCAGGACACGCAATGGATTACTGAAAAAGAACTGAAGGTGGGGAGAGGGAAAAAAAATAAAATTAAAACAGTAATGATACAAGCAATGTATGCCTGTGCATTAAGTTATAAACATTACAGTTAGTCTTACTGAAATAATACAATATAGTACCAAAATGAAAATAGCTTTATCATCTTTTAAACCATTGCTTCATTAAATAGAGCATAAAATACTGTTACTAATCTCAAATGATACTCCATGTTAAATACGAACCTTGCATACAATGGAATTCATTTCTTAGAAATCCATTGTTTGTAGCAAATTTGAGATCTGAAGCTTTATGGACTGCTTTTTAATTAAAGTTTTGCTCATATAAGAAACTGGTGCTGTACAATAAAGCATAACATAATAGCTGTAAAGACACGTATAGCATTGAGTGCATTGATACATTGGCTTCCTGGTCTGTCCTTATCTAAAATCAATAATGAGAGGCACCAAACAAATTCAACATTCAAAAAGAATTGGTGCTTAATCTCTTAAGAACCGCAATGGTCTAGGACAGGGATAGGCAACCTTCGGCACACCAGATGTTGTGGACTACATCCCCCATAATGCTTTTACACCCATAATGCTGACAATGCATCATGGGAGGTGTAGTCCAAAACATCTGGAGTGCCAAAGGTTGCCTATGCCTGGTCTAGTATATCAAGCAGTGCAGGGCTTTACCGCCCAGTGATGTCAGACAGTCATGTGTTTAACGTATCTGCACGGTTAGATCCTGGCTGGTATCATGGAGCCCCAAGTAGCATATAAATCCTGAGGGTGCCTTATGTAAGCCAGGGCCACAATAAGTGCCCCCAGACAGAGAAGAGATGAGGAGATAGGCCTTTTAGTTCCCTTTAAATCACCATGGCTGAGCAGGACCTGCAGCATGAGAGTGCTATGTACTGTGTGAGCTGGGTAATCCCTCTCCTGACATAAGTAGAGGGTCAGCAAAGAGAATTCCTCTGTTAGGGTTAGTGGTTTAGGAATAGAACCAATGTTTGATGCTGCTCAGTGCAGTGGCACAAATAGTGTCACACCAGATCATGCCCAAGTAAGCAAGCAAATAGGCATGTCAAAGTTAAGGTCACCTGGCAAAGGTATACATGTGGGATATTAATGTACTTGAGAACGGCAGCACAATACAATTATTAAAGTCCACATGAAAATAAAACATGTACGAAAAACAAGTAATCAAATGTAACCAGCAGATTAAACCAAAGCTGGTGATAAAATTATTAAATAAAGTCTCAAAATGCACTCCGTGAAATAGCCTGGAGGATCTGATTACTAGTAAAATACACTTTTGTGTAGCGGTTTTGGATTCTGAGACTGAGAGGTTTTATCAAGCCCAACCTTACTGGTAATGTTTGATTCATGTAAAAATAAAAATAAAAATTCCTATGCAACTTTCTTTGTCTGTACAATTTACTGAAATACCTACATGGAAGCGGAAGTGGGATACATCAGAAGGAACAGCCACATTGTAGTGACCAACAGCTTTGTAGACATTCTTGTTGTGTTTAACCAGCACCCCTTGTGGCCACATGCACTCTTCCATCCACCTGCCAGGTTAAGTCAGAGAATATGTCATAAAATGGAGCATTAACAGATGTTTGTTTGCAACACAGTCTTTTTTAAATTTGATTTAAAACAATTTAATTGAGCCCCCACCCCCATTAAAACTATATAGTAATACAATCTTAAAAGAAAGTAAAGACTGAAGTCATATAATCAACATGGAGTGTTTGTGTAAATGTCTACACATATAATATACCTACACACTGCTCTCTACACAGATGTTAGTATGTTCTTTGCATTGATAAATGCTGGTCATGCCACACAACATCTGTGTGATTCAGGTCTACACACAAGTGCACATATTTCTACAGTTAATGCTGGAATCACACAGCCTTACCAGCTCCTCTTTCAGGATTTCAGAGAGGGGTTGAACCAAGAATAGTAGGGAGAAATAACAGTGATGTCTGAGAGTATCATATCCCAGTTTGCCATAGATTAGTGAAACATGGACACTCCAACCCTAGATGTAATCTAAACCTAACTTAAAAGAAACAAGATACATAACACTATAACATAAGAAAACAATGCCATTTCAGGGTTCTGGAGACATTCATAAACCATCAAGATTGTGATTACATAGGTTATTTCCAGAGCACCTGAATAGCTTTATTGGAATGCATCCTTCCCCATTGTATCACTATACAAACACTGTAGCACAGTAACTTATGAACGTTTTAAATAATTTATTCAATTATCTGTAATTTTCTCATAACACAATTTGGGTATTTTATTTAAAGCACTTGGTGTTACATTATTAAATATGGCTACGTCTAAACCAGTGAATAGAGGGTATTTAGAACAGTTTCGAAGTTACTAATGATTGCATTTCTGTGTGTTTGTGCCCTGCTGGTCTATACACTTACGAGTGTTGCAGTACATTAGAGCAAAGAGCAGGATCCACCTTCTGCCAGCAGCCTAGGTGAGCTGCAGCCTTGTGAAGAAGGTCACAGTAGCGCGCAGGTAGGAGATGTTGGGTAAGAATGACAGAAGTGCTCAGGGATACTTGAAGGAAGAGTTCACAGGACCATCTCTTATCATAATACTGTGTGCTCTGATCAGGGTACATACAAGAGAGACAAGATGAAGGCATCAATTATCAAGAAAAAGCATAAGATGTTAGTGCTGAAGATATAAAGAGTAACTACAGTAAGAAAGGGAGGGATTGACAGATGGAGGGGAACAGAACTGGAAGAAAAGGGAACAAGAAGAGAAGAGATGAAGAAACATGCTATTTTATGTAACAAAATACAGTAAATATCCACAACTTTGATGAGACGGTTGGTTAAGCACAAGAAAAAAAACTGCAAATACTAAGATAGCCTGAAAAAAAGGTGGCAAGTTTTTGCTCTTTTTTTCTTATGTGCAAATTTCCTTGCTATGGAAATTCTGTTAAACTACCACCTCCTAGAGGCTGTAAGCTCATTTGAGCAGGGTCATCTTCAACATATCATTCCTGTAGGTTTTCAAGTAATTGTCCTATTTATAGCTAAATCCCCCCCTCTTATAATATTGTGAAGCGCTATGTAATCTGTTGGCACTATATAAATGGCAATAATAATAATAATAATCTCACTATTAAGTTACTTGTGGGTAAATCAATTTAAGTTAATGTTTTTAAGTCGAAATACTACTCCACAAATCGGAAAACACAGATGTTAACCTCTCCTGGAATAGAGCAGTTAGGATCAGACTCCTATTCTGTACTTTTGCAAATGTAATTACTTAGAGCAAACCAAGTGGACCCATTGTACAGCGCTACGGAACTTGCTGGCACTATATAAATAATAAAATAATAATAATAATAGTCAGCAGACAGAAATAGTAACCTTGACAATAATGTCCCCAGTGTCCAACTCCTGCTCTTTTAAATAAATGAACAGTACATCACACCTCTTGTCCAGGGTATTATTCAGTGGTTAAAGGGACACTATAGTCACCAGAACAACTACAGCTTAATGTAGTTGTTATGGTGATTATAATCATTGCCTTCAAAGAAAAGGCAGTGTTTAAATTGCCCCTAGGGACACCTCCAAGTGGCCACTCTTCAGATGGCTACTGGAGGTGCTTCCTGGCTCAGTGCTGCACAGTAGGCAACACTACCGTTCAGCGTCTCCACGCTCTGCATGGGGACGCTGAGTTTTCCTCATAGAGATGCATTGATTTAATTTATCTCTAGGAGGAGGCGCTGATTGACCAAACGGCGTTTGGCCCCACCCCTTGCCGATTTGAGCCAATCGATACTTTGCCTAAAAAGCAGCAATTCTGATGATGTCACCAATGGGGCGGAGTTAGCACTTGCGCGGCATTGGAAATAAGGTGCGTTTTAATTCCTTTTAAGGGGAGGTGTGGGTAAGCCATGGTGGGTTTAACACTATAGGGTCAGAAATACAGATTTGTATTCCTGACCCTAGAGTGTTCCTTTAAGGATGAGACTTGGAATCCCTCATGCTATCAGAGGATTTCAGAAAACGTACCCCTAGTGTCTCCAAAGTCCCAAAAAATAATCTTCATCAAAGTATTATATGCTTATGAATAGGTCTTGATCTTCAGTTACTGAGGATTCAAGATTGAAAGAGAGGAATGAAGACAAATATAGAAACTGCTCTCAACTAGCACTACCAATTTTTTATTTTATGCCTTAAATTATTCATATGGAGAGGCACTCCTGTGAGATGTGGAGGTTTTTATTATTTTAGCACACATAGGATATAGGTAGGAATTTGTGATAAAATGGTCAAAAGAAAAGGAAAAAATTTAAGAAAATACCTCATACAAATGAATTGCAATTAAGTGGAACTGTGACAATATCCTATATGCAAGATTGGTCCAGTAAATCAATCTGTCAAACTTCCTATTTTGCAAATTAAAAAGACAGGTCCAAATTTTACGCCTGTATCTTCGAACATTTTGTACAGATATAAACTGTTTGGGGAATGAAGCTTCAAAGAATACTCCTGGCACTAACACAACATTAATGCATTTTATAGCTTTTGGTCTTAATACTTTGTGTATTCTTTGCAGAATATAGTTTGTATCGCTGTTGACTAATTAATTAAATACACATCTTCCTGCTTGTACTAAACAGCTCACATTTACCATGATGACAAGTGCTGGCATGGTAATTTGTAATATCTTGAAACAGCAGTTACATCAATACAGTGGACATTCCAACATGCAGTGGAGAGATGCATTGTTCTATTTCAAAACGTGATACCTTCACAAACCAGACAGGCACAAATGCCACGTAGTAAGCAGACAGCATCGAGCTGAGAAGCACCTCTCGTACACGCCAGTTAAAGTCCAGCTTCAAGTAGTGTACCTCACTGCGGATCAGGTCAGGTGAAAGGCAGCATGCGTGTGTAGGAAGTGGCTCAGTGCTGGGCATGTGTAATCTCCACATGTGCTGCAATATTGTCAGGTAATCCCTTCCTCCTTTCTCCACAGACCTCAGCTCTCCACTAACATGGGAACCAGACACAGGTGAGAAAATCCCAGAGCGTCTGAAATCACAGCCCAGCTGCAAGAAAGGGATGTACATGCCAAACCTGGAGGGATGTGACAACAGATACACAAGTCAAAAACAAAAAGTATATACCAAAGGCAAGCAGAATTTGATAGCGCTGGAGCCTATTAGGAAGTGGCCAGTGTTACCCCCCCAAAAAAATAGCCTTTATTTAGAGGACTAAAACCCAACAACAAAACAATAATCTGAATGAAAAATATTGACATAACATGCACAGTACAATGGATAGGTTATGGAAAGTGAGTCTATTATGTGTGTACCTGGAAAGGGAGTCTATTAGGTGTGTATCTAAAAAGGTAGTGTTTCTCAATACTAGACAATCTCTAAATCCTAAAAGTTAACACACTCTAGTCACTGTGTATTTGAAAATTCTGAAAGTATAGCTGTATGTACAGTATAATGGAGTAAGGAAGGGTAAACATAACAAAAAAACATGAACTGATATGCTGAGTGTCCTGGACTGAAAAATACCAAAGCTGTGTGCCTACAAACATAGGGGTGCAGTGGAAATGCACAGCTTAAAAAGCAGTGCTGCGGAATCTGTTGGCGCTTTATAAATAGCAGTAATAAATAAATAAAAAAGGAGAAAGAGGAAGGTTACAAAACAAACTTGTGGCAATAATGGCAACTGATAATGTAGATTTAGTCGCGGTTACTGAGACATGGTATAATGAGGAAAAATTAATGGGACATAGCAATACCTGGGTACTCTTTATATAGAAAAGACAGGGAAGGCAAGAAAAGGGGAGGTGTGGCCCTGTATGTAAAGGATAGCCTAAAATCTATCCTAATAAAAGTTAGTGAGGCGAACATAGAGTCCGTTTGGGTTACGTTAGAATTTGGTAATCACACGGTAACTCATGTAGGTGAGATTTATAGGCCCCCAGGACAAACAGAAGAGTTAGATAATCTACTAGTTAAGGAAATAGCTAAAATGACAATGAAGGGGAAAGTTATCATCATGGGTGACTTTAATCTTCCTGATGTGAATTGGAAAACCAAAATAGCTGCTTGTGCCAGGAGCACACATATTTTAAACTCCCTATTGGGATTGTCTCTAAAAAAAAAGTCATTGGGGAGCCAACTCGTAAAGAGGCCATACAAGATTTAGTTTTAACAAATGGAGATTAGGTATCAGATATTACTGTAGGTGAAAGTTTAGGATCCAGTGATCATCAGTCAGAGTGGTTTAATATAAGAACAGTGACTGAGTCACACCACACAAAAACACAAGTTTTAGATTTTAGAAAAACAAACTTTTCTAAAATTAGAATGTGTAAAGGAGTCATTATCAGACTGGAGCAATTTAAATGGAGTCCAAGAGAAATGGGATTATTTAAAAGTTGCAATGTTAAAGGCAACAGAAAACTGCATTAGGCTTGTCAGTAAAAGCAAAAAAATTCAGGGGGCGGGGCCTGACCGCCGACGGGATCAGACGTGTTCCTTCTGAGCTCCCGCTCCAGGGCCCGAAACAACGGGGTAATCGGAGGTGCACCGCGAGCACCAAACTGGGGAACGCGGTGATACCGCTCAAGACCTCACCCAGTACCGACAAGGACCCGGAGCTAGCTGGAGCCGGGATGAGACGGCTGCTCACCCGGGTCTCCGACCGGCATCTCGCTCCACCCCTCTTTGGACCGGGGGGTTATCCCGGTCTGCAAGGGCGCCAAGTCACACCAAGCTGGGCTTTAAACAACCGCCCTGGAGTGAAATATTTACCAGGCAACGTTCCTAAGATGGCCGCCGCACACCAGCCATGTACGCTCACTCAGCACCATCAGACCACCAAGGCAGCCTACCCTAGGGCCATGCAGGTGGACTACACTAGGCAAAGGTACAGTCCAAGGGCATCAAGCAGGGAGAAATGGGGCAAACACAGAGCGGGAACAAACCCTGTAAAGCAAGCCCACAGGGGCCCACAGACCCTAGAACTGCCTGCCCCGTGGAGAAAGGCCAGAGGGACTGAAACACCTAGTTACCCTGCCAGAAATAATCTTCCCTACCAGCCCAGACCTAAGCCACCATAATCACCGTCACAAGCCAGCGAAGCAGCACAGGAAGATGCCACTACATCACTGGGGCACAAGAGGCACTTACCAAGTACCGGAGTGGGCTGACACCCCAGACAAGGAACTCAGAGAGACTGCACCTCATAATACCTGTGGCACCAGCCTTATTTTGGGATAACCCTGCGACACACGCCTGTCAAACATGCCTAATGACACGCTTAAATGAAGTCACTCGTTATGCTAAGCCTGTTCTTGGACTCCACGACAAGCGTTGGACCTGCAAACTCAGTAGACTACACCCAAAATTATGCACGGACGGTTAAGTGCACCATACCCACTGCATTTTTCCCCACTTTCTCATCTCACCCTCAACTAAAATGAATAATAGACTCTGTATAGCGTATATTTACATGGGGAGTGTGAGGGGAATGTGTACTAGCCATCTCAGTAACCTAGAACGAGTAGTGTAATAGCCTACATAGAAGCCATCTTGTGATAAGGCTGCACTTAATGCCTGTGAAGCGCTGCCATTATCCAGTTGTTTCTTTTTACTTGTATAAGCGCCCTAGCTAAGCAAATTATTTTATATAAGCGATTGTACACACGTTTTGGTTTTACACAGCAAAGTCAGAAAATGTTTAGATATTAAAGCAATGTCATTCAATTTAAATATAACTCTTAAGCTATAGTTACTAATTGACAAAGCAACTTATTAGGACAGTAGTAGTTACCTAGCTTGTACCTAGCCTGTATTACTAATTTAATAATTGTGCGTTTAATCTAAATGCTGTACAACAGTGAACGACTGTGTTTTTAAACTGTTTGCAATTGCTGTTGTGGCATTGTTGACATGCGACTGTTATTTCATGCACAGTAAAAATAAAGAATTAAAAAAAATGTAAACAAAAAAGAATTTCAAGAAACCATTGTGGTACTCCGCAGATGTGGCCAAAATAGTAAAAAACAAAAAGTTATCATTTAGTAATTATAAAAAAAACCTAGAGTGAGGAAGATAGACAGATCTATAAGATTAGACAGAAAGAGACTAAGCAAGTTATAAGAGCTTCCAAATCCCACACAGAAGAGACAATAGCACAGTCAGTAAAAAAAGGGAGACAAAACATTTTTAGATACATAAATGAGAAAAGGAAAATAAAACAAGGATTAGTTAGATTAAAAACAAAAGAAGGAAGGTATGTAGGTGAGGATAAAGGTCTGGCTGACTGCCTCAATTAATATTTTTGTTCAGTATCTACAGATGAAAATGAAGGCAAGGGGCCTCAGTTAACAAAAAGGACAAATGAGTCATTTGTTACATGTCAATTTACAGAGGAAGAGGTTCTATTTCAACTGTCAAAAATAAAGACAAATAAGTCAATGGGACCTGATGGAATACACCCAAAGTTATTAAAAGAGCTTAGTGGTGTACTAGCAAAACCATTAACAGATTTATTCAACAATATTGGAATTAAACAAGTTTGGATTCCAATACTGTTGAATGGGTAAGGCAGTGGCTGAGTGACAGGCAACACAGGGTTGTAGTCAATGGAGTTATTCGAAGCATGGGCATGTCACCAGTGGGGTACATCAGGGATCTGTACTTGGACCCATTCTCTTTAATATTTTTATTAGTGATATTGCAGAAGGTCTTGATGGTAAGGTATGTCTTTTTGCTGATGATACAAAAATATGTTACAGGGTTGATGTTCCAGGAGGGATAAGCCAAATGGCAAATGATTTAGGTAAACTAGAAAAATGGTCAGAGTTGTGGCAACTGACATTTAATGTGGATAAGTGCAAGATAATGCATCTTGGACGTAAAAACCCAAGGGCAGAGTCCAGAATATTTGATAGAGTCCTAACCTCAACATCTGAGGAAAAGGAATAAGGGGTGATTATTTATGAGGACTTAAAGATAGGCAGACAATTTAATAGAGCAGCAGGAAATGCTAGCAGAATGCTTGGTTGTATAGGAAGAGGTATTAGCAGTAGAAAGATGGAAGTGCTCATGCCATTGTACAGAACACTGGTGAGACCTCACTTGGAATATTGTACGCAGTACTGGAGACCGTATCTCCAGAAGGATATTGATACTTTAGAGAGAGTTCAGAGAAGGGCTACTAAACTGGTTCATGGATTGCAGGAGAAAACTTACAAGGAAAGGTTAAAGGAACTTAACATGTATAGCTTGGAGGAAAGACGAGACAGGGGGGATATGATAGAAACATTTAAATACATAAAAAGAATCAACATAATAAAGGAGGAGACCATTTAAAAGAAGAAAAACTACCACAACAATAGGACTTTAAATTAGAAGGTTTAAAAATAATATCAGGAAGTATTACTTTACTGAGAGGGTAGTGGATGCATGGAATACCCTTCCAGCTGAAGTGGTAGAGGTTAACACAGTAAAGGAGTTTAAGCATGCGTGGGATAGGCATAAGGCTATCCTAGCTATAAGATAAGGCCAGGGACTAATGAAAGTATTTAGAAAATTGGGCAGACTAGATGGGGGCGAATGGTTCTTAACAGCTGTCACATTCTATGTCTCTATGTTACCTATCATGAACAAAATGAAACACTAAGCTAAAGCCTGAAGTGTGTTTCGGCGTGTAGACTAAGCCTTCATCAGGGGAATTGAAAAGATTATGTCTAGGACGCTACCTATAAAGGGGGCCTGATAATTAGCCACATAAATAGCAGCCAACAGACATGAAGAAGTGTGAACCAGTAGGTGGTCCCCCATATAAAGTGAGTCAACAAATGGTTTGTGTGGCACTTGATTCCTCAATAGGTCTATTCAGAATAGAAGCATTTAAGGCACGCCACTCTGGACAAGGCCAATGTAAGGTTGCTCAGCAAGCATGGGCGTAAAATACAGTATTATTGCCAATGAGTCTAATTCCCCCCCCTTTATTATTTTTCTATATCAGCCAGTATATTTATATCTTTACTCTACATCGGTATATATATATATATATATATTAGAGAGAGAGAGAAAGAGAGAGAGAGAGAGAGAGAGAGAGAGAGAGAGATGTATCTGATCTCAGAGCTCTGTCTGCACTGAGACCAGTAGCGTCTATCCTTGTCTTTCGTCTAAAAGTGATCGTAACTTAAATAAAGGAAGTTTAGTGGAGGCAACAGGGGAGGGGTCAGCAACCACTGTCACAACCCTCTTACAGGGTTTCTCAACTATATTAAAACAACCAATCTGTTTACCAAAAGGTGTCTGACCACTTGTGTACAGTGGACAAAAGCTTCAAATAAAGGGAAGGAAAGTGTCTCCCTTCGTCCAAAGAGATCCCACTGTACAGAGTAAACTCTTCAATAAAGGGACAGACGCATGTTAGGGGTAAGTATATACCCCAAATTAAATAGCCAACTCTTAAAATCAAGGGAGGTCAAAGAGTGGGAAAAAACCTATATCTTATACAACGGCGCTGAAGGCATCCTGAAATGCAACGGTTTCTTATGCTATACTGTGTTACAAGGTAGTTATTGCTCTAATATTAGATAAGTGATATCACCTCAATTTAACAGATACAATTAAGACAATTAATGCGGTCACCCAGAAAAAATTATTTCATCTAACAGTACTGCACAAAGAAAAAACAAAATTATAAAGCGTCAGCAGACACAGAGAAACGGTCTCTGGCCTTATAATCTGCACAAACCTACTGACAAAAGTGTGATGTATTCCATACAAAAAAAACACAAAACACATTCACTCTGATCTTTTAGAGATAAAAGGACTGGAATTGGTTAAGAATCTACATATTCATATTTTAAAGTAGTGAACACTAGCAGATTGCAGGTTATATTGGAATGCTGCTACACATCCCTGGAAAATGTAGCTTTATGATACAGACTGAGTCACAATAACGAGCAAACACTGTTCTCTACATGAAGTGGAAAACAGTGTTCATTTCGTGCTTTATATGTGTACCACAGGGTTTCTGCTTTCTGCTCTCACTCACTCACTCACGGGTAGCACAGGAAAAGCAAGTTGAGAAACGAGTGGGTCCTAAACAGGAGAATAATTGAGCGGCATAGACTCCAGCCAGTTCCGGTCAGCACTGCAAACCGTGTAGCAACCAGCAGCAAAGAATGTGGTAATGACAGCTTTCCTCCTTGGGAGGCCTATGAAAAAAAAACAAACAAAAAAACAATGCTTTTCAATTAAGAAATAAATGAAAACCACTACACCAAAATTACAGTCACCTCACTCCACATGACCTTCAGACTCACCTCACGTACAATTGCACCAATTAGCCTTCTCGCTAGAACAATGGTTGTAAGTGTCAGCACATTAAAATCAATGAGATGAAAGTTCTGTAAGAGCAAAATAAAGAATTGGAAGCATTCAAACACTGCAGAAATATTATATGCACAGTATTCTGTTTAAGGATAGGCACAGGAAATGCTGATAGTTACTGGCATTCTGTCAAATTGACAGGACCCCCCACCCACCAAGATGCTCACCAGAGATGTGTGTGATGGAGGATGGGAGGGTGGGTACCACCAGACAGTCTTGTAGATGTTTATGTAGTGCACAAACAAGGCGATCAGGTGGCAAAAGAAAAGCTGGAGCTCAAACAGGAGGTGACGGTCAATAGGCAGCTCAGGGATTTTGCAATGCTGCAGAGGGATAACTGTCTGAGTTGCTAGAGGAGGGCTGGACAGGCCAGTGCTAGAGCTACTCCTGCAGAAAGGGAAAAAAAAATGGAGATCATATCAGAAGATTAGAGAATGAGGGTGCAGCTGAATGTACAGAGAGAAGTGTGGAAAATAATAAATGACAGTTTATGATTTATTTATGAAATATTTTACCAGGATGGATACATTGAGATTTCTCTCATTTACAAGTATGTCCTGTGTCCACAAAACATTGTTGTGCATTGTTACAATAAGATACAATATATATATATACATATATATATATATATATATATACACACACACACACAGACATGTAATACATAACAGGTAATAAATATATTCAACCATGACCGGTGCATTCTGTGCTGAGGTATATTGCAATAGATCTCTCAAAAGATTTTAGATTGAATGAAGATTTGACTGTGTCCCTGAGGTTATTCCATAATTGCGGTGCTCTGTAGGAAAATGAGGATTGAGACACTTTATTTTTGTATTGCGGTATGCTAAATATCATGCTAGTACGAGATCGGAGGTTAAAAAAGGTGGGAGCTTCCTAGAAATGCTCTCATGCACAAGTGGAAAGATTAAGAGTGCGTCGGGATTCCAGCGACAGCCAGTTTAGCTCTTTCAACATGTCACAATGGTGGGTCAAGTAATTACATTCTAGTACAAAGCGGCAGAACAAATTATATAACGTATGAAGTTTATTTAGGTGGGTGCATACACTACATCCCCATAATCAATGACCGGCATTAGAATTTGTTGCACTGTTTCCTTAATGTAGGGCTTAGGCAGGATTTGTTTCTGTACAGGGCCCCTAGTTTTGAAGAGATTTTTTCAATGTGAAGGCCAAAGGATAGAATGGGGTCTAGCAACATACCTATATATTTAAAAAAGCAGACCGCTGTCAGTGTGCTATTTGAATTTGTTCTGATACACAGTTGTTGATTTTGTAGTTTACGTAATTTAGGTACCATTACAAAGACCATTGTAACAATTTTGTCAGTGTTTAGGAAGAGTTTGTTATCACCTATCCACTTTTCTACCTCTGTGAATTGGCTTTGGAGAACAGCCTCAAGCTGCGGTAGCTTGGGTTTACTAGCGTAGATTACAGTGTTGTCTGCATACATGTGTACAGTTGAGGATTTGCACACTTTAGGCAGATCATTTATAAATAATGTGATTAGCAGGGGGCAGAGGATGGAGCCTGGGGAACACCACACATGACTGGAAGAGGGAGGGAAGCGCTATCAGAAATGGCCACATATTGCAATCGGTCTAAAACATATGATCAAAACAAGGTTAACGGATGATCACCAATGACTGAGTTTTTAAGTTTTTGCAAATAAATGCCATAGTCTACTGTGTCAAAGGCCTTGGCAAAGTCAAGTAAAATATTTCCAGTTAAGTCTCCTTGTTCCATGCCAATTTGGAAGTCATTGCAAACATTTTTAAGAGGGCAGTCGAGGTTTAGTGATTTGGACGAAGGTCTGATTGATCAGGTGTCAGATAATTTGATCGTTGATAATATTCACATAGTTGCGTGTGGACGCATTTTTCCAAGATTTTTTACACTTTTATGGATAGGTACAACTTTTGCAGTCTTCCAAAGTTTGGGTATGTATCCTGACACCAGGGATTCATTGATAAGGGTAGTGACAGGTTTAGCAATTGCTGGCGCACTGAGCTTCAGCAACATTGCTGGGATTTGATCTGGTCCACAGTGGTTTTTCATTTTTATATTATTAAGATGTTTATTAACAACACTAACGGCCACAGGTCTAAAATTGAATTTCTCAATATTAGCATTTTGAAGATTTGGCAGGGCCTGATTTTTATTTGCGGTCTGAAAATGAATGTCATTTGTTATGTTAGCAACCAGGGTGGTAACACATCCAACAAAATAATTATTAAAGGCATTTGCTACATCTAAGGGGTGTTGCAGTGTTTGGCTATTAAATCGAAGGAAGAGACATTTAAGTATCAATAATAGTATGTCTCACAGTTACACTAGAAATAAACATTTTACACTAGGATCAGATAGTTGTAGCTGGACATTTAGTACATTTTTAAGTAGTATAGACATATTGCAGACATTTAGCAAGCTGATTTATCTTAGATGAGTCCCTAGACAGAAAAATTAGCTGAAACACTGTCCCTAAGGGCAGCTATTATGAAATCTATTTACCATAAGCAATTACCTGACAGAAAATAAAATCCACACCTCAATATGCAAAGCACATTGAAATACTGTATTTGCCGTAATGAAACATAAAATATGAGAAAATATCCTCTGGATCATCAACATGACTATATTCACTATAGAACCAATTTATAAATTTGTGTGATGCCTGCACATCCCCTTGATGATAGGTTTAACCCTTCCAAAAGAAATAAAACGAAAAAAAAAAAACCCTTCAGAAAAACAGTCCAAACATATAACCTGCATCCACAAAACATTAGGAATGACACAAAATATGCGGTCACAAACTGGGAGAGGGAGAATGGGGCGACTGTAACTTTCTCTTGATGCAGCAGTGATTAAGAGGAATTTCTGTTTTTAACATCTTTCCCCAGACATGAGGAAGTAAGGAGAGAATAGATTGCCTTCAAGCTTGTGCCTGCCATTAGGTTATGTAGTTAGTGGGCCTATTTACTTGGGAGTAATGCTCAATAAGTCCGAGGTGCACAGCTCAAAGTCTGAAATCTGCTAGACAAGTGCCCACCGGACAAACCTCAACTTTAAAAAAGCAGCAGCAAATATAGCATAGATCTAATAAACAAATCACAGCATGATCAATCCATCGGCAAGTAATACAACGGATTCAGTTTACATAATTAAGGGCTTGTGCTGCCAGTCAGTATAGAACTGGACCATGAACTTGCACTTAAAATCAATTTTCCACCCTCAAGATTTTATCTGAATGAAGTTGTTCAGTGGGCAAGCAGAAGAGAGAGAGCTAGTGTAAACAGGCACACAGGGACCCAACTTTGGTGTGAAACCGTTCAAAAATAGTTTAACATTTAAAGATGGACAGTAAACAGATGGCGTCCAGGGACTCCAGCATCTTTATTCTTTTCAGCAATAATAAAATGTTTCATCTGCGAACCACACTTGATTTCTCCAGCAGATCTTCCAGCATCAAAACATGCCTTCAGGCCATTGCTAATGCAATTCACTATATCTTGGGTTTCCAGAGAATTAATTACACTGTCTGCATATGGTGAATTGCTGGCTCCATAACGCTGCCTAACCAGACACACTCTGGAAACCCCACATCACTGTCTGCAATGGCAGAGTATAAAAGCACACTATGCTTCTAAGGTTTTGCAGCATTCTGCATTAATAATCATGGCTTATCTGTCCCTCACTCCTCTAGCGTCAAATAACACATTGTACACAACAGGAAGCACTGCAAACCTTTCTAAGAGTTGTAGTTGATAAAATGGCTTTCATGAGGTGAAAGCTGGTAACTGAACTGCAAGTCCCACAAACCTCACTGTGTTCATAAAGAACTTTCACTTCTGCTAATCAGTCGTTCCTTTACACCAGTGGTTCCCAAAGCAGTCCTCCCGCACCTCTACCTGTCCAGTATTTAGGAATTAACCATGTGTCCAAGGTGTTATTTGTTTTATTCTTTCTTTCTAAAAACACAGTAGACACAAGTGGGTAATCCCAAAATCCTGGACCAGTGAGGGGGGAGGGCATGACAACTAGTTTGGGAACCACTGTTCTACACTATAACTCTTGCGGTGCTAAAAACATGCCCAACTAGTCAGACTCCATATACAAGATTGAGTTGCTTCTGTCTGAAAATCTTCTTAAGAAAAGCTCAAATCTGTTGATTTGATTGAAAACAATGTACAAAAATGCATATTTTCTTATGAATATAATCAATTCATAGAGCTAAAACATTAAAAAACTAAATGACACTAAACATATTTCCTAAGCGCTAACAATCAAAATTGTCATTTGCTGCAGAACTGGCCACTGTAGCTAAGGAAAAACCACCCCCAAATGTACTCTCTCGTTAGCGTTTGGTACGGTCCAATCAATTCAAGCAGTGAGGAAAAATCATCAGTCAAAAGCTTCTGGTGGATTTTATTGAGCTTTAGGGATTTGTATAAATAAATAGAATCATAGTTTTTAGCTGTATTCCATAAAACTAAAAAATATATATATTTATTTTTATAAACACCTTAAAGTAACGTAAGCACCAAAATCACTTCATCTAAATAAAAACCGAGTTGTGTCTGCAGTCCACCCAAGTTTTCTTCTTCATTTTGCAGTTTTCACGCTTACTATTGGCTGACAGACAGACAGTAATGAAAGATTTCAGACAGAAAGAGATTCAATTATTCAAATGACTTTACTCTAATGTCAGCATGCTGAGGCTTGCAAGTCCAATGATCTGCTATGGCAGGGGTTCCCAATAAATTTTTCCCATGGAACCCTTTGACATAGTGTATCAACATCGTGGAACCCAAAAAAACCTATTTTGCGCCATTGCATAAACCTTTTTTTTGTATGTGCTGGTGTATCAAGATATGTGTGTATATATGTATGTATGTATGTATGTATGTATGTGTGTGTGTGTGTATATGTATGTATGTATCTGACACAGAGATACATACACCTTGACATATAGTGTGTATGTTTATATATATATATATATATATATATATATATATATCTGTGTGTCAAGGTGTGTGTGTGTGTGTGTGTGTGTGTCAGTGTGTATTTATCTGATACACAGATACACAAACTGACACATATACATACATTGGCAGACACACTGAGACAGGTACACACACACACACACGTTTAACTTCACTTTTTTTTCCCCTTCAGTGCTGCAGGATGCTGGCTGAGGATGATGTGCCAGGTCGGCAGCTGCTCACTCCTCGCTGTGTTTCCTCTCCTTCCAGCCCGCGCACTCTGTCTGGGAGGAAGGGTGGTCACTTTCTCCCAGCATCCCATACAACAGGGGTCCGGTCGAGGTCTGAGACGCCTGACCAGACCCCTGTTTACCGATACCCATGGGGTGGCCCTAAATGCAAATCGCCATGGAACCCCAATTTTGCAGAACACCAATTGGGAAACGCTGCGGTATGGGAAGCATTTGATTCTATGTTTTTCATAGAGAAGCACTAGATTTGTGGATTGCTGCGATTGTTATATGTGCACCATGTGCCCTCTATGAGGATCATCTGACTAGACAAAATTCAACAGAATCAAGGACCCTTTTTTTGGGTCAATCTTTGCTTTTATTGAAGCACTTTAGTAGTACAAGATAGACATAAAGGTGCCATGACAGATATACTTAGGTTGAAACAGAACTGAAAAGACCCCTGTAGAGGTCCACCTCATTTTTTAAATATCAAAGATACCAGTAATCAGGCTTGGTAAACATGCCTGAGTGTACGATTAAGATATAAAATTCAGGCACAGAGAATATACAAGACATGGTGATCATCAGAATTGAGGACTTCACAAAACGTGGTTTGGGATAAGACGAGGAGGTTGTCTTCGCAGTACAATAAAGGTATGTTTATTTTTAGCTACTATGTTTGGGGAAAATAGAGAAAATCCCTTAGAGATTGACATAATATAATTGCTCCTATATAATTATTACATTATAAAATGGTTACACATTTTTCTGTTTTCACTATACCTTGCTCGTGACCGCACACCACTGATAGTAGGGTTTGCTCCATGGACAGCACCCCCTGATGCTCCAGGATCACAAAGGTGAGTCCGGCAGTATGACGTCCGGTTAGGGCCCCGGCGTCCCCCTGCCATACTCACTTCTTGGGTCACTCACAGCTGGACAAGTATATTATACATTCACAAGCTAAAATGTTAAATGAAACAAGTAAGACGTGTAAATCGAGGAATAGAACAACGAAAGTAGTATAAAGGGAGGCAGAGAAAGAAAATGAAAGCAATAGAGCAGGGATTCTAAATGCCAAAGTGAATTGCACTAGGTAACCAGTGCAAACATGAATCACTAATGTTTCTTATTTACAATATTCATACAGTATGTATCCTCCTGGGAGCATTACCAGTATCTAGATTTTGGGAGGGGTGAATTTTATGCAGGAAACAGGTACATGCATATACAGCAAAATCAGAATTATTTATCATACAGGAGCCTGCACAGACTGGCAGTGACTGCAATGATTTACACAACTGGTAGAATGGGACAGGACGGCAATATAGGGAATGCCCGGCTCTATGCTCAGCCAGGCCTCTCTGTGACCACGAGCTATATTAGCGCGCACACAGCTTAGTAAAACACGGTGAGGAGGGTAACACAAAGCGGCCCCCTCCCCCGCCTGCCCGCCCCCGGACAGAATACTCGGTGGTTGCCCCAGGCCCCCACCACACTCACCAATGATGTCCCGCGGGAGCGCGCTTTGTGTCAAAGAAACTCGAGTGCGCGCAAGGAAAATACGAACCAATGGGCAGGGCTAGAGTCAACGTGATGAGATCACACGCATGCGCTGCAAATCATTGAGACAGCGCCACCTAGCGACGCCTGAGTTCTTTTACTGACAAACATGGTGCTGCCATAAGGGTGGTGGAGGGACTAACTAGGGTTACAATAACCCTGTTTTCATCCTCATCTTTTTTACATTTATAAGGCCCTATTCTGCACTATTATTTAATTATTATTATTATTATTATTATAAACCATATAAAATAAAGCAATAACTTACCTTGAATCCAGTGCTGGATTCCACACCTCCATCTGATGTCCTCATTGTCACATCGTGGTCCAGTCAAATGCTTCTGGTAGAGAATGGTTGGACCATTTGAATATGCTGTGCCATTTTGGGCACCTGTTCTAAAGAAGGATATTATGGCACTAGAAAAAGTGCAGAGACGAGCTACAAAATTAATAAAAGGAATGGAACATATCGGCTATGAAGAAAGGTTAACAAATTTAAACCTATTTAGTTTCGAAAAACGTCGCCTGAGAGGGGATATGATAACATTATACAAATATATTTGGGGCCAATACAAACCATTGTGTGGAAATCTATTCACAAACAGGATTTTACACAGGACACGAGGCCATGCGTTTAGACTGGAAGAAAGAAGATTTTGTCTAAGGCAAAGGAAAGGTTTTTTTATTGTAAGAACAATAAGGATGTGGAATTCTCTGCCTGAAGAAGTGGTTTTATCAGAGTCCATACAGATGTTCAAACAGCTACTAGATGCATACTTGCAAAAACAGAATATTCAAGTATATGATCTTTCAATGTAGGGTAATAACTGCTTGATCCAAATCCAATTCTTTTCCTAGCTTGTTGCAAAGCTTGTTGTGCTTCAAACTGGGTTTTTTGCCTTCTTTTGGATCAACAGCAAAAAACAAATGTGAGGAAGGCTGAACTTGATGGACGCAAGTCTCTTTTCAGCTATGTAACTATGTAACCCATGTGCCCGCTCTGAGACAGTTTATGGGATAGAGTGAATGGGGGTGGATAGAGGGAGGGGATAGCTAAATAAAATAAAAAAGGAATGTTAATTATATAGGGAGGTTGCTATGCTGCGGGTACTTAACTGAAGAAGTGAGGGAGTGATACACACCGGTAAGGGAGAAGCGTACTATGTCTATTGCCAGCGCACTGATTGCCGATTTCATTTTTGCAACAAGACAACGGTATAATAGTGCAAATACTGTATCTCTCTGGATGGTGTTTTAAGAAAAAATGCCGCACATACAGACTCCTACCACTGCTAAAAACAGAAGTGGTCATGGTGATTTTAGTAACCCTTTCATAATTGTGTACTCTTTACATATTGAAAACAATGGCACATTAACAGTGGGGTTCTGGTCCCACCCCAAATTCTCACCCATGAGGCTTTAAATTACTGTCCACCCCCGGCCCCCACCCATGGCCAGCAGGTAGGGGCAATAAAAAAAAACAGGGGGCCCCACCTGTGGTCAGTGTGTAGCAGCTGCTTATTAAATGGAGGATATCTAGTATCACCTGACAGTGGGTGGGGTTTAGAATTATAATACCCGGGGAGACCTTGTGGCTCTCCCTGGCACCCAGCCATAAATCGTGGGTGGGGGCTATAATTATACTACTCGGGGGAGAGACCTAATTTCCGCCACTAGCCCCACCCATGGGTGGCAAGGGGTCTCAAATTAAATATACAAAGGGGTGTGGACATGCCTTTTTCAACCTCTTAACTTGTCCTTCTTAAATCCCCCCCACCACACTTAAGTACCCTACCTACGCCCAGCACTCTAATAATAGTGAAGGTGACAATAATACTAATATTTGTAATTTTTTAAATCAGAATTAGGGACTCAGATTGGCTGGCTTGTAATTATTTCACGGACCCCGTCTAGTCCTGCCAGCAGGCAAATATTGCAGATTTTTAAAATAAAGGCCCAGGTTTTAACAATCTGGGTTTTGGATTTTAGGTGTCTGGCAACGTTCAGTCTAGCTGAAATCCAGACCATATTCCGTCTCATTTGAACAACGTCCAGATTTCACATGACCAATGTCCAGATGAACAATGCTCTACATAACTGGTTTTATCCTTCAAATCAGGAATCATTCAGAATGTACTACGAAAATTCTAATATTGAGCCTAAAGAGACGTCGTGAGATTCGTAGTATGAGTACCGGATGTGAACGTACATAACCACGCGTGCATGGCCATCTGTCCTCACTAACAATGAGTAGGGCGAACAAATCATCTCACATCAGGAGAGCCGACTAGGTACTGCAATGCCTGCTTCTTCCAGTATGGCATGTTAAAAAAAACATGTTTGTTTGTTTGTTTTTTGTAGCGTGTGTGTGTTTTGTGTGATGAGTCTGGGATTGGCTTGTGCTGTGCATCAGGTTGAAGAACTGACCTGACATGTTACATTCAAATGGGAGTGAGGTAGGAGATGTGGAAGTGACCAGCAGCAACAGTTTAGGGCTTTCTACTGATCTCGTGTTGTACCACTGAAAGGTTGCAGGAATTGGGAGCTCATAAGCAACCACTGGCAACCCAGAAACTATTAAGCGCCAACTACCTTGACACCCAGCCAGTGTGTGGTTGGTTGAGGATAATACAAGTTGTATTCTCCAGATATTTCAATACCAGGGGCGGTGAAATCTAAATAATAAAAACATGAGCTGCACTGCACTGCACTGCACACACTCTACCCCCTGCCAAATTCAGATCCCCCACACAGTCACCCTGTCACAATTACCCCCACACAAAATCACCCTGTCACACTCCCTCTTACACACATCCACTCTCACAGTCACACTAATACACAGGAAACCCTTCACAGACAGTACCCCTCATATACACACAGTCATCCCTCATACACACAACACAGCCTTAGCATAAAACACACAACACACACATCAAAACCACAAACAACCTTTTCATACACACAAAACACTGCAAACACACATATACTCCCAGACACAGAGATACACAGACGCACACAGATACGTTCCAGACACAGTCACAGATACACAAACACACTTATAAATGCAAAAATTATAATGACTGCCAGACACACACTCTCAGGTATATACACAGATACACAATGCCAAACATGCACACACAGGTGCCAAATACACATTGCCAGACACACTGTAATTGTGTGCCTGCTTCTGTCAATGTGTGTGTCTGTATCTCATAGACACATAGAATGTGGTGGCAGATAAGAACCATTCAGCCCATCTAGTGTGCCCAATCTTCTCTACCCACTACCCTCTCAGTAAAGTAATACATCCTGATTAATTATTAATTTTAAACCTTTACCCATCTAATTTAAGACAATGTTCTTGGCATTTTTTTTTTGTTCTGTAAATTATCGATAAAATTAAGCTTATATTTATTGGTACCTCCAACAAATGCAATACATTCATACAAAACAAACACACAGACTGCTGAATACACCCACACACACAGACTGCTGAACACAAACACAGACTGCTGAACACATAGACTGCTGAATACACACAGAAAGACAGCAGTGAGGGGTGCAGCTTGCGTGTGTGTGTGTGGATCCCTCATACACACAGAACCCTTCACACACACACAAACTGCACCCTTCACACACACTGCACCCCTCACTGCTGTCTTTCCGTGTGTATTCAAGAGTCTGTGTGTTTATGTGTTTGTGTGTGTGAGGGTGTTGTGTGTATGTGAGGGGTGCAGTTTGTGTGTGTGTGTGTGAAGGGTTCTGTGTGTATGAGGGATTCAGTGTGTGTGTGAGGGGTGCTGTGTGTGTAAGACAGGAGCTGTGTGCGTGTGAGGGTTGCAGTGTGTGTGAGTGGTGCTGTGTGCGTGTGAGGAGTGCACTGTGTGTGTAATGGGTGCTCTGAGTGTGAGGGGTGCTCTGAGTGTGTATGTGAGGGGTTCAATGTGTGTGTAAGGAGTGCTCTGTCTGTATGTAAGGGGTACAATGTGTGTGTGAGTGGTGCTGTGTGTGTGAGTGGTGCTGTGTTTGTGAGGGGTGCTGTGTGTATGTGAGGGGTGCACTGTGTGTGTGAGAAATGTGTTAGGGCACGCACAGCACCCCTCACATACAAACAGAGCAGCCCACACACGCACACACACACACACAGGGCTGCTCTGTGTGTATGTGAGGGGTGCCGTGTTAGTATTTTGTTATTTTTATCTAACATAGATATTTAGAAAAGCTTCATGTCACCCCACCCCTCTTCTTACCTTTGAGAAAGGAGGGGGGGAGACTGCCAGCCCTGGTGGTCCGGTGGTGATTGGTGCTCTTTAGCCTGCAGCTCCTGTGGCTGCAGGCTGCCTATACTTCTCCCGTGAGGTTAGTGTAGGAGCGTTGCCATGGTAACGCACGGCAATACACCAATCAGCATGCTTGTGGGAAGAACTTCCTCCCAGGTTCCTCCTCCCTTCCACCCTCGCTTTGTCACGGCGTGCCAGGAGGTTTTGGCATGTCTCAATCTCTAGCCGGACGCCACATGTTTCTTGGCGTCCTGGGAGTGAGGAATGTGCTTCATCTACCTCCTGGTGGTCAGCTGTCTCTTCCACTATTCAGCGACACGCCATAGGCACAAGTGGCGCCTCTGCCTCACCAGTCTCTCCGGGCCCCACAGTCGCACCACGTGGGTTGTGCAGTGTGGGGGAAAGGACACAAACTTTTCCCATCCACCAGCGAACCTCCCCTTTGGCGGACGGACTAGGTGGCATGTATGCCATGTTTTCCACACTGCCCCAGGTTCCCCCTCGCCTATCAGAAACTTGGGGAACCCATACAGGTTTTCCCGAAAGCAGTGTGGGGAGCAGTGGTTTTCAGTTAACAAATGGACATAGCATCCCGCCCACATCGGTACGGACACTTACCCAGAGAAGCCTTCCACGTATATAGGCCCTTAGACCCCTCCTCATGGGAGGGCTCCCATTCCCTTTTCCCTGTCACCCTATGGTCTGTGATCAGTTGTTTTGTTGTTTCCCTAGAGTACAGAGCCATATCCTG